ATACAGTATATATATATATATATTAGTATATTACTCTAGATTTTCATTAATAAATAATATTTATGATTCTGTGGTACTTAATATTTCAATTATGAAGTAATTAATATAATAATCTCAAATTATTGATTACTGTTTAAAAAAATAATTAAAATTGATTTACAGTTTTGTTTGTCATACAAATTTTATTCTATGTTTGCAAATACAATATATTATTTAATATACTTGCAAATATACCGTATATTATTATTTATAAATGTAATAAATGTACCTTAAATTTTATTTATTGATACTATTTTTATATTTTACTACATATACATAGCATTATACGGTATTACATATTGTATATACAATAGAAATCAACTGTTAACTTAAATAATACAATATATCAAATATGTAAATAATAGAAATAAAAATATAATATGTAGATTGACATCAAATGTTATAACAAAATGATACCTTTATACAAATATGATTTTATATTTCATATTAAATACGCCCACATTTAGTTTCATTAGTTGGTGCAATGATATACACATTTGCAAAAATATATCATTGCTTAATGTAATACTTGAAACTAGACATCGTAAACAAAAACGGTTTGAGAATAGTTTCGGTTTATATTTTTGGTTTTTTTGACACGATTTCCAATTTGGTGATCAGCTATTCTGTGTTTGAATTTTCAGTTTTAGATAATTTTAGTATTAATATCTTAATTTTTTTATTATATTATTAACAACTAAATTAAAATTATTATTTTGCTTTGCATTATTAATTTTTACTAAACTAATAACAATACTATTATATTAAAATATATAACCATCAATTTAAAATCATTATATAAATATATTTGAAATATAAAATAATAAGTCATATAACCTTATGTAATGACTAATATTTTTGATAAGAACATATGCTAATATATATATATATAATTAAGTATAAATATAAATTACCACAAAGTTTTAAAATTTATTATATATTTCTATTTGCCCATAAGTTTACAAGTAGTGTATTGTAACTAATTTAAGTAGTGTTTTTAATTTTCCGCAAATTTCTTATTGTCACAATTTTATAACAAGAATATATAATTTATATATAATTATTTTGAACTGCTATTGTTTAAGCAATTATTAAATAATAGAATTGAAAATCTTAACAACACTACTCATAAGTTAATGTTGTCTTTTTAATATTATGATAAAGTAATAATATTTAAAAACTAGTATTATTTAGTTGTATTTAATAAAACTAAATTTTATGTTTTATATAATTATTTAATTATTTAAACAATTTATTCAAATTATTTTTAATAATTTTGGCTATTAAAAGTGATTTTAAGTGAATTTATTAGGTTTTTATTAATCATTTGGTAATTTTAATTTAGATAGTTTGATATAATATTATAAGTTTATTTATTTTAAACCAGTTTACATTAATAGTTTTGTTAATATACAATGCAATAGACATGTTAGATTATATAAATATTTATGTTTAATAATATAAATTAACATTAATTTAAACAAATTTATAGAAAATATTAGAAAATCCTAAAATTATTTTTATTAATTTTTATTTAACTACAATACCTAATTTGCCATTTTTACTCCTAATAAATTAAGTCTTTGATAATACTGTAAGTGATTCACTTATTTAATATTAATGCTAATCCTACTCTAGTGGTAGATATGTAAAATAAAATAATAAATTATATGTAATAAATAATATACCTGTATATTATCTATAAGTTATATAACTAGTTATAGACTATAACTATATTACGCTTACAGGTGTGTCATTATTTGATGGAGACTTAAATTATAGATGAGAAATAGTACAGTACTGTACTGTATAGTCATATTATTATATCTAAAATTCTATTATTATGCTTAAACTTAGGTCTAATCATCAATTTTAACTGTCATTTAATAAAGAGTTAGTTGGGTTTTAATTAAAGATGAAATTTTATTGCAAAAATATAGATAATAATGATTATACTGTTATATAATATAACTTATATTGAAACGGTTTAACAGGAGTTCAGGCGTCGATAGTATGAATTGGGATAAGTTTTGTCAGTAGTGGTTAAAATTGATTATTACAACACGTTATGTCAAATATTACTGTATTTCAGTTACTGTATGAATGTAACAATTATATTATTTGATATACAGTACAGTACATTGAGTAACATTGATCTTTTATAGTTATATATTACAGAAAATACAAAAATAGAGATCATTTATTTCAAAACATTTTACTTATTTTGATTGTAATTTACAGATTCAACATTGTATAGATGTTTAAAAAACATTCATAAAAATATATTATAAATAATATTATAATAACAAACATTTTCATTAATACTTATTAACTAATTTTTTTCTCAAAATATCTAATTAGAAAATAAATATTTGAAAAAAATATTATATTTATATAAGATCTTACTTTATTTCCAATATATTATAATAATATATATATAATGTTATAATTAAAGAATCGATATCTAATTTACAATAACAGTTGAGAGCAAATACTTAAACCGAAAAATATTTTTAATTAATTTATTTAAGACTTCGCTAACTGTATACAGTTTAACATAATTTTTCTAAATTATTATATAAATATTTCATATTTTACTATCCATTGCAAACAATGACTTCAAATGATGACAAATCACAATAAGTTTTCTTCCATATGTCTAACCTATTGAATAGTCAAATGATTTAATCCTTCGTTAAGACTCTTTTATTAGATCTTTAAATAAAGTCGTTGGTCACGCAATCACATGCAATGACAAAAAACAATTTATTATATTAATTATTAACAATAATACATTCAATATAAACTTAAACTTTTATTTTAGTATAATAAAATAAATGTATTATTTATTATTAACTAAATTAAAGATCAAAACAATCAATTCAAACGGCAAATAGAAAACCCTGTCTTTCAAATGATTCAAAATGAATGCAGAATTCATTTAAAAATGTGAAATAAATGAATTAACTATAAAAATGATAATAATTATTATGAAATAAAAGAGTTTGAAATTGCATTTAATGCTTCAATTTAGGACTTGAGATTAATAACAGTTTCTATCCATTAATACATTTTATTTTATTTAATCTTTGTTTTCTCTCTTTCTTTATGATAAAACCTTTTTTTAAAAAATGGTATTTTATCTTTGATTTAATTCATCTGCGAATACTTCTTATTTTTAATCAATAAATTCATAGTACTATATATATAAATACTTACACAGTATATAACATAGTATATAGTTTTTAGTTAACTATTAAACATTACTTTCAATAAAGTATTTTCATTGTTAAAACAAAGTAAGCACTTTATAACACAAAGTTATATCAAATATATTGTATTATACAGTCTATGTGTCTATGGCTTCCATACAAATTAATTTTGGTTTTTATTTCTTAACAAAAATCTTTAATGTATTTAAATTCAGAATAAATATTAAGTCTTAGAGTAAAAGTAAAGAAAATGTTGAATAAAGTGAAATGATTTAATTTAAATGAAGAAAGTAAGCCAATGTGTTAGTGCAATACAGTTATCTATGCCGTCAAATGTTTGTCTACATCATTGACTATACATTGAGTTTATTGAAAATACAACATCTGATTGTCTATCTTTTCAAGTATAAAGAAAATTGAAATTAAATTAGATTTTCAAACAAAATAAAAAATAAACGGCATTTTTGATGAGTTAAAATTTGATTCATTCAAATGCTTTTAACAAATACATACCTCTTATGTCTGGTAATCATAACAATGGATGCTTTAGTTGTCTCTCTATTTCATACTTTATCTCAAATCAAACAAACATTTTCCATATGGAAATAAATATTTCTCATTATTATGATTTTATTTTATTATTATGTAATAACTTCAAAATAATTTAGAGCATAGTTGAAAATGTTTTTAAAATGCTATTTTTATACATTTTATTTTAATTTCCATCATTTAATGAATAAAATTATCAAATATTTTTATCTATTAATAATTTTTTAATATACAATATATATATATATTTAATATATATTTAATATTTAATAATTATTAATTTAAATATATATTAACCTGATCAATTATAATAACCTATAAATCATATAATAAATTATAATAATTATTATTCTCATATAATGATGCTCTAATTTAGAAATTAATGATCAGTTTCATTTATTTTAATAAATCAGATAAAAATTTAATGTATTAATACTACAAATCAAGTTTTCGATTGCAATTAATAATATTTATTTTAATCGTATGAAATAGAGTAGACTTTTAAAAATTCAATTAATTGAAGTGATCCTCTAATTAAAAGTTATTTATTTAAGTTGTCATTTAGTATTGTGTATATCAAATAAAATGTCTGTTTTGAATCATTTTGATGTCTACTTATATCTCTATATAATTTTCACAAATAATGCATTTCTATAATATTTAACTATACTTTAACTAAACTTTAACTGTGATTAAAATACTCAGACAAAACAAATTCAACATTAAGCATTAATGTACTAATTAATAAAATTTATTAAATACTAAAAATATTTTTAAGTATATAAAATAATTCATATAATTTGTAATGTGCAAATGAATTTTAATAAATTATGTTTATTTAAATTTTTTATTGATGTTAGTTTGGATTTTTTTTAATTTATACATGTTGTATTTTTATTTTAGAAATATTCTTTACGTTTTAGCTTTTTAATAAGTTAAAGTAAAGTAAATTTGTTTTTATAAAATTTTATAAAAATTATTTTTTTATGTAATTTATATTGCAGTATATTTTAAATATTAAATGCAAAATCTAAACACACATATAATAATTATTTATTATTTACTGTAATAAGCATAAGCTTATATAAATAATTTTTAAAATAATGTTGATTATAGTATTTTATGAATAAAATGTATAATGTGTTTTAGTAATATACTATTATATAGAGATCAAATGGATGTACTAAATGATAGACTTACCCGACAGTCATCACAGGACCAGATGACGGAAAAGCCATTTTGACAATCGTAGCGCTCAAGTATTGAGTGATAATCGCAAATGAGTTGATTGACTGTAATATCAATGGTAATCAATTCGGACAGTATGTGTTGGCATTGATCACTTTGATTGCCATATAATAGCGTTTCCCGAGTGTCATACCGGAGCACACTTGATAGGGGGTATCGGTCGCAATACTTGAGGTGATACCGTTCCAAAAGGCTGAGTCGGGTCACTCCAGTCGGCGAATCACAGATGCTTTTGGCCGATTTCTTGTCCAGAAAAAGGCACTGATTGTTAGATACATTATCTATAAGCTTAGGTCCGGATGAGGTAGCCGTCAGTACTGACTCGTGGGTCACTGACGTCGTGGCCATTGGTGTCACCGATTCTGTATTAATTCCAACACTATTTGAACCACCATTAAATGGTTCATTAAATGGTTCATTAAAATTGGACACATTTGAAAAAATATTAATATTTTGTTCACTAATTATTTGAATATCAGATTTATCTGAAGTTAATATAGTTTGGCAATTGTCGGTTCTTTTGGTCACTAATTCACACATAGAGTCTTCATCATTAACATTAGTTATAAACTCTTTGCGCAACCACTGGCTATATGTATATTTGAGTGGCCAGTAGTCACTATCCTCGGAAGTCTGTGGATGACTATGTGATGTGTGGTCAGCCATCATGTTATCAGTTGTGTGATCTGATTGACGACGACTGACTTTAGTCATATCATTTGCAGCATAGCTATAGCTACTCATTAAGAGGAGTATTGTCAAAGTGATGGCACACATCTGTGCCGGTGTTAAGAGTGAAACACTGATTAGCCATTTATGGAGTGCTTTGGTCAACGGCTTATTCAATATACGCCTCCCATGTCTAGCAGATAATCTCATATTTCATGGGATTAGGGCATGGATTGGGCCAACAATGAGGACAACTAATGTACGATAAAAACATAGAATTAAGAGATAGGTTTGACGGCCACAACAATCGCAATAATAGGAAGTATCAGATTTGTCAATAATTTGCTTTAATTAATATTATTCACTATATATGATAATCTCGAGTGAATCACTTTATTCAAGTCAAACCCGACACCAATAGTATTACTTATGACCAATGATGGGATGGACGTCAAGAATATTCGATGAATTGATGCCACAAATAATACAACAATAATAAGAGATGTGTTGATTGTGACAATAACTGCTGACAACAACAGCAAACTGTCCTTCGGGTCACTGAATCTGATTGCAAACTCTGAGTGTTCACACAATTCTTTGAACACATCATTCAGTGGACACAACTTCTTGAATACTAAATTTTTTTCAATTATTAACATAATTCTTCTTCTAAATCATTATTATTAGAAACAACTTAACATTTTACAAAATAAAATAAGAAAATAACATAAAATATTATTTTTTTGTTTAATAACAATTATATTACTACTAATAATAATTTATAACAATAATAATAATAAATGTTTTGATTACATGAGTATGAAGACTGCGGAGCAAACATAGCAGTAACTCGAGTGAGGAAAGACTAACGCAAACCAATTCACAAATTGCTTTCCTTTTCTATGCTCTCTCTCTCTCTCCTCTCTCTCTCTCTCTCTCTCTCTCTCTCTCTCTCTCTCTCTCTCTCTCTCTCTCTCCCTTTCCTCCTTCCCTGTGCTCTCAAAGCTCAACATCACTGATAAAATTCTTGCATCTCTTTAGTCCCTTATGTGCACATCCTTGCCATCTATGCATTGGACACCAAATCACTTGTTAAGTCAATTGATAATATTTTATATGAGATTCATTGATATTAGTTCTCTCATCCTTTCTTTATCTAATTCATTCACTGCTATAACTCTTAGCATAACTCATACCAAAACTCAAATATAGTGTTTTAAATATTTAAATTATTTGATTAAATATTAAAATATAAGTTATATATTACTCGTAAGACTATCGGATCGCTACTAAAGCTATTGCTTTATCAAATAAGACTTTTTTATTATTATTAGAGAAAATTCATTTTAAAACATAGCATTTTTACATTTCTATTTATTACATGTTTTATGGATTATTCAGTGCTTACCATTTACTGAATTATATATGATATACTGTATTATAATTTATACAGTACTACACATAATATAGGAAAAACTTTTATTGTAGGTGTTATATTTTTATATTATTAATATAATAGAGAAAATCAATTGAATTGTAAATTTACAAATTTGTAATCAAATATAAAATATCTAAGATTTATATAACTTTATATTAAATATTACAGTATATTGTGCTGTATATGTAGTGCTATCAGAATAAAACACATTTGAAAATATGATGATTTTGTTGTTACCGATATTTAGCTTTTCTCGCATCACAACATAGCGTGCAATACATTATGTTTAATATTTAATAGTACAGTGCTTTAACATTATTAGCCATTCATTTTCCTGTTGTTACAGTATATGCCAATACATAGTGTATATACAATACTATATTAGAGCATATATTTATATGATATATGATATTTCTATAGATATTTATGAAATTCACAAATAATTAATATGCTATAATTTGCAGATAATTTTTCAACAAAAAATATTACTAAATAACATTTACAAGTTTGTCTAAAATATACAACCTTTCAGATTATTGCTTTATCATTGCTTTAGTCATATATTATGAAAGTGGTTATGATTAGTGACGGCTTAATAGATCGTAAGGGATAATCAAAGACATGTTATATATGGAAGATAGCGTTGATATCATTAAAATTCAGATAATTATCTACAACTAAATTGAATGTTTGAAACAGTTTTATATAGAATATAAAATTATATAACAGTGTTGTTGTAAATAATTGATTAAACTTTAGCCAACATATTGTAATATTTATGCCGATATAATAATCATAATAATAAAATTATACTAATCTATTGTCTACTATAGTAAGTAATACTAGTGTTAAACATCTTATGGTTTATAAATAATAAATATATTTAATATATAATATATAATTAATAAGGGTTAAGCAATGTTTTTGATTTTAGATGGATATGGGGTAAGTTAAAATTACAAAAATTAAATATTTATTATAATTATGCTAATTAAATATATTATGTGAAATTTTATTATAATTTTATATACAAAATTTTATAATATAGTTTTATCATTTTTTCTCATATATTTTATTCTTTATTATCTTAGAAACATATTTTATTTTAAGTTCATCATAAAAATATTTTTATATATTTTTGTTTAAAAAAATAATTTGTTTTTAACTTAATAATCATACATTCTTTTTAAAATTATGTTTTGATTTAATTTATTAATTTATACTTATGTTTATACTATTTTTATTTTTATTTCCTAATTTAATATAAATTAAATATGACATTGTTTTTAAAAGTTATTAATAAACTTTTAAAATTTTTTATTTTATATAAACTATGTACAAAATTTTGATCAATATTTTTGCATTTTTTACCTGCTTTTTTATTTTAAAAAATCTTTTGAAGATTAAATCATAAAATTATTGTTTTTGGGCTGAGATGACCTTTACCCTTACCACCATTGCTTAACCCTAAATATTTGGTGTAATATTATAAATTATAATTTATATAAATATATTTATTGTAGTTATAGTAAATTTATGTGTGTACTGCATAAACTTTACTAAAGTATAATATATATATAGTACAGTATATGTAAGTTATATTTATATCAGGGTTAAGCAAGGTTTTGGATTTTAGGGGGGTCTAGGGTGGGGTCAACTTACAAAATTCTCGAAAAATCTTGGGGAGTCTAGGGTGGGTGTAGACTTTTATTGCATTTTTAAACTGCATTTTTTTCAAAAATCCAAAATCAAGAGCGGTCAAGAGAAAATTCCCTAAAATTCCCCAATATTCTCATGTTCCCATTCCATAAAGTTCCCATAAATTCCCAAGAAAATAGGTAAATTTTCACAAAATATAAATAATTTTTTAAAAATTAATAAAAACTTAAATTTTAACAAAAAATAAAATAATGTATTTAAAATTTATAAAAATAGTTGATAAAAGCATTAATGATACACTATGAGTTATTCTTAATATTTTAATAATTTGTAACTTTTAACATAATTAATTATATAAATAATAGTTAAATAATAATTAATGTTTATAGTTTATAGGTACATAATTTTATTTTTATATAAAAATTGACTGAATATTAATTATTTAACTTAATTTTTGTTAAAATTTTAGTTATAGTAATTATAAAAATTGAAAATATTTTTAAAAAATTTCATTAAAATTTTAAAAATTATTAATAAAACATTATAATATAAGTATTTATTGTTTTACTAACTTTATTTATCTTAAACTTCTATTTAAATTGTAATATGATTACTGTTTTTTCAACAAATAGGTAATTTTTAATTTTTTAGTTGAATATTTTAATTAAAATAATGTTATTTTTAGATAAGTTTTAACGTGCTTTTAACAATTTTACTTATTTTTAATCATTAATTAGATTCATATAAATTTTAAAAACATAAAAACACTTACTAAAATAGTATCAATTAAAATAAAAAAATTTATAAGCTTCAAAAAGAGTGGTTATTTCTCCTCATTTTTAAGAGTCATGGGTCAAATCCGAAAATTTCGATCTTAGGGGGTCATTTGGCTTGACCCCCTACCCCCCCTTGCTTAACCTTGATTTATATGTATATATATACATTACTACTACATTACATACTGTACTAATTTTATAATCACTTATCACTGCAGTCTACAGCAGCCGTTATCACAATGATTATACTCACAATGAGCCCTTACTTGAAAACATAATTACTGACCAAGATAAAAAACAAAAAAATTCTAATACACAAATTTAATAACCTTTTTTATATAATATTAAATAAAATATACTATTTAATTAAAATAAATATGTAACAGTGTATTTGAGCTAGATGAAATATATTTTAATAGACCATAAGCTTCTACAGTGCATTTTAATCAAAATAATCAAAAATCACTTTGTGATCACCAGTGGTATACAGTATAGACCAAAATAAATGTTTAATACTTAAATAAAGTTAATGAATGCATTTTTGCGGATATAATTTAACACACATTTATCATTTGTTTACTCATAAATGTCTAATTTGGTGAATATTTTATAATAAATGATTGATTATACGTATAAATATATTAATCTAAATAAACTCTACAATAAAAATTAACATTTGCAACTATATTTAATTTAATTAATTAATTAATTTTTAAGAAAATTTTTTTTTGCTTCTATTACTGTTATTATTTATTTTATTAATAAATAAATTATTAAATTCATTACTTTTTGTTATTTTTATTCAAAACAATTAGAATTATTAAAATGATTTTTCATAGCTTTTATGAATTTTAATTTTATGTTTATATTATATGTAAAATATTTATAATTACGAAAATAAATAATAATAAATACTACTATAATAAATATTTTTATCCATAATTTTAAATATATTCTAATAAATGTAATTAACTGTTTTTTGTGGTTTTAATTATAATTTATTTACATTTACTATCAATACTTTTTATAATAAAGAATATTTTGAAATCTATAATTTTAATAATTAAAAAAATATTTTTATTTGCATTAAATTAGTATTATATGAAATATATTTATATTAGTGGATTTATTTTGAATTTTGTGATCATTTTATTAATAACAAATATATACAAAAACTATTGAACTACAAAAACTATATTAAGGAAAGGCATTTTCATAAATAAAACATTTTATTTAATGCCATTATATTCTTGATATAACAATAAATTTATAAGTTTATAATATATTTATCAATATTAGTTAATTTTAATTAAAATCTATTTAATTGTTATCATCGATAGGAATGCTGTACTTTTGTAAAAGTGCTTTTAGCCGTCGGTTTTCATTTTTGGTGTCAACAAACTGTTGCCGAATTGCATCCAATTCATTACTTTAATATTACAAAAATTAATAAAATAAATAATATATTAATTAAATTATAATCAAACCTTAATATTTCATTTTCTTTGAGAACTTCATTTAATCGGGCGTTTTCTGCACATAAGTCCTGAATATATTCAGTGGCTTTGGCCAAAATGCCTCCCTTTGATTGTCCCTAAAAAGTATAAATATATCATTAAATTAATTAAACATATATTTACTAAATTCAAATAATAACTTGTTTTGTGTGGTCCTGTTGGCAATCGGGAACAACTTTCGACAACTTTATTATCCAATTATTAATTTTGTCTCTTCTCCTGCGCTCCACTTCATTATGAGTGGCCCTTCGTTTCTCATCTCTAGCCACTCGAGTAGTACCCCCTCCTTCAGTAGCACTTCCTGTATCATTCAAATAGCAAATTCCAAATTATCTGAGAAAATAATAACATTTTAAAACCAATTACTTGTTCTGCGAATATTAGTTGTGGAATGAGATATAATTTCTTGAGTGGGAGCCATCATCACATAGAAAGGTCCATCGGTACCACTGGCGGCCGCCAATTGTTGAGTCGCTGCACCAAAAGGATTGCCCGAATGGGCTATAAGTTATAAAATTTCTCATAAATAACATTATTTTGTCATTAATGACAGATTCTGTTAATAACTAAACAAAAAGGTCAACATTGGACAGACAGACCCGTTAAAAGTGCTACAGAGCTGTGTTGATTTGGACTCACTATAGTTGGCGTTACCACTGATATGACAAACAAATATTGTAACAAATAATAATTAAATTTATAATTATTTATATTAATATCAGTTTTTACTGTATATTATTTAATAATACATTTATCAACAAATTAGTCAAACCTGTATGCGTTGGATGCGAGTCATCAACAGTGACCACTCTATAAGTGACTGATCCTATAATTAAATGGTTAGCAATGAGTTTAATACAACATATATTATATATAATAATAATAATAGTCTGATCACCTCCCTGTCCATTCTCAGTCTTGAACTGGTACTGAACAGAACCGCTATCTGAATCAAAAGCTATGATATCAACAAAATTAAACAAATATTCAAATCAATAATTGTCTTAACGTTTGCTAACTTTGTTGAGATTGACCTCTCATTGAGTCCGAGTTTTCTTCATTTGAATCGATGGCAGCGTCTGTGACAACAAATTGTGTTAATTATGTCATTAGTTGTCAACAATGCATACCTTCATCTTCATTAGCAGTAATCTGTTCTTCATTGGTGTCTTCATGTGAACTGATTTTAAACAAATGGTTTACTTATCATATGTTATGATGTAATCAATCAATAAAATCAAATCAAATGTATATATCATATATAAGACCTGTTATTATCATTCAATGGGTCCATGAATTCAATGTTTGATTCAAGTTTGGCAAACAATACTAATACAGATCACGAGTCACACTATCATGTGATCCAATAATACCATCAAAACATTGACAAACATTGACAACAATTCATACAAAAATGGCCACAAATCACATCATTCATATAAAACGTACACTTTTTTGGTCACTTTTTTTTGTTTATTAACGAAAAAAAATTACATCCAATTATCAAAACATTTAATTTTTGCAATTAAATTATATAATTAATTGCAATTTCTTTACGACTAAGTTTTTTGGATAATTAATAACTGAATTAAACCATTAGTTTAATTGAAACAATGATTTCAATGTGAATAATAATAATAATAATATAAAATAAATTATAGAAATCCGGATTCATTAAGGGATGACACGGCTATATATACAATAAAAATACAATTATATTAATTAGTATATAATTATATAAAACACAATCAATTAAGACCTTCTTTGGCAAAGAAGCGCACGTCAACATCGGAATCGTTTTGTAATTTATCCAAACAGGGCTTCACTTGGGTTTGAATTGTACTACAAATTAATAAATATCTTAATAAATATACAGTACTTTAATTATAAGTATTACTTCTGATCAAGAATTGGTCCAATCTTTTGTAAAGTCTTCGCAACATTAAAACGAACATTTGGTACACTGTCTGAGCCCAGACTAACCACAGTTGGAAGCATTTGTTTCTAATATTTCAATTTTAATAATAATAGAAATTATAAATTTATTTAAAAACCAAAATTATGAAAATTGAAACAATCACTGACTGCTGTAATTTCCGGTCCGCAAGCGTTTGCCAATACATTGATAGAGAAAAGACAAGTCATTCGATGCAAATAATTCTGGTCTCTTGACATTTGCAATACTTTGGGAATAACTGTATTCGTGGCCCAATCAGACCCAAACTTTTCAACTAATTTCTTAAGGTTTTGTGTGGCCGCCTCTCGGATTGCAAATACTAAATGTCAAAACATATTACCAGTAAATACAAAACATTCAAACAATTCAAAGCCAAACCCTGATCGACGAGCCAAGTCATGCATAACGTGTTGAGCTTCTCATCAAAGAAGTCAACGCCAAGCTGTCCGGCCAGTAATGGCATGTATTGAATGATAGCTAACCGGACGCGCCATTTTGTGTCTTCGGCCAACTCAACAATCGCTGGCAGTAATGACTGACTTAATTGTTGAATTCCAATCACTTCATTAACACAATCCAAGTTTGAAATGATATTAAGTCTGACTTCAGGACATTCGTCTTTTAGTTGAGACAAAAACATTGGCAACAAATGCTCAATAGTGTTATGTTTGCCCAAAATGGGTGACAAACCCATTATAACCGACGCCAAAGCAGACTTCACGTGTTGATTAGGATCTGAAACCAAGTCTTTAACACCTTTAATAAATTAATACATAAATAAGTATAAATCAAATAAATAATATTATATTAGTTTATGCATTACATGGCAAAACATTAGTCATTATTAGCTGTTCCTGAGAGTCGGCGGGCGTTAAATTCTGACAAAAGTCTTTAACTTTCTGAGCGGCTGCTGCTCTCACTTCTGCCTCACAATCTTTAAGTAGATTTTGAAAAGCGGGCACTAAATCATTGCGTGTAATATCAGGTCCAACAGCTTTTTGTAATTCAGTAAACTTGTCGGCAACCATATATCGGACGCGCCATGACTTGTCCTCAGCGGCTGACCTTAAGACAGGCATCACATGCTGTTCAATATCTTCATTTGAAAGAAGTGATGCAATGGAAACACACGCCTCAACAGCTAAAAGTCGTACTGAGTCCTGATCGTCGGAAGCCAATAGTGACCACAAAGAGATTACTTCCGACTTAACGTATTCCGGTTCTAACACTTTTGCAAACTCTCCTAATTTAGATGCGGCGGCTCTTCGAACCATTGGAGTGTCGTCTTGACATAACTGACGAAACGCACTGACATTTATCGGACAAACAATTCATTAATAAAGAAAAATAAAATGATATGAGAGTTGAGATTAGATAAAATTAATTACTTTCTTAAATCTGTTTTCACTTGATTTGAAACTCGAGGATAACAGACACCAAAGAGACCACAAGCGCTCGTTCGCGATGTAAACCAATCGCCTAAATATCACAAAAAAATTGTTAATTAAAAAATAATTAAAATACCGGTAAAATCAATCAAATACCTGATGCAAGTCGTTTGACAAGAGGTACAAAATAAGTCTCCAAGTCTTGAGGTGAATGTTGCTGTGAAACAATCCTAAGACTTTCGACAGCTTTATCTCTGACCACTGTTTCTTCAACCGTCGCCAAAGATTCTAATGGCGGTAACAATACGTGGACGTACTCTTGTCCACCAATTAATGATGTAAAAGTGCCCAACTGTTCGGCCAAAGCCAGTAGAACTTCGTCCTCATCATAGATGGTGTCTGTGAGGAAAGGTATGAGTTCAGTGCGGGTCCGCTCAACACCTAATGCCAGAGCTATTGTCGACAATTTGCGGATTGAGTTGAGACGTAACTGCAAAAGACAACAATCATCGGCATATCAATTGTTTGGTCAATTGGTGGCCTCGACTGTGTTTTACATACCTGCACGTCATCGTTACGGAGTTCATCGATGAGGACAGCGATCGGATAGAGAGAGTCATCGCCGGAGACCTCACTGGAGACCACACTTTGCGTCACTTGAGTCGCCATTTGATTGCATTAACTGATTATTATTATTACAATTGCTTTCAATTGCTTTCAATGGCTTTCAATGCACTCAAAGTCAATGATATCTCACTCATCAATACTATCGCTCATCGCTTAACACGTGTGGCGACACCTGAAGTGCTACACGTGTTGACACTTGCATTGGATCTCAACATTTGAATTACTGATTGACATCTTTACAGATGATTTGATATAATCTTTGGCTACCTATATATGATCACAATTTATGGTTCATCTATTGGCCAGCGATGGTGTCCAACGCGGGAAAGATGTTACTCAAGAATACCATTCAATCACTGGAACTCCAGAATAAGGTTTTGTTGTCGAAGAAGTACTTCAAAGACTGACTAATTGTATGTCATTTTGTGTTTGAGTAGATTAAAGAAGAGAAAGAAATGTGGAGTAAATTGAAGAATGAGAAGGAGTTGGAGAGAAATACAAGACATAAACGACACAATTATGAAGACTATAATGACAACAAAAGACGTGAAACAGAAGGTGGTTGCAGTGGTGATCGCAAAAGACACAAATCAAACAATAAAAAGGATAACTATTGGCTCAAAAAATTGATGACCGCAGAGGAACAACTGTCCGGTGAAAGGTTTGATCATTTGATTATTGGTTACCATTGAATTCAATTTATTATCACTTCAGATGGACTCATAATGGCTTTAAAGAGCTCTATGAAGAGGAGTTAGCTTCAAATAAAAGCACTTCCGATGATTCAAGTGATGAATCAAACAAAAAAAGAAATAAAAAGAAAAGAAAGAAAGAGAAGAGAAAACATAAGAAGAAACACAAAAGACATAAAAAAGACATTAAAAAAAGTAAAAAATAATTTTTTCAATAATAAAAATAATTCAAAAAATAATTGTAGAAAATTATTGACATTTTTAAATATTACCGTAAAATAAATTATTTTATAAATTTGTTTCTCTCATATACTGTTAAATTTAATTGTCAAATAATAATTAAAGTAAATAAAAGACAAAAAAATAATTAGTTAATAATAAAATTGATATCCTATTTAAAGTTGGCAAATATTATAATACCTACCGGTAATTGTAATTTATTATACTGTTATAATAAATAGTGTAATAACATATATGTCCATTGGCACCGGTACTGTATTTAATAATTTATGTAAATTGCCGTATACTGTATATACTGTACTTTTACCGTAAGTTTGTAATACTTACGGTTAGTTTGGATTTGTAGTCAATTTATGTCAACTTAAAGTACCGGTAATGGATTTTTTGCTGAGACTCTTCAATTAGCAATCAGTATTATGTTGACTACATTTTTATTGACTTTAAAAGGTATCGTAACTTTATTGAGAGCAACTGTAAAGACTTAACAAATAAGATAAATCTTAATTATAAAATTATGATTATTAAATTTATGTGTAATTTGAGATTTTTAAATAAATGAGAAATTAAATTATTTTATTAATTGATGCGTTAATACAATAATGATTATAATTACAAGTGATATAACAAGTTATAATAATAAATATAATAACTTATTAATGCATATTGATGTGTAATTCATAAATATACAAATAATATAAACAAATGTGAAATACATTGAAATATATCAACAATTAAGTGCTAATCTCATATACAAATACAGAATAATTATTAAAATATAAGTAATAATATACAAAAAACGTACAAACTTTCTATAATTATACGATAATCTCGTTATTACATCTTTGATATAATATTTTTTGATCAGTTTTTTTTTGTGTCGATATATTAAATGTGTGCTTAAGTGATACACATTTTTAAATATACGTGAAAATACATGTGATATAAATATAGCTAAAAAACAACAATGAAATTATCTTTTATAAAGATTTTTAAATTATTTTAAACAAAATACTGATCAAAATATAATCACAATAAAATCACTTAAATTATATGACTATTTTTATATTTCTAATGCAAGATTATAAATTATTTTTTTATTAATTTTACTGTATATAGTAGTATAAAGGTAATAAAATTTTGATAACTTAATTTAAAAATAATTATATATTTAAAATGATAAATTAAATTATAATAAATTTATAAAATTATAATAAATTGGCACATTTTAAACAGTTTTATGAATTAAGATATACAATAATAAAATATTAATTGAAAAGTGTTGACAAGTTTTTTAAATAATTAGCAACAAGTTAAATAATTTACTTATTATTAATTAATTAATTATTTAAATAATGACAATGTTTTGTAATTTTATTTAACACAGAATGTGTGCAAAAATTCAATTAAAGGTACTTTTAATTTTTGCTTCACATTTACCATAAAAATACAAAACTAAATAGAATTATTGAAAAATATATTTAACTTATACTGTATTTACAACATAAATATTAAGATAATAAATTTATAAATAATTATTTAAGAAATGTTATATTTAAAACACGTATAAAGTATTAAATTACTCAATCAATTTAACATTACACTTATTACATGAGGTAATCGTAAGAATTGCTATAAATAACTAAGAAATTGATATACAATATGAAAATACATTTGACGTGGGATTCATTGGATCAGACAAAACCATTAATTATAATGTATTGCAATCTCCAGTAAACAAACAGTTGATGTTTTATTATTTCATATTTAAATAGTTAGGCCTCAGTCTCTCCTCTAAGTCTTAAACGCGCAAAATCTTCAAATATAATATCATCCGTGTCTTCTCTGTATAAAAATATTGAAAGCAATGTTAATCTTTCATTGAATTTAATGTTAATAAGTATTTACTTATAATAAATATATTGTATAATATAAACAGTGTGGTAATAAAAATAGAAATATAATAAATGTAATATTGTATAATAAAATTGAAATAAATAACTTAAACTTAAAATAAATTTTATATAAAAGTGTTTCATATCTAATTTTTATATAAAAGTGTTTGTTATTTAATTAAATTACGGTAAGTCTCCCTTTTCATTGAGCATTAATTTCATTAATCAATTAGTTTAATAAAATGTTGGTTTAAAATTTAAACTTAATTATAACAAAGTTGAAATAGTGTCCCTATATAATTATAATATACATTACAAAATACATAATACAAATATATGAATTATATTGTGTATTATGTTTTAATAAAGCTTAACTAAAATTATAATTAATATTAATTTTAAACATGTTTATTAAATTTAAATATCATATATAAAAGCTAAAAAACAGTGACTTTCAAAATTGGATTCATATACAATCCTATCTTTCTATATCTAAATAAAAAATGCAAATATCATAAATAGAAATGGGATAAAAATGTAATAAAATATTAACTGATTTGAAAACAAAACACTAAGGATTATAATAAATAGAAAAATAATTTAAATTTACGACAAAAATATTAAAATGAGTTATTATTGTAATATTGCAGAAAATAACAAATATTTAAACATTAATTCTTATACTTCTGTACTATAAATTCAATTTATTATATTTATTAAAAGTATGTAAGAAAATCACTGTATAAAGTATTATTAATAATAATCAGTTTTTAAAATTACGGCACAAATAAAGTAATATAATCAATAAATTATGGATGACTTACGCGTCCAATTGTATTAGGTTTGCCTCATTGACCACATTTTCGTTTGGATTATTAGCATTAGACTCGCCATTGTCGGCATTATTGACATCAAATGGCATTGAATTAAAATCATTTTCTTCGGGTTTCGGATGCATCAAAACAAACGGAAGTTCTGCGACCACATCCCCACCCAATGGACCCAAACATAGTTTTACTTTAACCTTGTATTGTACTATAATCCCTAAGTTTTCCTTCTGAGTTGGATCTGTTACACTGTTTTGACAATAATTATTGATTAATATTTAATATATTGATAAAATCAATAATATAGTATACAGTAAACCGATATATTCATACATTGTAGATGAGGCTAAATTTGTGTCCTCATGTTTGAGCTGACCATCTAAAGCAAGGCCGCGTTTGTCTTTATTATTTGCTAAGAGTGGCCTCAAGTAATATACTTTAGATAATGTAAAACCTGGGCTTATTGGACAACCATCTCTGTAAATATTAAATTATTAAATTAAATAAAGTGCTAATAATTGTTAATAATTAGAGGACATACTCGCTCTCGACTTCAGCAACTGTGCACTTGTATTGAGCCGTTGAAAACAAGCAAATGTCTGCAAACTGACGAACAGATATTTTGACTTTTTTAACTGTTCTGTTGGAACTGTTAGCAATGTGGACATTGACGGCTATATTTTCTCCGTGATGATACAACTCCTTGTCCAGTGATGCCTCTAAATGCAACTTATTGGGAGACATCATAAACTCTTTGCTAACTTCAACACTGGGCTGTTCTCCCTGTTTGGAGGGCGCGTACACCACTTTCCTGATGGCTAATCGTACAGAACTCCTCTTATGTGGTTTTTCATCCACATTTTCAGCTACATATGCCTTTAATTCATAGTCAACACCACATGGCTTCCCTGTATCTCCCGGTGCCGGTTGTAATGTAACTGATGCCGGACAATGTGGAGGAAGCTATGAAAACATTTCTTTATAATTGTCTAATTAATTATAACTTATTCATCCTTTACCTCAAAGAAAAATGGAAAAGCATTTGAACCTAATTTCCTAATAAGTCTTTCTTGAAGTCGAGTTAATTGTCTTTTTATTGAATTTGGTTCGTCTTTTGCCGGAAATATTTGTTCCGACGCTAAGTAGAGATCTTTACGAAAAGTAAGTCCTAAGACATCTAAATCTTCTCTCCCGTACCGAAATGCGGCCAAAACATGACCAAACACTTTGCGATCTTTTATATAATCCGGATCTATTAATACTACTCCATCTAAATCCATCACATATTAACATACAGTATATGTTAGTCATTTAAAAAAGCATTTATTTTTAAAATAAGTAATCACTTGCCAATGGGATCGACATGTGTTAAGTGATCGACAAAATCTCTTTTCCCTAAATATACTGTTATCTAAATTTTTTTTAAAAAAATATTTAATATAATAAATTTAATAATAAAAATTTGCTTAAAATTAATTTGTTAATTAAAAGAAAATAAAAGTTATCCAATAATATTTAATTAAATAAAACACATTATAGTATCACTAACTTGTAATATAATTTTAAAACAATTAAAAAAATATGAAATGTAATTATCATTTTTATGATTATATGATAAATGTAAATTTCTTTACTTGATTATCACATATATAATAAATTTATTCGATTTCTTTATTTTGTAATTTTATATTTTATTTATAAATTAAATATATTTTAATGCAAAATACAATTTCCAACATTCCTGTAATTTTAATAAAAGTAATTTCCAACAAAAATAATAGTGCCTCAATTGATAATATTAAATTAATAAAATTATATATATTAATAAAAAATCATAATAAAAAACTACAATTATATTGGAAATACAGCATTTCAAAAATATAATCCCATTTTCGTAATTTCCTAATACAAACATCCTTATTACATAAAATAACTTTTATGTTATCATAAATATATATATATATATTAATCTTTAGTTAACAATACTAAAAATAAATTATTCTAAATATTCATGTTTTGTTTGTTATCAATTGTTTAAAAATAATTTTACAAAACATTGCTAATAACTTGTTATACATTTTTTAAATAGATAATCGATTTTAAAATTTATTAAAAAAAATATGTAAAATTTCATATAAAACATTGTCAATTACAGGTAAACTAATCAATAAAAGCAAAAGTGCTACAAATACTTTGCTTAAAACTTTTAATGCATTTTCAAGGGATCTGTAATTTAAAACTCGTAAATACTGTAAATATTATACTTATACATAGGAAATGTAAAAAAACAGCTAATACTGTACTAATTTTATTTTATTTTTATGTTTTATTTTAGATTAGATAAAATATATTGTATATGTTATATAAAATATACACTAATATATAATACATAAATCGATACTTACTTTGCCGTTGGGAGAGCTCTTTTTGAAGACCCTATCAGAGAATTAAACATATAATAAATATATCAGATTTTGTTGAAAATTATATTATAGAATAACTACTAAAAACTGTATTATTATTAATGCTTATAAGTTACTAACAAACAACTTAAGATTAATAAAAGCAATTTTAAAATAAAATTCAATCATTGGATAAGTCACACATAATATTATTATATTATAATATCAAAATAAAGAGTAATTAAAAAAATTTAAACAACAATAGAATTAATTTTTGCATTTATAATATCAGATATAAAAACTAAATACATGTGTGACAAGCATTTATTAAATGTGCGATTATATCAGTCTCAGTGAATGTTAATAAAAATAAAATGTTTCAACTATAAATACTGTATTATTATACTGTATCATAAATAGTATAGACAGTAGATATAGTATTGATATAAGTTAGGTATAATAAGTATAAATAGTATCATACCTTATATTATTAGTATCGGATTCAATCATACTTTCAAAACAACAGTCAAATTGAGATCATTTAATTAAATCAATATTTTCTATTTTTTAAAATAAAAATTCTTTGTGTTTGTGATATTATTTGAATATAAAATTTTTATTCATTAATTTATTTTTGAAAGTATCTCTTTCGATGACATAACAACATAATCTATGACTTTTGTGTATCACATCAACAGTTTTTCTCTATGAAAAATTCAAAAAATAATATTTCCTTAAATTAACATTTGAAAAACACATTCAAATAAAATATTTCAAAAATGTTTTACGAGTTGTCTTTTAAAAGTAATGATATATAATAATAATAAATATTGAAAATATGTGTAAACTTTAATAACCAGATCTCAAGTGCAAAAACAAACAGTCTCTGCAAACGAGTAAAAGGGATGTAATTTATACATAGTATATGTGCTCCGATTGTTTGGTTTATATATATATATATATATATAATTTATAAAAACACATATATAAATTGGTATAGACTTAGAGGAAAGTGATGTTTAGTGAGTGGTATATAACATTGAGATAAATATGAGACATGATTTCAGTTTTTGAGACATTATGTTTCATAAATATATATATATATATTTCTTATGAATAATCATAATGTATATAATATATGAATTTATGTATGTATAGTAAGTTATATATCTCTGTAATATTAATTATATAAACAATCTTTAGTTTGTGTGTCTTTAAAAAAACAAATAATTATGTATTAAAAATATACTTATAAAGAGATGAATATAAATAAATAGTAATTAGGAAAATGAGATAATAGTCAAAACAGAGAGCAAATAGCATACATATATCATTTGTTTAATATGAATACACGAATACATGAGCAGTGGTATAGTATCTATGGGTTTTGCCTTCAAAAATAAATTACTTCTCAACTAAAATCAATTAAGTTTTACACAAATTTACGATAAATGACATAAATTTTGCAAAAGCATAGCTGTATAGCAATCATAAGTACTGTAGTTATGCTAATTATTTGCTATATTTTAAATATATTTTATTATTAATGTATTAATATAAGTGACTTTGACTATCATTAACTTAACGGAAGAACTTTACGATTTAATGTAATATAATAATTAACTGAACTTAATGTTAGGATAACTTTATATATGACACCGATATGTTGTTATATATTTATTATAAACTTAATACAGTACCGTACTATCAATATTTATTTAATATTGCATTCATCTAATAAAATTAAATTCATACAAATGTTAACTATAATAAAAATTTACTTATAATGTATAATACTTAGTAAGGTATACATAGAGGATTAGACTGTAAATCGTATATAATTGAATCAATCACTTCATCTAAAAGCTAACGTGTAATACAATGTTTGCAATCAAAGTTTAGTTGTTATTTGTAATCATATGAGCAATGCTTCAAAGCAATTGTCTTTTCATAATAAATTTAATAGATATAAAAACAATGAAAATCTCCACTAAAGCCAACATTTATTTAGATATACAATATATACTGAAATTCAATTAAATATATATCAGTAAAATCCAATGGATATACAAAATTGAAAGAAAATCAAAGAAAGTATGAAAATATTGACATTTTTACATCATTTCAAATATTTATTATATTTATATTGAATATCATATAAATCCAGAATATATTCTCTTATGAATTAGTTTGCAATTATATTAAACATAACTGTTAGTGATATTTATATTTTCATAATTTAAGCTAATTTTATAGTTCATGTTAGATATACTGTACAGTATTATAATCAATTAATATGACAATTGCACGCATCTTATTATAAATACATTAGTCTTGTTTTGTTAGAAGCAATTAAATCATAAATTTTAATTATATTAAGGGCTTAACATTGGATGAGATTTTATTAAAAGTACATTCATTTCATGTCAAGTCATTTGAAGTCACAAGAAATCATTTGTTGCATTAGAGTCGCAAACAATGCAATCATTTTGATAATTGAATTAAAAAATTAAATTATTGCTTAACTGACGATTAATTGACGTCAAATCATTTGCCACACTTTATATCCATTTATATATACATCAAATGTAATCATATCTTATAATTTTAAAAGTCATATCATATTTAATTTGTTACTGTTTTTAATTATCTGACATTTAATTTAATAGATAGCACAACAAATTGTTATCATAAAAGTATGTAATTTGTTTTATTAATCAAGTATTTAATTAATGTTTTATTAATAATACAAAAACTGGGAAAATGTTTTTTCAAGTGTTTATGCATATAATTAATATTAATATTACAAGAGATAAATTTATAATCATTATAATGATTGTGATAATACAAATAGAAAATAAAAATACTAAAAAACATCAAAAATATTAAAAAGTGGTTCAATATATAGAAAATGCATTTAATAAATAAAATGAAATTTTTGTTACTATTCATAATACTAGTCATATAGTGATAGATGTTTGAGATAATGAGCAATAAGTATCAAATGGTCATCACATCTGTATTATGCGGTCATCAAAAAACAATTATCAACTAAATGGTGACAAACCTGGTTCCGGGTCTTCTGTTGTCATCTGGAGAGTTATCCATTGATACATCCAGTGATGGCAATGATCACAGCATTGGTCACACAAATCAAGTGTTGTTTGTTATTGGTTTGTCTGTCTTATCAAATGCAATACAACTGTCAAACACTGTATTCAATATTGTATTGAATATTGTGTTAACATTCAGTTCACACATAAATATATTACTTCAATACAAGCATTCAATTGATAACAACTAATAATATGAATGAATACTTCACTGATTCTGCTCTTAAATATTAACTGCAAAAGCAATGGCTCTGTAATACAAACGGATCCGGATATCTATATAACCAACAATAGATGACACGACTAGCTATACTGTAATATACAGTATTATTAATACCAATGTCAATTTATTAATACAATACAATTATTGTAATTTACCATTATAATTTATAACCACTTTTTAATTAACATTTATTTTTAATAATTATTTTATAAGATAAATACCTGTCAAATATAATCAAATAAATTATATTTCATTTAATATATGATATTTACAAAAAATATTAATTGTAAAAATTGAATTTTAAATAAAACAAAATAATTACATAATAAATATTAATATTAATTAATTATAAAACTATAATATATTTATATATATTTATATTTATATACCATATTTTTAGCGTTAAATTTAAATAAATAATACTATCTGTTAAAAGTAAAAACTTTATATAAACTGGAATAAATTCATATATTATTAAAATATCCTAGTTAGATTTATTAAAAATTATCTATTTTTCTAAATAAAATTTCTTTATTAATTTATCCATTTTTTGAATTAATATTTTCTGGATTTTTTGTATATTGATGACTTAATTGACTTAAAAAAGGGTTGCAAAAGTTAATACTTTTAAATAAATAATATGAGATTTCATTGAGATTTATAGTTCATTTCCTCTAAAAATAGCAAAAAATTGTTGACATACCAGAAGAGTATTTTTTAAAAAGCATTCATTATTATTGCTTATCAGAAAAAATTAGTAAAAAATTGTGTTGTCTTTAATCGAAAGAGTAGTTAACAATAACATCCACTTTCTTCTCCTTGATTTTGATCTCTTTCCAGAGGTAAAGGTCTCAAAGGTATAGCTAAAGAAAATTAGTTATAAAAGTCAAGGAAATATCATTTGTTAGATATTGTTAATAAAAGTCAAATAATATAAAAATTCAGTTATAATAAAACATTTGTTATTTTTAAAGTTTTAATACATATTACACAATCTGTAAATTAATTATAACTAATATAATATACGCTTATTTCTTAACTCAAGTTCTCACTAAATAATTTTTATATTAAAATATTTAACATTGCAGTAATTAAAAATATTTATTTATAATATATCATTATTTATATTAATAAAAAGATAATTTAAAATAATATTATAACAAAACCATAGTTATTGAAAAAGTTTTATTTGGAAAGCAAATGATATCCAGAATGAAATTAATTTAATGTAAATTACGGCACAAATTAAGAGCTGCTTTCGATCCATGCATTTAACGATAATTTCCAATAAATAAATTTGAGATAATTTCATGCAATAGATATACAAAGTAAATAATCTATAAAATTAAATAAAAAATATAATTTTATTCGGTTTCTCTCTCAGCACAAGCATTTGCCCTCTTGACTGGTCTGCTCTGAAGGACCGTCCTTTAGGTCAACTTCAACAACTAGACAACAGATAGTGATAAGAGTGCGGGTTAAGGATTATAACAGACAACTAAATCAATCAATTGATTGTATAGCTATTATGTTCATTAAATATGCCATCAAAATCATATATAATTAATTAATTTTGTCCTAACATTTGAAAACATTACTTACTTATGTTTTCATTATTATATAAAATGATAAAAATAGTTAATTATAATAGAAAAGGATACTGTCTTCTCGTGCTCTATCGTTAGTCTCCATTCCCGGTAAGGCTGCGGCAACTCTTCTAAACAACTATCGGTATATACAGTATAGATATATAATATAGAAATTAATAGTTAATAGAGTTATGTCTAACTTGTTTAACGTTGTAACCGGATTTAGCACTCGTCTCAATAAACATAACATTCAGTTCTTTGGCTTTTTTCTCTCCCTCTTCAGTAGTCACCTGTCGTTTATCCTGGAGGTCAGTCTTGTTTCCAACCAACATAATTATCACATCATTTCCTCTCTCAGTCCTCACATCATCGATCCATTTGGACGTTTGATGAAATGAGTTGGCGTTTGTAATGTCATATACAACGACAGCAACCGTTGAATCTCTTATATAACTAGGAATAAGACTTCTGAAGCGCTCTTGACCTGCGGTGTCCCACAACTGTAATCGTACCTATAATTACAACATGAGTGACATATTTATTTAAAAAAAAATTAATAAATCTATATTTTGTCAATTTTAAACTTCATAATAATATTAAATAAATAGAATTTAATACCTATAATAGTGAAGTAGCGGTAGATATAAAATAAGTTTTATAAGTAATATATTTTTAGTTAAAATAATTGTCTTTCATCATTATTTAACTTAGTTTTTAGTTATTATATTATGAGATTTTACAGTAGCTAACATAAAATAATATTAAAAAATAATAAAGATAACTTTAAATATTTATGTCAATATTTAATATACCGTACGTATAAATTTAAATGCCTAAATAATATTATTATAGATAATATATATTATATTCTAAAAGAATTATTGGTAATTAATAACTATTTATATTAAATAAAAAAAGTAAATTACAAAATCTACAATAATTATCAGGCTAAATTTTAAAATATTCAATATTTAAGATATATTAATATATACAGTAAAACAAAAATATTGTACTATTTTTTAAATAATAATATTAGGTAAATAATTACAATGTTTTAAAATTCATAAAATTTTAAACATATCAAAAATATAATAACCAATAAAACAAAATTACAAAATGTTTTGTAATTATAAATCAACATATAATATGTTTACATTTACATTTTTAAAACATATATTAAATGTTGAGGTCATTTATACATTTATGGTATAAAATGTTTGATCTAATTTGTAAAATAAGCTAATGTTATAATTACTTTTTAACCAATTTATCAAAATATTTATCTTTTATGGGAATAAAGCGTAACTCCGTTATAGTCAGATATTTTAAAAACAAAATTATGTTTAAATTTAAAAGTTTTACAATTTATCAATAATTGTAATAAAAAAATATTAACAAACAATTATAACTTATGCAGACATAAATTAGGTTAAAAAAAATTTTTTCAAGCATTCAAACAGATATACAGTATATCTATATTAATATATTGATATAACAACACAATTACGACAATTAACTCGTAATGAGTCATAAAATATGATAATAAAGATATGAATATATGATAATTAAATGACTTGTTATCGTCATCGGTGGTCAAGTAATCAAAATTAAAAGTCTACTAAACTGTTCGGTCCTCTAAATACATGGTTTTGGACAAGAAGTCGATGCCGATAGTGGCCTGATATGTGTTGTCAAACGTGTCGTACATGAATCGGGTGATCAATGATGTCTTACCGACTGTAGTCAGTGGCCAACAATCAATATATATATTAATACTTATCAGACAATCAAATCAATTACTTACCGCTTTGTTCGCCAAGAAATACTAATTTGAATTTACGTAAAGGATTACCGAAATCACCTGAAGATGACATCTCTGACACTGTTTTAGTAATCAATTTGAAGACAACTATTATTTACAATCACATCAATCACTCAACGACTCAGTCATTCATTGATTCAGTCTTTCACTCAAACACTACAAACACTACAAACACATTACAACTCATACACACAACTAATATATAACAATAACTATATTACACACTATGTTGGGCCACATGTTATACAAGATGGGCCACAAACATGTATTATTTAATACATTTGGCATTAATATATAGAGCGTTGAATTATAACAAACATTTTTACATTTAATATTTAATTAAATAATCATTTAAATGAAACATTAATTTAGTTATTGATTATTATTTAACAGAAATTAGTTTAGAAATTGTTTATCAATTAAATGTTAAATTGAATGTTTGTTTTTGTGTAATGAAAAGCATCGCTCACTAATTGCGTTTGTTTTGCAATACTCGACAATAGTTTACAATACATATGTATTACAGTAATAATAAATACTGTATTAATAGAGAGTCTGTATTACAGTAGAAATATCTGATAAATATTTTTACTTTAAATTAATTACTAATTATTAGTCAAATTGTAAATTGCATTCAAAACAAGACAACACTCTTACCACTCATTTATTTGTTTATATCATTGATTTTTGATGTCATAATGACTGAAGAAGTGGACGACAAAGTTAACAATGACAGCAAAGAAGAGGTCATAAACAATGTCAACAAAGACACAATCAAAAGCAGTACAACAACTAAGAACACTTCATCGACAGTTAAGAAGGATAAGACAAAGGATTTGCCGCAAACCAGAGTAACTATTGTCAAGACTTTTGATTGTTTGTTCAATTGATGATTATTAATGTATTTTCTGAATTATCTTTGAATAGGTAGTAATTCGTCATTTGCCACCAACTATGACATCGGAACAGTTTATTGAAGCCATATCTCCGACTCCCGATTACAATGAATATTACTTTTGCAAATCAGATCCCAGTTTAGGAGTGTTTGCCTTTTGTCGGGCGTATATTAACTTTATTCAAGTGGAGGACGTGTTTATATTTAAGGATAAATTTGATGGCTATGTCTTTATTGACACAAAAGGCAACGAATATCAGGCAATTGTTGAGTTCGCACCTTATTATAAAACAATCCGATGTCGAGTTGGTCCAAATGGTCAACCAATTTCATGCAGAAAACGGGACAACAAGTGCGGGACTATAGAACAGGACACTGAATATCTGGAATTTCTTGAAAAGTTAGACAAAATGAAGAACGAGACTAATATGCCATCGGCTGACGTATATCTCGAAGAAATTGAAGCCAGAGATAAACAACTAAAGGCCAATCACGGAGTCCTAAAAGTGACCACTCCTTTGATTGAGTTCCTCAGGAATAAGAAAGAAAAAAATAGAATTAAAGACGAAAGACGTGAAGAAAGAAGACGAAAGAGACTTCAAGAAGAAGAAAAACGTCGAAAACATAAGGAAGAGAAACGAAAGAAAGAAATTGAAGAAAGATTGACGAAGAAAGAAGAAGATAAGATACGAATCAAAACTAGAGATTTGGAGAATAAAAATGAATCTAAAAATTCTGATAATAAAAGTGATAAAAAAGATGTCAAATTGTCTGAAAGTGCGAAGAAATATGATTCAAAAAAATCCGATAAAAAACCGAATCGAAACCGAACTGATTATAAATCAAAGACCAGTTCAGCTAATCCTTCCAAAGCAACTGATCAGACATTTGTAGTGAAAATGGTTACCGAAAAGAAACTGAACTCTCGTATCAGTGATAATAATGAAACAATTAAAGAAAAAAGTGAAGAAAAGAGCAAATCTAGTGAACAACCTCTGTATGAAAGTAGCAAAACTAGTGGTGTTGCAGAAGACAAAAAACGAAGTACATCTAAGACATCATTGGAAACAAGAAAAGAGAGAATTCGTAATAAAGATCGTCCGACCCGTGAAATCTATAGACCCGGTTCTAAACGTACACAAAACGATAGTACAGCTGAGGGATCACATCAAAGTACCAGTGATTCACAAAAGACCAGTTCCAACAAACCGGACTCAAACAATGTAAGTACTGGTTATAAACAAAGAATATTCTCGCGTTCAAAGCAATGACTAAATTTATTATAATTTTATTAATTATATTACTTGTTTTCATACTTTTATTTAAATAAAACTATTTAATTAATCGAATGATTATTCATTGCTTTTTTAAAATTATCACAAAAATATTAGACGATTAACTGAAATACAATTTCATAAATCGATTGACAATAAAATTTGTATTAATTACTTTTAAAGGCATTATTATAATTATAAACAATTAGTTAAATTCAAATTAAGACAAATTCTAATTTTTAAGCAATCAATCAGTTCTACAATAAGCTCTATATATGAGAAGTGGAGATTTGAGTTGATTAATAGTAAGTGCAGTGACTGCAGGAATGAATCCCACGTATCCGGGAGTCAATTGAGTGCCATTACAACTGGCCTCTCCTCGAATCACTATCAGTATAGAACCGCTCTCTTTCTTGGTTACCGTGTATTCAAATGCTAGACTTACATGACTTTCATCAACTCTGATCTCGTCGACGACAAATTCGGGAACCGGTACTACAAATGATTTAGTGAATTCATCCACAATTTTTGGTTCAAAAATCTGCTCTTTAGCTGATTTGCTAATATATGTCAACATATTGCTCAGTGTTTTGACGTCTTTGAATTTGGGTGTCAGTCCTGCGCGAACCACGTTATCAGAACAGGCCATACATTCCATGCAATCTTTAAAGAGGTTTACATCAGAATTACATTACTTAACAAATATTAAACAAATATTTATTGATCGATCAGTCAATACCTCCCACGATGTAAGCGTGTGGCTCATCCTGTCCCAAGTAAATGGCTTCTCCTGGCTTTAACTTAAGATAATTGAGATAAAAAATGGCAAAACACCCGATATCATTGGGAAACTGAGAGTATAGCTTAAGAAACAGTTGTCGTAGCGCTTCCTTATCGGGATCAATAGTTTCCTCTCTGGACCACCTTTGAACCAATGCTTCGAGATTCTGTATGACCACAGTTTCAGGAGCAGACATAAGAGTCACAAATAATTGTTTGAGTCCTTGTTTTTTGTCGGATGCATTCTTATAGTTAGTGGTCGCCTCATTGCCGATAACAGCCCTAAATTCGGGAACGTTGTCCAAAAATGCCTCAATCTCTGCATGTGGTCGAAATCCACACATCGCCTCGAAGTCAGTTAATGTAATAGCCATTTCGGGCTTATGATTGGCATCGGGATAGTGAAATGGGTCAGTTCGATGTAACTCTTCGGCCAATTTCTTGTTTGGATGTGCTTGGATTGACAGCGCGGTTCCCACAGATAATACTTTAAACAGAAATGGCAAATTGTCTCCATATTTGTTCACTATATTCACTGTTCCCACATATTCAGGGTATGTCTGCAATAAATTCAATAGTGTTTTGCCGTCCAATTCCGGATCAGAGCTGACAATCATTGTTGGACCCGACGGATGGGTTCCCATCCATAACTAAATCATTTGTCAAACAATTATATTATTAACAGAATATTCTTCAGTCAACAACAATGTATGTCAAACCTCAGCGTGTGGTGAGTCGTCGTCGACCACATACTCTGGGATCTGATTCTTGACCATTCGTGCGACTGCACTGTCCATACCTTTGCGGCCCCACTCGTACTTCTTTACACAACATCTTAATGGATACACTGATAATCAATAGAGATATGGTTTTAGATATATATATATATATATATCCTAACAATACACTCAATGTATGACAATATCATATTATACTGTATATGATATGTGAGCTATTGTTTGTAACAACATATCAAATGTCTATCAAATATTTTAATATTAATAATAATAATATTATTATTATTATTAATAAAACCATTGAATAAAACGCATTTTTATTATCGATTATAATAATTATTAATAAATCAAATCATTAATACAATACTTACTTATTTAATTGAAACGATGATTAATAACTCAAAACAATGTATTAAACAGACAATTATTGGTAATGTTATTGCAATTAATCTATTGATAGATATACTTAAATAGCAATCAAATTAGTATTCAATTCAATTGAATGCAAATAACAGTTGACTTATGTATTGACAGTCAATGCAAAACACGACCAGAGATTCAATGAGTGAGTGATTCAAAGCTGACTCTCAATGAGTCTCTCATTGCCTCACATTATAAGCCCTAACACTGACTGGCCTTCACTGTAATGCCAATAGTGTTCACACATAACGTTCACTGTATTAGCAGTACTTGACATTTGATGTTTGATTTACATGAAAATTCATTACCATTTTTTAAATGTCAATCATTTGACAAATAAAGTGTTTATTTACAAAATTTATTCAATCATTTGTTAACAATTTAATGAATCAGTTTTTAAATGAATTACTGCCAATCCCTGTCCCAATTTCCTGCCAATTCAGTCAAATTTATCTTTATTTATAACATTTACTATTATTTCCCAATCAATAAATATAGAAAATAGTTTTAAACAAATGTTGCAATAAATCAGATATATTTGAAAATTAATACTAAAATAATGAAATGATTTGTCTATTAATTAGTTATTATTTATTATATTAATGAACACAATATTCTTCATTCAATTATTGTTCGGAATATTCTTTAAATATTTTGTATCAAATGTTACGTTATTTATGAGTTGTTTGTGATTTCAATAGGCGTTCAATGATTACATAAAGTGATTGTTTATATGATTAATGTTTGGCCACTAATATAACCGATTCAATGACAACTATACCCGTAAATTGTGGTCAATTGTGTCCACCACTACAGTACTCATCGGTCGAATGGCGACTACAGACACAAGTGTCGTCCCGATCGGCCAGAGATGAGTTGAAAGCTGAAGTCATAATGAAATTTAAATTGATTGACAGTTTAGCAAATGATAAGTATGTGGTGATGAAGACTGATATCACTAATTTGATCCGTTTTCATGATGTACTCGAAGATGCACTCATGAGCTCACGTTCACAACAATTGCTTCAAATATCACGACTCACATGAATCACATAAATGGCTCAAAGTTTAAGACAAGTTTGTCATTATATACTGTACTGTATATCATATATACTATTATTTATACATTTTCTATATTTTTTGTACCACTTATTCGCAAAAGTAATAAAAATGATTTAAATGACAACAATTGAAGTCAATATTCATCGCATGATTGCTTGTAATTAATTGAATTATCAATAATTTAACGATTTATAGCTTCATATCATATCGTTGTGCTTACAATCCAATTGTTTTACTGTACTTATGGCCAGACATTCATTACAATGTCTGATATATTGAATGTCTGGTACCATAAAAATGTGTCTAAAATTTCTATAACTCATATAAATTTAATGCTATACTTCAATGTCACACATTTTGATCAATAATTTCAATCTGTGGCTTATTTTTGTGCATAAATATGCTTAAGATAAGAAAATTTTATAGATTTGCATTTTATCAATAAATCAATTATTGCCATTATATTAGTTGCATATTTTTAAATTACAATTAAACTAATGAAGGTTTAATAAAAAGCTTTATTTTGAAATTATTTTAAACATGCAAATAGTTATTAAAAGATTAATCAAAATTATTATATTTATTATATTTATTATATAACTTACTAAATGTCCTAAAAATCTAATTTAAATCTATAGAAGGCTAGATTATGTTAGCTTATGTAATCTTTCGGAAAATAAATTTTAATATTTTAGTATTTTTTTGTATTTGTAAGCCAAGTATTTAAATCAATTTCATAATTTTAAAAATTGTTTCGTCTTTTTAAAGATCTATATATAAACAGATGAGTATAATATTATAAATATCGCAATAAATTATATAATATACAAACATATGTTTAATTTATATTATACATTAGTCTATCTTTTTTTTAACATACTGTATGACTCGCCAACACTTATATTCAATTAATATTATTATAGTGTCTGCACTTTAAGATTATTGAATTTATTAATTATATTTATAGTAATATCATATTATTCTTAGTATATACACTATAATTTTGGATATAATTGTTTATTATATAGATTTAACACACAGACACACATAACATTCATATTTATAATTTTATCAGTTTTTAATGTTTAAAAACCAGACTTGAAAAAAGATTTTCTTAAATGTAATTAGTTTTAAATTTAAATGTATCGAAATTTTTGCAAACGTTTGAAATATTTATTTTATTCTTTATGACTACATTTAAAAATGAACTTTTTTTAATAAGTATTATATGAAAACATTGTAAATACTGTATATATATATAGTTACAACTTCTTCATATAATACTTATAGCGGTATAATTATTTAAGATATTAAAAATTCATATTTTTAGTATTTTTTATCTATTTATAAAATTGGAAATTTATTGATGTTACTTTTTAATTATTTATATTAAAACATTAATTTTAATATTATAATTCATTTTACTTAAAAAATGAGATTGTTTTTAATTCTAATATATTTCCTTAATTTAATTAACATTTTAAAGTTCCTGATATTTTTGATAAATATTAATTAGCAATATTTAAAAAATTGTATATAACAAATATTTTATTTAAAGAAATCGTTTTATTAAATGTTTAAAATTAAAACTACTAATATTTAAATGATTATACAGTATAGCATTAAATATTTACTTGATACTAAATATACTTGATATTAAAAATATTTATTAAAAAATTAACATATATTTCAAAAGTGTAGTTAAACTTAGACTATTTTTAAGAATAATTAAAGATTTATTATTCTTAAGGAGTGGGAAATTATTATTCAAAGTAAAAAAATATATTTTTTATTTGGGAAAAACTCGCATTATTTCCCATGACTTTGACATTTCCATATGGGAAAGAAAACACATTTAACGGTAAGTATTTTCTAGATAATGTATAAAATGTATAAAATGTATATTACAATATATATTCAGGTTTAAAGTATGGATTAAAATATATAAAGTTATAAAAAAAACATTTTTAATTTTAATTGATTTTATTAAAATTTTATTTTTAGTTAAATGATTAGTAAACAGTAAATACAGTTTTCAATTTACAAAAAATATGCAATAATATGATTTATTTTTGTTAACTTAAAAAATTGATTAAAAATTAATAATAATATTTAGTTACTATCAACAATTACATTATATTACAAGATAGTAAATATAAAAACTATATGAAAATGGGTATACCATAAAAAATTAATATTAATACTATCGAATTAATATTTACTATTTTATTTTATAATAATTTTGAAATATATAAAATTATTTAAAGTTAATTAATAATAATATATATGAGAATAAATATGAGAAATGCAATAATCTATAATTTATTTAATATGTAATTTAACTATTTTTTGTAATATGAATGACACAAATGACAGACCACTACATACATAACAATTGGTAATTGAATTTAATTTGTTTGAGTTGTTGTCTATTGTTATAAATGACGCAAAAAGGATGCAAATTAAGTACTGATAATATGATTAAAGTGATTGCTTTTCTTAATATTTTTATCTTAGAAAAATAACAATCGTTTACTTTGACTAAAATCAATGACCTATTATTTAATGGTTAACAATATTCTTGTATATTATCTAATGTGTATTTTTAATTTAATTTATATTTAATATTTTTAATTTGTAAACTTATTTTATGTATGTAATATGTAAATTGCATTTCTTAATAAATTAATTAATCAAAACACTTGTGTTTATTTCAGTTTTGTATATATTGTGACGGATTTTTAGATTAACAAGTTATAAATAAATACATAAAATCAAGTTATTTAATAAAACATGACTCAAGTGATCGCTATTAACAGTTAGTGAAGAATGAATATCCAATAAATTTTAATTTATAATATCAGTTATTTGTATTATTAAAATAATTAATGACAAATGTTTTTTCTTTATTTGCCAATAGAATCACTTAATTTACAAATTCATCGAAAAATGATTTTTTGTCAAATGATTTTATATATTTATACATTTAACATACAGTATTAACTAAACTACAGTTCCGTCACAATATACTATATATTTCATATTAATATTCTATACTTTCCTAAAAACATCTATAGGTAGCCTTAATGTGACAAAAGTGGTTATCATTGACTGTGATAGGAACGGGTGTTTTCTGAAGTCAAAGTTTCAAATATTTCAATTAATTATTACTTGAATAACTCATAACTTATGTATTGTGTGTCAGCCCAATACAAAATCTCTACTTTATTATAAAACAATATATTTAAGTGTTTTACACGTTAGCCAACATCACAACAACTTTTACAGTTAAGTCCTACTAAAGGCTATCTGTTGGACTAATAACAGGGTATACAATGTAATAAACAGGGTTGGAAAAATACAAGGTTTTCAATTTTGGCTTTGTAAATTACAGTAAAATACAATGTACTGGATGTATTTTACAATTATAGAAAAATTACATTAACAATGATAAAATATTTATTTTTTTATTAAAATTATTATTATTACTTAATTTCAATATCATTATTAGAATCGTTGTTTTCTAAAACTATTAAAAATTAATATTAATTATTTTATTAATATATTTCAATACCAGAATTAAATTGAATAGTTAATTTCAAAATTTTTTTAAATAAAAAAATAATTATTATTACAAAACATGTGTTTGTTTGTGAATTTTTGTTACTAGGTGGCGCTAAAAATTTTTTGTAAGCCAAAATTATCATGTAATTTACATTGTATTATACTGTATAATACTCTTTGTATTATACATACACTTTGTCTTTGCCAACACTGGTAATAAACAATGTATAATAGAGCCATTTGTCGACCGTTTTTGACCTAAATTTTCATTTAAAAACTATTATTTTCAATCAATTAAAAAACTCTCTATACTTCTAATTATAAACAAAATCAAATTTATTTAAGAACTTTAAAACTGTATATTTAAATGAAATAAAATTATATATTGTTTTGTAAAATAACATTAAATGTTAAAATATAGTAATTAAAATTCAATTTTATCAAGTTTAATTAAGCCCCATTGCTGTTTTATATACTTTATTATTGAATACATTATACAGTATTAAACTATTTATTAAAAGTAATATTTAATAATGTAATTGAATTACATTTAAATTTTAGAATAAATAAAAAGTACGATATATATCATACTATTAATAATAATAATAATAATTTTTAAAAACATTTATTGAAATGACCTAATTTTTATAAAATACTTTTAAACATATGGTCAACAAATAAGTTGCACCCTTTTACACAATACACCCAATTATTCCCCCCTAAAGCTAACTTTCCCACTTAACACACAATTAACGCTTCATTTGAAATACTTTCATAAATAAAATATACATTTTTCATATTAAATCTATAGTTAACTAATTTAAAAATAGTCACATTTCTATACTAAAATTGTATTAATTTTTTATATATAATTTTTTTTTTATAAAACAGGTGAATATTTTGAAAACCAATTCATAAGATTAGTAGTTTTTAAATTTAAAAAAACAATTAGTTTATAAAAATACAAATGTATAATATTTAAGTTATTTTTAATTTAAAATCATTTAATATCATTTGTTTATTTATTGTATATTTTTATTTAATATTTATAGCAATAGAAATATTCTATTAATATTTTTGTAGTTTAAGGTTACAATATGTAAATAAAATATGTAATCTTTTTTTGCTGATAAAAGCTTTAAGTAAAAAGATTTAAGAGTGTATTTGGTTTTAACAAAATGTAGTTCATTATTATAATAGTTGTGAAACACACAGAATATGTAAATATTTTTATAATAAAAGAGGCCTTTTATGTGATATATGAATGAATGTTAAAGAGAGGGTCAAAACATTAGAGTAAAGACAGAAATGGGATTTGTTGTAGTCGTACTACCCATACATCTGTACTGAAAGGGATGCAATACTATAGTCAACAGGGCTTACAATCCATATAACATTGCAGACATACATTAGAGTGTAGAGTATTATAACATATATACAGTATATATAGTTATGAATTGCTATAGACTTGCTTTTGTTGGGTCAACTGTACACTACTGAACACACTCTCCAACAAACATACTGTTTGTTTGTCTGCCCGTCGACTCAATGTTGTGTCTATGCGTTTCAAACATTACTATATATTTCATTATATGTACCGTAAGTCACAAATACCAACGTCTATGTTCTACACTATATGAAGTATAACATATATAGTATAATACATGTATTGACAAATAATAGAGGGATCACTAAAGTGTATGGAGGAGCACATGCATTGGCCAGACCTGCAATAGAGAGGAGAGAGAGAGATTGTATGGCTATTGTAATGCTTTTAGCATTTGAGTTATAAAGGAGTGAACAGTCAAACTATGAAAGATGTACACTATATAACTGTTTTTATGTGATGGTTGTATCAATACATTTGTTAGTTTGAGAATACATTTGATGAATAATAGTGTTTTTTAGACCTAAAATTAAAGCATCAGTTTTTAGAGACAATATTAATGTCAGTGATTTAAAAGTTCCAAAGAGTCTATAATTTACTGCTTTTAGTAAAATAATTTGTGTTAATGACTAAAATATTACTTTATTGTGTATAAAACAACTCTTTTAACCATTTAATTATAACTTTTGACAACTAATTTTAACATATAAAACATTTATGGTAAGTCAATATATCTTATTTAATTTTATTTTTCTAGTTGTATAAACTTTATAATAAATAAATATTTTGAGTAAAGTATATATATTTCCATTGGTTTAACAATTTTAGTTCAATTTATATTAACTTGATTATGTATTTTCATTAATTTCATTAATATAAGAAATTAAATTATTTTTAAACAATACACTTACACTAACAAATTCGAAATATTTTAATTTTTATCTTAATTCAATTAGCATAAAAAGTTTAAATATTATATAATAATATTTATAAAAATAAAATTTTTTAATTAATTTTTATTTTAAACTAATAAACAATGTTATAACTTTATGTTATAGTATACAAAGTTTAGTCACAAACTTTAAAAGATCATATATTTCTGATAAACGGATATCCATTTTGACTCATTCAACACATTTTAGCCGTTATTATAGAAATAGATTTTACATTTATTGTATAGAAAATACTGTAAATATCTGATAATATCGGAACAGATTGTTATTGTAGTAAAATTGTAATCTATTGGACTTAGCATTCGTCTATATTACAGTATATATTGTATATACAATATTATATAAAAACTTTATATTTTAATCGGTTTTGTTTTGTAAAATTATTGTGTATAGTATTTAGACCAGTTATCGTTATAAGTGTTATCATGATAACTTTTTATTAAATGTCTAACATATAGAAAATAACTAATTTTAATAATATTATGAACCCAAGTTTATATCAAAAATGAGCAAGATAAATTCATATATATATATATATTAATTTGTATTAGTTTATGTGAACAGTTTAATTTTATATAGTGTATAAACGATAACTGATTTAGACTAAAGTTTTTTTTATAGTTTTTACTTTACACATTTACACCATTAATTGTTAAACTTATTATACTATAGCTATTAGCTTAGTATTTGATTTTTACTTTATGAAATTTGATACTAATTTGTTTAAATAGCTTATTTATTATTAATAAAAATAAATATACTTTATATTTGGTGTAATTTACATAAAACAAAATGTCATATAGTTATTTATATAATTATATAATAGATTGATACAATAGATTTCACTGAAATCAAGTATAACTTTACATATTATCAACACTTATTAATTTATATTTTATGTTTGAGTTAATTAACGACGACTTGCCCACACATGACTTTAATATATATATATAATTAAAGATTTCATTAATATTTAATTGTTTTGTAATTACTAATTATAACAAACTTGAAATAATAAAAATAAATATATATATATTTTTATAACTTTATTTTATAGTTAATGATTTAATTAATTAAATATATACACCATCATAAATATTAAAATTGAACAACTTTAACATATTTATACAATGGTTTGGTGGCATCAAGTTTTACATATTATTATAATTATATTTATGTATTACCAGCAAACAAATTGTGGTAAGTTGTTATAATTTGTGTAAATTTATTTAAAATTTTAAATATATAAAAAATTGAACTAAAATAAAAGTAATTTTAATTAAATATCTTACTCATATTAATCAATAAAATATTTGATAAACTTAGTCATCATTTTATATTATTTAATATGATCTACTAATTATATAATATAAATGATAGACTATTTTTATAATTAGATGTAATTTATTATAAGTCAAACTCAACAATAATAGCAAACTAGACAAAGCTTGTGATGAATTGTTTGTTATTTAATTGAAGTAAATTAAAGTAATAGAGTTTATCCTCTAATAATCAAATGTATTACTAATATAAATGATATTTTTAACACTTTTAAATTTATTTTAATACTATTTTTTCTAATATATTGTCTATATTACTGTATTATATTATTTGTAGATATTTATACATTAGAAGAAAGAAAGTTAGTGAAAGTGAGAGAAGAAAATTAAATTGAATATAAATTTATTAATAAAAAGATTCAAACCGTTTGATTTATAAACACCTATTAATGCAATAAATTATTCAAAAATATAGAAAAAACTAAATTGAATGAAGAAAATGGTGAAAAAGGATTGCAATACAAATGGTGTCCATTTTCGGGTTCAAAGTATCCGCCGGGAGATACTTGGTTTAGACGACTCGATACACATGACCTGTCATATTGTTTGGCCTGTAATTGCAGTCAAGTTAGTCATTATTTAGCTAATATTTTCATTATATTTTATGTAATATATTAATATTGATTTAAGATTGATTTAAAATTAATATTTCAAATATAATCATACAGAATTCAAAAATACTTTTTGTTGTATAAGTGTTTAAAACAGTAGATTTAATTGATTTAACTAAATAATAAAATATTTTGAATATATAGATATTTTTATTAATTATGTTTATTTTTAAAAATTTATTTATTATTTAATATAACTTAATACATTAGGAACTTTAGCACTTAATGTATAAAATATTAATACTTTACATTAACTATTAATTTATACAAATCGCATTTTTTGTGGATTACTAATAATAATGGTAAATAGGGAGGAAAATCTAACTGTACCAGTAAACCATGTAACAGTTTGATTGAAATATGCAAAGTGACCACTAATTTAAATGAAGTTGAGAAAGGCTGCTGTCAACAGTGCACCGGTAGGTCATTACTATATTATTTCATACTTTGTATTTAAAATATGGTTAGAATATATTATTTAGAATACATATTTAATATATTATTATTTATCTTAAAATTTTAATTTGATAAAATTTTAAAAATTATATTAATCATAATATAAATGATTTGATAGAAACTGATGAAACCAAAAGAGTAGAAATTCAAGTGAAGGGAAGGGTAGATAAAGGTTTGGATAATGAAAGGCCGACAATCCAAAAGATGTCTTGTCTTCATAACGGACATCTCTATTATGACAATCAGATATTTGCTTCAAATACTACTTCCATTCAAAAAAGTCAATCCAATCAATGTGTTCAATGTATTTGTCAGGTATTTATCGCACAATTGGTTTTTGTGATAAATTATTTGTTTTTAATTGAACTCAATTACATTATAGGCCGGTCTCGTACTCTGTAGACTTAAGACATGTTATCCTAATAGCTGTTCTACAGTTGGCGACAATAGTAATAGACTTAATGAGGATTGCTGTCCATTAAGATCTAGTTGTCGAGGTATATGCTTTGTTTTAATCATATTTGTTTGTACTGATAGTAGTCTTATATGTAAATTAAACAAATGGTTTAACTTTTTAATAGATAAACCAATTAGCGATTCAGACAATGACAGCAAAAATGATGACTATTTAGTTAGTATTTATAGTCCTAATGATGACTCGACAGCAAATAACAACAATAATAAACCATTTGGTGGTAATGACTGTAAGTCTGGAGCAAAGATCTATGAAAACGGCGCCAAATGGCACCCAATGATTGGCCCATTCGGTCAAATGGATTGTGTCATCTGTGTCTGTATGAGTGGTACTGTCCAGTGCTCTCGTATTAGTTGTGACCATCTAATCAAAGATTGCCACAAAACTAAGCAAATTCAAGGCCAATGTTGTCCTATTTGTGTCGATCCCATCAACACTGGTTTGAATGCCTTCACTAACTTTCATTGATTTTTTAATAGTCTTTTCTTACTTTAATGGACTAACTTTTATCCCTAATAGAGAGTCAAAAGAGCGATCTTAATAACCATAGAACTCAACAAACATTTTCTCATTCAATGTCTTACAATAACAGCAAAATTAATGACAACTTTCAACAGATTTGTATACCACTAAAGTTGGACACAATTGTCTACCGAAGTCACGCTCAAAGCAGTAACAGTGCTTACTATCAATACGCCTTTCAAACCAACAAAACCAATAGGAGTACCACTTTATACTCTTTTACTCTTAAAGATGGTATCAATCAAATTATATACTTAATATACAGTATATACACATATATTATATTTTATTCAATTTATTTTTCTTTAATTAAATCTCAAATTTAGGCAAAATTACAGACTTTTCACAACAATATTTAACATACGATGAATACAAGGTGTTATCAAATACTTTTAAATTTAAATTATTGGGTGCAACCAAACTAAGTATTTTTTATTTAATATTTATCAAATCAATTACCTAATTATGTTTTATCATTTAAATACAGAATTTGTTGAAAAATTAGCGAAAAAAGCAAAAAAGTTTCCAATAAATTGTCAGCAAAACTGTAAGACACGCGTAGAAAGACTGGAGAAATCTCTCAGAATTAAACCTATTGTTACAAACACTTTGTGCGATAAAAACACTTATAATTTTAATTAGATTTTATTGAAAAATAATGCAAACAAATACATAATTTAGATTTTTAGTTATTGTCATTTTATTATCATGTATTTGAATTTAACATATATCAATAGTTTAGTGACTTAATCAGATATTTAAGTTATTATTAACTATTAAACCAAACATCAATTTAGAGTTTAAACTTTAGACCAATTTTTATATTCAATATACAGTACTAATATTTTTTCTATTATTTTCGACACTCAAACCATTTTAATATAATCACAAAATCATTTACAAACAAATAAAAAATTAATAGTTTATTATACGATTGCTTTCATACTATACAGTGTAATGTGTAAATAGTATACACTGTATTATATGATGAAACAATCGTATAATAAACTGTATTAATTTTTTGTCTGTTTGTAAATGATTTTGTGCTTATATTTATAATATAATTTATTTCATTTCAAAATATAATTATATAATTCATTTGTATTGTACTATTTGTACGGTATATCATTTATATACAAAACTAATGCAAAATACCGTATATTGTATGAATAATTTAATAAATCATCATTAATTAAAATATATTTCAATTTATTTACCGTAAATAAAATATAATAAATGATTAAAAACATTGATGTAAATTAATAATATAAATATAATAGATGTGTTGTCATTCTCTATCAATTAATTTGTTTTGGTTTAAAGAAACTGGTAATCGATGACTGAGTCATACCATTCTTATCTTTTTGTTGTGTCTTCGGTTTCTTCACACTCTTGTTGTCAACATTTGTCACTTCATTCTTCACTTGTTTAGACTTCTCTTCATTTTTCGTTTTCTTTCTCTTTTCTTCACTTTTTGTCTTTATTTCATTGTTCTCTTGATTAGCATTTTCTTCTTTATCTTTAATTCTATTGTCTTTATCATCATTTGTTACCTCTTTTTTAACTTTTTTAGTAACTAAAAATCCGTCTTCATCTTCATATGTCTCAATTTGTTCCATTACTTTCTTGATATCATTATTACAACTATTCTTATTAACAAACTTATCGATAGCAGTCTTTTCTTTGCATTCATCATCAGAATCGCTATCGGAATCAATTTTAATTCTTTTAAATTTCTTAGACTTTTTCTTAATGGTAAATATTTCTTCTTCATCTGATGTGTCATTAGAATCATTCTTGGATTTTCTTTTATCATTAATTATGTTAACCTTTTCCTCAATTTCTTCGTCACTTATTTCTTTAGAGGTTAAAGAGTCTTCATTTTTATCCTTATCTTCAGTTTCACTGTCACTCTTAAACGGGTCGTTATCATCATTATTGACAAGTTCTTCATTATTGTCTTTTTTGTTCTTAGAAAACATTTCTGTGATCTTCTTCTTCGATCTATTCTTTCCTTTGCTGATGATTTTAGGTTTAGCTTTGCTATGATTTTCTTGTTTCTCAATTGTTGTGCTTTTGTTATCACTTTGTTCTTTCTTTACGACAAACTTAGCGACTTGTCTTCTGTTAGATTGTCGGAAATCGATGCCATCATTAGTGATATACGTTAACCTAAATTAATGTATAATTTGTTAGTATCTGTTAATATATCAAATCTTTTATTACATACTTTTGTAAATCATTTAAATCAGTCTTATCTTTGACTTCATAATCAAATTCGTTAAAATTAAGATCAAGTGAACTGCTCTCTTGAGTTACACTAACACTATAGATATGTTTAGTGAAACCATTGCGGAACCACTGACTGACCGAATCAACTTCAGACTCATCGACAATCATAAACCTCTCCATCTGTTCATAAATATATAAAATATTTGTAAAATCATACCATTAAATAAAACTTTGATACAAACCTTAATTTCGTTGTCGTTATCATTGCTGTCATTATTGCCAGACAACAGATAATTGACAAACAATTGATTCCCTCGTTTGTATTGTCGCTCAACAAATTGGTCCAGAAGTCTGTAAATAAAAGAAATCAATAAAAATCATGAATACAATCATATCATATGATGGCTAACCTGATGGCCAGTTTCACGTGAGTACGAAAACGAAGACTTAAATAACTGTATGTTATCTGTAATCAAACAATTGATATCATAATTAGATTTATATCTAGTGTTTGCTAATTGTATTACTAACACATTTTTTGTCTTCAATCACCAATTGGTGTAACTCTTTAACCACATCATCGACCAAATCCTTATTTTCATCTATTTTTTCATCAATTGAATCCATTTTTACTGACATTTGAAGGCTTTGTAATAGTTTTGCGCCAAAAAAGTGTTATTTTTAGTGAATAACGTTTCAGCAAATCATATCAATTGAATCATATGATTAACATTTGATTTTTCAACTAATTATATGCTATTAATTAGTTTTAAGTAGTTATATATTATTATATTAGTAATCATATCATTTAAATAATAATTAAATCAATTAATAATTATAATAAAAGTCTAATTGTTTTGACACACATTTAAAGTACACAAATATATACTAAAATAAACACAAAATTGTTGTATAATATTATACTTAACGTAATTGTTGTCAATTGTATTGTAATTTTGAAAACTTGAAACAAATGACAATTTAATGATTTTTTTGAATACAAGAAGTCATATGTATTGAGACTATTGTCAATTGAATGGATAATATATGCGATATCAGTGATGATGAAGAACTGATCCATAGCTTGAAACATGTGACAAATGATACCATTGATGTCACTTCAGATAAACTACGAGTCGATAGTCATGTGAAGAAGTCAAATGAAGACAAACTGACGACTAATTCATGTTTGTCTACTTCACCACTCATGAGTCCAAACACATGCAAATCACTTCTTCCACAACAAACCATACGATCCGAACTGAGACGCGATTTCTTAAGACTTTTATCATCACTTCATAAGCGAAAAGTGTTATTAAAACTATATGAGTGTCCACTGGTATTGTCGGCCACTTTCGATGGCTGTGACTATGATTTGCGACACATCTTTGTCTCGTCTTTTGTCACACCAATTGGTTTAGAGAAGTCTGCGATCGTTAGGACACAAGATATATGTGAACTTGAGTTTGATCTCTAATAATAAGTTTAAATATTTTTTTATTTATTAAATCTTTAATACATTTAAGACTTTAATTTAATACATTTAACTATTATTATTATTGTATATCATATATGATATGATATTACCTTATATTTAATAAATTTGATAAAAGTGTTTATTTTAATTACTTTATCATTTGATTATTAATTTATTAAGTTTTTTTTGTAGTTTCTAAGTACTATAGGCTCTATTGAAAAGTTGTATATAAATGTAAATAAATTAATTTAAGAAATTTAAACACATTTTACACAAATCCTAACACAAGTCATACCAATTATCACATATCTCTTCCTTACAATCCCTTCGCTTATGTCTATTAAGACAACTGTAAGTATCAGATATGATACTCAGTTGACCACTGCTGATGAAGAGGAGTCGATTTCAACGAAACAATTGTCCAAAAATGTAGCGCTAGTTAGCGGATAAAATGTGACCAACAAATTAAGCTAAACTTATATTTAATTTTACATTTTAGTTTTTTGTAAAATAATTAAAAAATTTAAATATATAAAAAAACTACGACTTTTTAAAAATTAATAATAATTTAATTATAGTAAATGTCGTGCTATAGAAATATCAAATTAAGAAGTAGTCATTTAAAACTATTTATCATTAAAAATAACATCAAATAAATTTTGAAAATTATAGTATTGAGATGTCATGCAATGAGCTCCGGGTCATTACACAAGTGTTTCAATACATTCTGTTTATTATTATTTAATCCTAAATATATGACAAATCCTTTATTTTAAATTTCATATTCAAAGAATATATTTTAAAATTTTAAATTATAATACATTTATAATTAGTATAAATTATATTTAGAAAATATTATAGATCTTAATAATACTAATAAGGTTTACAAAACATATTATACTAATATTTTTATAATTTATAAATGTTATGTAAATAAAGGAAAACATAAAATGTTATTTTTATTATAATAACTCATTGAAGCATTCATATGATTATTGTTTACAGAATATTACAGTTGAATAATTGAAAATAATATAAATATTGTACATATTGTATATACAGTACATTAAAGTTACGGTATATGTATTTCTTTATTATGCAGCACTTGATTCAAATATGGAAACAGTTTACGCTTACAGCTCAGGTATATAGGAATATAGGAATATAGGAATTATATATACAGTATATTTATATTTATATATTTAATACAATATATACATTCATATAAAATGGCATATATTTAAAATTAATGTTTGCATTACTATAGTTTACTTTTACTAAAATGTTATAATAATTTATAATAAAAGCTTTGTTCGATTCATTTGAGTTATCAATATCTGAATATATATGAAATCACTTAGTAGTCTATTTCAGTCATTATTGCTTTTAAAGACATTTTGAAAACTATTAATATATATTTTGTTAGATTTTAAATTGATATACATTTAGAATTTTAAGAGCAAATAATATAATTTTAAATATTTTTTTATATTTACAAAACTTAAATATTGAGTGATTTCAAAATTTATTGTCTTATAGCAGAAAAAAATAAAATTCAGAATAAATTATTTTATTGTGTCATCAATTTTATAAAAGATATATTTGTTTGTCTATTGAATGCATATTCTCACTAAAATTACATACTTTTCTGCACTTTTTAATATAATTATTATATTATGAAAAAATATATGATAATAATATCAGAAAATAATTAACAACAATCCAGTAATAGTAATTGTGGTAAAAGACAACATTGCAAATAATATAATTTTATATAATATTAATAATATGAATGTTTTAATATGTTAGGTACGTGTTGTATACCAAAAGATATCCGCACACATTGTCAAACAAAACTGTATTTTTTTATTTTACAATTAATTTAATTGTGAGCTAATACTTTTTAATGAAAATTAACAATTAATTTATTTGTCTAAATTTATGTATAAGGATTTTAGTCTAATTATATGAAATGCATTATTTATGATATTTCTAAAAAAATTTTAAAGTGTAATTAAATGTTGTTTATACAACCTCTCTTACATCATATTTGTTATTTTTTTAAATAAAAATTAACTTTAATAATGACAGTCAAACTTGAAAGTGAGATTAAACATTAAAATTAATGTTTGGAAAAAAAACTAATAAATAATCTCAAAATTACTCTTAATTATTAAAATTAAAATTCTATTTTTTATGTTACAAATATTATATTGAAGATTTGAAATCATTTGGATTTAAATTTAAAAAAGATAATTGCATTTTTCACATTTCAGATAAATTTAGTCATAATTTATCGGTAAAAATGACTATTTTTTAGAAAAAGGTCTGTAAAAACTTAAAAATTAAATTTAAAAAATTGTCATATTTAACATTTAATATAAATATATGATTTGTCAAATTACCAATTTATATATTTTTAAAGACATTTATTAACGGTTAAAATATCAACAAAATAGATGGTAAAAATTGCTATCTTCATGTTTGCGCTCAAATAAAATAAAAACAACTTAAAATTAAAAAAATTAAAAATAAAATATACATAAATATAAAGATTATTGAATTTTATATAATATTTTTTATAATTAAAAGCAAAGTAAAAATGACGTAAAGTATAGTCTTTGAGGTTATGTCAGTATCTTTTGATATACACAATACAATTGTTATAAACACTATTATATATTGGAAAATATTATTTTATATATAGTTTATATTTATGATATTCATGTGATATTTGCTAAGTTTTTATTTTTCAAGTTTTAATTTTTAAATTTATTTTGAACAAACTTTGTACTGCAATAACAAAAATAAAACAACAATTTAATCAACAATATTAAAATACGAATAAGTCATTAATATTTTAATGTATTTTACATTATTTTGAAGAGAATTTATACAGTATAATACAGTAGAGTACTAATAATTATTTGTATAATACAGTACTATATTATTTTATGTCAAAATTTGATACTATATTTTACCTACATTTAGTCAAAACATACTACTCATGTCTAAATAATTAACAATTTCTTGATTATTGACTACTGATTAACTGTATTTGATTGTGTATATGAATAACTAAATGTGTAGACAATTATTAATTATATTCAATTATGTTTTGTATAGTATATGAAAGTAAACTACAAGTAAATGTATTGTCGTTAGATTTAGAGATTGTGTCCCTAAACACTGATTTGTTCATTCAATTTGAGTCTATTTAATATTAAATGATATCATAAAACCTATATAATTATTTTACATACAAACTTATCCTATCATATTTGATATACTGTAAATTATATTATATGTATAAATTATGCAATAAAATAATGTTGTAATGTTTTCAAATGAGATAAATGATGAAATTTTTTCATATAAATATTAATCATTCATTTTTGTTTATTGGTTTATTGATTAACAATTACAACATTTGTTTTTATTGCAACTTTCAATTAAAAAGTATTCTTTCTAATTGTATTGTATTATAAAAATAATATTTTATAATTACTTATTATTTATAGTTAGAACACTACTATAGATATGATATACTGAACTAAACAATTTCATAATTTATTTTATGATTTGTATGGCATTAATAGCAAAATTAGTTTAATAGTACTTTGTATTTGTTTGCGTGTTTTTTGTGTAAATTTGAAAATATAATGTTTTAATATAATATTGTTGAAGGAACCCAACTGTCCTTTAATTACCGATTATTTAGATTATCATTTTGTATTGAAATTCAATTATTAATTGGTTATACATGTATGTAAATTTATATTGTTGATATTGTTGTATGTATGCATACAAATTTATGTATGATTAACATCACATCATAAAGTATTGGACAACTTATGTCAATCATATATAAGTTAATAAATAATTTGTTATTTTACTAAATTTTATTGTTTGTGAATTTAGTATACTTTAAGTTATTGTTAATTGATTTATTAAATATATGTATTTCTCTTATAATTAGGATTATTTGTAAGTCTAATACCAGACTATGCAACGTTGCAAACAATGCATTACTATTGAAATCCTAAATAAATATTATTAATAACTACTTTATTATTTTGTTTATAATTATTCATTTCACTTTATAGAAAGATTTATTAAATGTTTTTTATTGCAAATACTATAGTATTTTTAGTATTTAATGACATTTTATAATTTATGTCATTAAAATAAAAACATTTTTATGAATTTATAGTTAAATAAATTATATAAACTTTAACAAAATATTACATAATACTATTTTATTCACTATTATAAAATAAACATTTTTATTTTAAAACTTTTATTAAAATCATAAAAGTTATCTAAATACTAATAAATCACATTACAGAAGTAACAAATTATAAATTAATCAAATAAAATTATTTTCAACATAATATTTTATAATAAAATATTTTTTACAATTTTGTTTTTATTAAATTTTATTTAATAAATAATATAATCTTAAATTATAAATTAATTTGTTACAAATCTTATAGTTCAAATACTACTTTCGTTTAAAGTAAATTATTATAAAATATGTAAATAAACACATATTAAGAATAATTGATAATAAAAACATATAAATTACATGAAGTTTTTTAATAAATATTTTATAATTAAATGTAATTAATGCGAAAACATTAAAAATATATCAATTATAAATAAAATTTGTTGAATAATTTAATTATAGATATATTATAACAAGTAACATATATAAGTATTTTAAATAAATTATTCATACAATAAGTCAATTTATAAGTTATTTATATATTAGTTATTTATATAATAGTTTATTAATGATTTAATGATTTATTCAACAAACAAACACCGAATTTGTTGATAAATAAATAATAAAAACAAAACAATTATAATTATAATTATAATAATAATAGTTATACCATAATTATATAGTATTTGAGGCCAAATGAGTTTATAGTATAACAATAGGTACCATAATATCTATCATTTGTTGGTTTGCGTCTGAAATAAGTAATCTCTTATACAATGGTAACGAAAGCAAGTGTCGGGAACAGAGCTCTTGTAGAAGACACGGCTTTGTCGTAAAGGCGTTAATACTATCCTCGAAAACGTTTCACATGAAGGACTGTCATTACAAGCGAGTCGACCGGCCTCTAGAAAGCCAGCGTCACAGTCACTGGACAGGAGACCATAAATCTCACCCTAACATCAAAATCATTTCATTAATTATATTAATTTAGGTTTCTATGCAATCACTTTATATCTAATACAGTATTTGTTATATTTTATGAGATGAATAACATACACAAGTATAGCAAATGTTATGCCAATCACAGGCAGATTTAAATGCTTTATACAGTCGAGAGTTAGGCATCAGATTAGCCACCGATGAACAGTCACTCGAAAGCATCTCAATTGCAAAACACTCGTCTATTGAGTCTATCATTGATTCAATTAAATACAGTTTACATTACATTAATTAAATTAAAGATTAGCATTTATTTAATATATATTCGTATGGCTTTATATATATATATATATATATAATTTATTTTATTTAATTATAGCTTTGACTTTAACTTATATTATCGTAAGTTTTTGCTTTACTTTATTTATTTATTTTTCAAATTTACTTTAATTAAAACAACATTTATACAGTGATTTATAATTCATCACAACTTACAAAAATTAATAATATATTTAAATAAATACCTGAATAATCCTCAGGGATTATAATATCAATTTGGTTATCACTGGATTCAGATGTAGAAGTGGTTAAGTCATTGTCTTGAATGATATTTTCATTGTTGATATTATCGATGGTGTTATGCAAGTCTTCCAAAGAATTTCTCATATTTTCGATATCATAGGCGGCATCCAATCGATCGGCAATTTTATTATTTTCTGCTTCAGTATGAGATCCTCTTCGTGCGGATCCATCAATTAATTCAAGAGCATCACTAAGAAGTGTGTCTTCAATTGACTCCAATTTGCTGTTAATATGAGAAAAACGTTGTAAATCAATATCATTGGTTTCTTCGCTATCACTTTCATCAATTGAGTTAACACTTCTTTTTGTCTTTTGTTTGACATTATTATTATTATATTGAATTGGTTCCCAAATTATTGAATCATCCTTTTCATTATTGTCTTCTCTGTTATTATCATTAATTATGTCGGTGTCGTCTTCATTATCATCATAAAGAGTTGCAATTACATAGTCATCATCTTTGTCATCAAAAGGTTGCTTTTTATTGTTTTGATTAATAGCTATAAGATCTTCATTTTTAGTTTCTATGTTATTGATATTTGTAAAGTCATCCAAGTCTTCATCATTTTGCACATCATTGTCATTGATGTCATTACTTCTTTTGCGTCTCATTGTGGCCAAAGCCGCCGCAATAGTTTCGTAATACTCTTTTCTAAGCCAATCATTCATTTCTTTGTTATTTATTGGCAACTGATCTTCACTCGTGTTTTCAACTGTTACTTCTGTTTTGTCATCAATTGTTTCAATTGGATAAATGATTTGGTTATCATTTTCAATATTATAATCACTGCCATTATCTACTATGTCTTCATTATTTGTCTGATCCTTTAGATTACTTCTTTTGCTAACTTTTTTAATGTATTTCACTTCTGTGTCGTTTTTAATCAAAATTTCTTTTGGCTGACTTTTATTATCATTTTTTGATGTATTTTTATCGATTGATTTTAATTGAGTAATAATTTTCTCATTATTTTTATTATCATCCGATAAAATATCATATAATTCAGAAACAATTGACTTATCAGTATTTATTGTGGTCTCAAATTTGGAAGTTTTATTGTTTTTATTATTAGATAAACTTTTTATTTCTATTACTTTATTTTCGGCTTTTCTTTTGGTAATTGATTTCTTTTTTGTCAAAGTTTGAGATTTATTAATGTGTTTGAAGTTAAGTTGATTTTTAGTTGTTTTGGACTTTTTGTTTAAATTTAATTTTTTACTATTTTTAGAAATTGGTGACAATTTCTTTATTATATCTCGTTTTGTTATAAGATTTTTATTGTTATCAATAATATCTTCTTCAATATGAAAATGATCGGTAAGTACACGTCTTCCTGACTTATGTTTAGGTTTTGTATTACTATTGATAATACCATTAGTTTTATGTGAATTTAAAAAATTATTATTTTTAAAACTTTCATCTTTTGGTTTAAAAGCAATTTGTTTTACGTTTCTAAATGTGTTTTGCTTAACATTTGTACTTCTTTTGCGTTTTTTGTTGATTTCTTTTCTCAAAGTTTTATGATTTATATTAGTTTTATCTTTTTGTTTGTCAAAAACATGTGATAATTTGAGTGCCAATGCCGTCGAAATTAAATCATTTTTTGTTGAATCGTCTCTATAACTATCTCTTATAGCATCGAACTGTTTTCATAATAAAAATCATATAATACTTAATAAAAATAACTTTTGATATATTTTTATTTTCTAAACTAAAGTTTCGATTTGCATATAACTTTCAGATACTAACTAATTATTAATCATTATAAAAATTGTTTAATAATAATTTTAATAATTAAAGTTTTAGTTTAATTTATAAAAATAATTTTCACTTAACACAAACACATAATTTTTATTAATAATGTATAAATGTATACTAATTTACTGTATTTAAGAATTATAAAAATATTAATAATACAAATTCAAACTTACATCAAACGGTACATCAATTAATTCTTCGTCAAAATGTGTGTCAATCGGTACTAATCTCTTGTAATATTCAATTGCTGTCACAGGAAGACTATATGGGCCGTACAGATGTGCCAATGGATATAATGTTTGTTGTCTTCGCTTTTGTATTGTTTTTATGGCATCTTTAAGACTTTTATCATTATTATTGTTATGTGAAATGCTTTTAAAATTGTGTGATAAGGAGTGGATTTCATTTAATGATAAACTTGTTGTCCATGATATCAATACAGTTAATGTCAAGAATAACAAATTGAATTCAATGCACATCATTGTTGATATACTTATATATGCGGATAATCTAATAATTAGAAAATACATTTAATAGATTATCTTAATATTTTTTTATAGATACATAAAAATAGTAATTAATTGATAATATCTAGAAATTGTATTTGAAATTATTTATAAACATTAAATGTAATTGACAATACACAGAAATTATTATTTTTACAAAAGTGCAAACAATATTTAAGTGAAAATAATATTATAAATTGTAAATGCTTTATATAAACCTGAATCGTAAAAGTATAATACACTGATATGCTATCAGTGATAGCAATTAGTATAAAACTAATATAATATATTATAAATATAGTACTATAATATAATATTGTTTGGCACTAATTAGCTACAGAAAATTACAATAAGTAGATTATAGATAATAATACAATATAATACAATATACAGTATTTATATATAATGTTTTAAAAGATATAAATTATATTATAATTAGTGTTGGTAAAAAAGAAAAATTTCTAAAATAATAAAAAAAATTCTAGAAGTTTGAACATTGAAATTCATTTTAGTAAAGTAGTGTACAGTATATCCTGTCTGAAAGGACTAGTATTACTGACTCCGATCCGATTCAATCTATAGAAATTTATTCATGAGAAATTTACTAGAAATTTCTATTTACCCATCTCTAATTATAATATTATTAACTAACCGTTTCTTAGATAAGTTATCTAAAAACAATTAATTATAATTATTTTCATTTGTTATTAAAAGATATTATTAATTACGACACAAAACATAAATATTTAAATTAAATTTTGCTTATATTAACTAAAGAATACAAAATCAATTTATTAATGAGAAAACTTTATATAAAGTTTATTATAAAGACCACTAATTTTAGTTTGTTTGGCTTAAAATGTCACTTCAATGTATTGGCAAACATGTTAAGGATTATTGATGTCTGCATACATTTGTAGTCTTTTAATATTTATAAAGTAAAACACTAAAGAAATCAATTTTAAATTTTATTTATACTCACTAACAAAACCGCCAAAAATCAATTTTCATTTACAATTTCAGATAAGCTATGATTTTTAAAAAATAATTATTTATCTAAAATGTTTGCAAACTATAATTTTTAAAGTTATGAAAAATTTTAAATGAAATTAATATAATATAAAATATATTTTTTGAATTAATCATACAAAACATTTTAACTATCTATAAACGCCTTCATAAAGATATTATAAAAGCATTTTATAATATATTCAAAATAAAATGTCATTGAAGTATAATTAGTACAAAATATAAGAGACATTGTTATGTCATTTGTGTGTCAAATAAAAAATATATAAAGCTATTAATGCTATTACATCACGACATACACTAATGCTAATAAGTGATATATTTCTTATATAATATATTTAATTTAATATTTGATTCAATTCATGTTATTGTATGAATTATTAAACAACAAATGTTTTACAACATATAAAAGATAATTTAAAAGTCTAGAATAAAACTATATTTTGCTAATCAAATAAACACTATTAATTAGTTATATAATTGTATATTTATAGTATTTATTAAATAAATTTTTTAAATATTAATATTTTTTTTAATAGAAAACAAAAAATATAATATTAATAATTATCATGGTCAAAATTTTAGATAAAATATATTGTTAATTACTGTGTTGTGAATCTAATAAAATGAAATATAATATTAATTCATGTTTTGCCAAAAAGTGGTTTTTACGGTAAAATAATCTCAAGTGGTTTTAACTTTGGCTTCACTTGAATTGTTAAATATCTTTTTGTAAATAAAACAATATTTTTATGATTTTATATTCATTTATGATTTAAAATTTATACATTTATACACCATATAATGTTATAATAATTAGATCATTAATATATGTTATAATAAATTTAAATGTTTAATAAAAAATTATTTAAAAAACAAAACATATCATATAATATATGTATATTACTTCATTAATGTACTAAAATTTTACATATAAAATAAAAATAATTTAAATTCAACAATTCTTACCTTATTTTTAATATGGTTGTAATAATTTTTATTAATTATATATATTCACTTGTGATAAAATGTAATTAATGTAAATAGTTAAATTTATGTAAGACAATTAATTATTTAAAAAAGTAAATACATAAATATATATATATTATTTTTTAAAATTGATTAATTTTTAATACAATCGATAGTCAAATTAATTGTTTAATTTAAACATAAAAAACAAATAAATGACAGTATTTTGCAAAAATTCATTAAAAGTATGGAATAACTGACTGTTGGCTAAACTCTTGTTCTAGATTTCAGCCATAGCTTTGATGCTCTACTGAGCCGATGGTGTGCTCACATCCCTGTGCTCTATAATATACACGTCATGAGTACCACCCATTAGGAGTAGATAATACACAATACGAGCAAATTATCTTTTGTTGTTTATAACTTTATTTTTATAAATTTGAGTACTAAATAAAATATTGTTAATAAATTTATAAATAACAAATTAACAATATATTTATGTATGATATTTGAAAATTTATAATTATTTTAATGATTTTTAAAAATATTGCAAAAAGGTGTTACACTTATAGACACTAAACATAAAAAAACAAAACATGTTTTCTATGAAAAACTATACTTTGAGTCAAATATAGCTTAAAATCGATTGCTTTTTCAATAAGAGTTTGAAATATACGTTCATTTTTATTCTGCTATTATTCTCATATAATATATGTTTGAAACTCAGACCAATAGTAAAACATAGATACAAATACAATATTTTATTGATTTTTATTTTCCAGTTAATATTATTGGTGTTATTTATACAACATTGTTATAATAAATACATTACTAAATCAAACATTTAGTTTATTTATTGCTATTTTAGATGACTATGTAAACAATATAGTTTATTACTTGTTAATTATTGTTACTTCAAATTAAATAAACAAAGTTTTATATATTATTTAATAAAAATTTATTTTATTATTTAAAACACATTTAAAAATATCTATAAAATTTATAAAACATGTACAATAATTTATGTATCGTAAAATTAAGTTCTAGATAATAATTTTAATAAATTAGATAATTATTAATCTCAGATTAGAATTAAAATGATTAATAGTATAGAAACAAATAATAATATTAATAATAGTTTACTTATAAAAAAAATTATTTTTGTTAAAAACAGTTATTTTTGAATAAAATTATTAATGAGAAGTTTGATCATTTGAATTATCAGTTGAAACGAAATTTGATTGAAAAAACTGATGAATCGATTCATCACAATTAGTGTCACTTTCAAGAAATTCTGTGGCAATTCTGATACAATCTTTGAATTTATTTTGCATTTCTTCAATATTTAACGGTTTTATGATTTCTTTAGTCGATATAGATTGACATATATTAAGTCCTCTTTCAATTACTGGTACAGGTATTGATGATAAGTAAGCGATATGTGATGTAATTGACTGATTGATATGTCCATCAATGAGTTTAAACAAATAAACCAATTGATGTTCATCTTTAATAAATTCAAATGTTTGACAGCTATATAAATGAGTTTTGCTTAGAAATGATGGCAAATATTGGAAATGAGAAGACACTAAAAGATGTGGTTTAATATTATTGAGCCAATAGTCAATACTAGCGGCCATTAGAGCTAATCCATCTACAGATTGAGTGCCTTTTCCAAACTCGTCAATCACTACAAGTGAACGTTTTGTGGCATTTTTAGTTGCATTCGCCAATTGATTTAAATCCAACACAAATGTTGACAATCGGCTAGTTATGGATTCCGGTGTTTGCAATCGGGTAAATATGCGGTCAACTATTGGTATGTTTGCTTTAACTGCCGGTACATAACTGCCAATGTGTGCCATAAAGACAATCAAACAAATTTGTTTCAAATAAATACTTTTTCCACAACCATTTGGACCCGAAATCAATTTAATTTTAGTGTATTGTTCACCACTTTTGTAATCATTTGAAACAAAAGATTGTGAAACTAATTCATTGAGTGGATGTTTGCCGTCAATTATTTCAATTGTTTCACCACTTATTATATTAGGTTTAATATATCCATAATTGACTGCCGTTTGAGACATAGCTATCAAAGCATCCAATTTTGCACAAAATTTAACTATTGATTGAAACAAATGTCTCTTAGTTGCCATCATTTCTTGTAATTTAAACATTATTTGAATTTGTCTGTCAAGTATTTCTGGTTGAATGTCACCAAATTCTTCATCCAATTGTTTAGTTCTCATTGTTTTGTAATAAACTCGATTACCAGCTTTTAATAGATAGTGAAGTCCAGACTCATTCAAGTCATTATAGCTTGTAGTCGGTGTGGGAACAGATAGATCACAAAGACTACTCGTGAGAAAACCAATTTGTGGGATATAAACACAATCGCATTGTTTGAGAAGTGGTCCATATGTTTGAGCTTCACTTAAAGCCACGGTTTGCAATATCTTCGGGATGTGAATGTAATGATTTCTTGCGTTATCCAATTCATGGTCAATGCCATAATTGATTTCAAACGTTTGCAATTTAAATGTTTTATCCAAATCAACAATTTTGTTAATAACAATTGCCATCTCATCCATGTCTTTATCAATTGACATTATTTGATCAAATATTTGTAATGATGTTTGTTGTCTGCTAACTATGGCTCTAATATTTATGGCATTTATTAAATTATTGAATAGTGTCTTCAAATCCATAACAGAGAATCTATTGGTCATCAATCTATTGAAAGGAGTGGTAACACTCTTGATGTGTTTAAGATAATGTAAAACATTGTTTTTGAGTCCCATATTATTTGGTGTGGCGAAGAACTCAATAGCATTCAATCGGTCCAAAATAATGTCCACGTCTTGAGTGGGCAACAGAAAGATTTTTCTCAGATAAGCGGCGCCTACTTTAGAGACACAACAGTTAAAAAGTCCGTATAAACTGAGACCTTCTTTAGCATTGAATCCTTGTTTTGCTGCCGACGGATGCCATTCTTGTCGAAAGATTTGTAGCGATTCATAAGCGTTGCGATTAATTGCCACTAATTGTTGTAAATATAGACGAGATATACTTGAGATCTCAACCATTGATCCCTCGGTTTGCATATGAATTTCGGTACAGTTTTGATCCAAAAATCTAAGTAAAGCTCCAAACGATCGAAACGTATTGTTATCCGAAAAGTCAAATATTGACGATATATACAAAATCTTTTGTTTTTCGTCACTAAACTCAACATTAAAATGATTGTCGAAATCAATCGATAAGATCCGTGTCTTTGAATTCTCGAAATTGAATAAATTATTTGAAACGATATGTAACACAAACTTTAAATCCATTTGCAATAAGAGATCCGCAAATGATTGAGACGTTTGAAGATTATTATCAATATTTGAATTAACATCAATTGAACTCTCATTTGTAAATATATTTGTCGATCCAGTGGTGGATCCGATCGGTTGATCTGTAATTTGTGATTCATTATTAGTCTTATTATTAGAATATGTTTTCAACAATTCAATCAGCTTTGGATCAGTTCTTGAGCTGATTATCACATGTTTTGGTTGAGTTTGAATCAAAAGTAAGAAAACGGAATCAAAGTCATTGTCTTCAACTTCTTGTATCACTTGAATGGAGTGAGTGTTTGAATAGTAAAGAGTTGATCCACACTTATTGTCACTATAACTGATACACAAATAACTTATATCAAGTGAATCGTCGATTGTCTCTAAAAGAGTGTCATCACTGACTGATCCATCTTCACTCAGATCATTGTAACCAATGTTTTGGTCACTTCTGGAGCCAACCGATGAGTACATCATTTAATCAATTGTTTAACAATTAGTTGTAATAAAAACAAACAATTTATTTATTTATTCAATAGAATCGGTCTTTAATTGAATGACGCATTCATTTCATAATTAATGTATTCATTGTAACCAACGATTCACTCATTGCTTTCAATATATTATAATAATTATTATTATTTATTTAAATACAATATACAGTATATCATTATTTAATTAATAATAAATCAATTTTTAATTATATAAAATATTGTATATACTGTAGTACATTATATTTTCTAATTTATATTTATAAAAATATTAATTTGTAAATTTATATTATTTTATTTAAAAACTTTAATTTTTCTTTAATTTTTGTCTAACATCTGACAAATTTTAAAGACAATTATATTACTTTTATATTATATATACATTATTATAAACATTTGTATTACGAAATTGATTTAATACAAAATACAACTTTTAGACCTAAATATATCATATAATATATGACAACTAAATTTGTAGAGTTATCTCAAAATGACTACATATTGCCTAATATGTAGACAATGTTATCGACGATTGTTTTCATTTGTTATATAAGAGAATCAAACAGTTTATAGATTGTATTGTAATTATAGTTACAGTAGTATCGAAAAATTAGCACAAAAATTATTTTTAAAATTTTAAGCTTTTAAATAATAAATTATATTAAAATATTAATTATTTGTAATTCAATAAAGTATTATATATATATATATATAATTAATAAAAGTTTAGATAATAAAAGTGATTATAAGTATTGTGTGAATAAAATATGACATTATATTAATAAAAGGAGAAATCGTTAGCCCAAAGAATTTCTGGTAATATCTGTATATTGTTTACCACTCTTTCAAATCAATTTCATTAACACATTCTTCGGATGCCTAATGTATTGATTAATTTATGAGTTTTATTAAACTTCATGTGATAACAGTATTAAATGCTAATATAAAATCATAAAAATATTTATTATAATTTTTAAAAATAGATTTTATAAGTCATTTGTAAATGAGGTCATAAATAAAACTTATATTTTACACAAACTTCACGTATAACACAACTTATCCTTAATATATTACATTATTATATTATAAAATGTGATTTATTACTTAATAAACATTTATTTTAATAAACAGTTTTTTACTGTAATAAAATATATCAAGTTTATATATATATTTAATACCTCTTTCACACTCTCTCTCTCTCTCTCTCTTGTTTGTTAGAAGATATAAATTATAATATATATTTTCTATGTAGTCTTAAAAAAATAAAACTTATTTGTAAAGATGATTATTTTTGAAAAATAATTAATATCAATTATAATTTTATCAACAAATCATAAACACATGTTGATTACATAGTTTTGACAAACAATGTGATATTTAACTAATTAATCAATGAAAAAGTTCAACAAATGTATCATTTGAATAGTATGTTTGCAGATATTTTCAAAGGAACAACAAAAATATGCATTTTTAAATATATGATATTTTGAGAAAACAGTTTAAACCAACTCTAGTTATAATACAAAGAAAACTTAATTAAAATATTTGTTTAAATAATTATTATTTTTAATGAAAAAGAATTTTTGTATAAAGCATTGGTAATATTTATAAATAAAAATGCTAATAATAATATACATACTTAATTAGTCTTGAAAATTAATAATAATAAATTACAGGTAAATACACATTTGTATATAACAAAGTTATCAATAATAAATATATTTTTTTATAAATCGATGACATATAAATACTTACTGTATATCAAATAGTTTAATGTCAAACATTCTATAAATAATTAAATAACACATTATAAATATACTGTATTATAATTACAATAAGTTTAAACAAATAAAATTCTAACTAATTAATAGTAAATTTACTAAATATATAATATTAAACTAAACTTAATTAAACTTATTAAATTTTATTAATTAGCATACATTTTTAAGATAGTTTGACTAAAACTAAATGTTTAACTGTATTGGTATAATAATTAAAAATTATATAAATATTTATTAAGTTTATAGGATAAGATAAAATACTTCGTATTAAAAACAATTAAGATATTTCTATAATCTTTTAATTATCTAATGTATCAATTTTATAATATTTGTATGCATACTTAAAAATAAATAATTACAATATTTTATTGGTTTAATTAATATTATTTGATTGATAATTAATAATTATGTTAACTTTAATACAAATGAGTTAACTTAATAAGTACAGTACAGTACAAACCTATGCTTACATTTTTAGTTAATTATTCCTTATATTAGTGTCCTATCCATAAGTCAGTATATCATGTGATGAAAGTGTTTCTGATATATTATTTGTCGATTGTCTGTCATTTCTTATACAATAAGATTAAAATAAAATTAATTATTCATAAACTAAGATATTTCTTACTCATTCACTTCGGTTAAAAGTTTTCGTTGTTTTGTAGACATATTTAAAAAACCATTATGTTTTAAATCATTTATAAATAAAATGATAACAAAGATGAGACACACTTTAAAAGAAAAAAATTATTAATAAGTATTTTATTGAAAGATAACAAACTCACAGCACATCCATAATAGGAAAAATACTTCTAAAGCAATGTAACCCATTTTGTCTACAATATAACCGGCCAACAATACAATACAACCTAAACCTAAATTTTGAACCGATTGCATGACACCATACGCTGTTCCCAATTGGTGTTCGGGAATCACCATTGCAACCATTGGCCACAAAGCACACGCTAATATTGAATATCCGATACCCATTAAAATCATAGCAATCCATGGATTCACAAAAGTAAAAGCCAATAATGAATGACTTATTAAAGTTATCACAACTGCACTAAACACCCAAACTATGTTACGACCAGTTAGGTCAACGGCTATTCCCAAAAAAGGTGATAACACTGCAGATATTATATAAATAATGCTATCGACACCATTGGCCTCTTTTTGGTCCATTTGATATTTTCTTTGAAAAAATGTCCTAAAATTTCGAAACAATTAATAATATAAATATATATATAATACTAAATACAAACCCTCCCAAAGCAGTAAATGGAAAAATTGCGACATAATATGTGATGCATATGAAGGTAATCATCCAAAATGATGTCTTAAAGTCTTTAACATCAGTTATCCGTACGATTTCACCGGTTTGACAGTTGGATCGCTTTAAGATACGTTCGGCTCTTTTATCATAAAAAGCCAAAATCAAAGCACATATTAATGAAAAGACACACGTATTGGCAGCTAATGATAATGTTATGCCAAGAGTTGTGTGACCAGTTGTATGAGTTATATAATTGTTAACCGTATCGTATAGTGGTTTCATTACATTAAAGTTGACAGTACTGCCCACCCGTGCAAAACTTAACTGAAGACCAAACACCATATTTATCTCTTTGTTCTTAAACCACGACACGGCATATGTGTTTTGAGTGACGGCTAATGATTCACCACCGATGCCAAAACTATTATTGGATCAATTACCATTAATAATAATATAAATATATTATTTTATTCATTAATAAAGTAATAATTACATGAATCGTCCAAAATTCATGAGCCAAAACCTATTGGTAAAAGCGCCCAATGCTAACACCAATTGTCCAATCAATATGAATACACTGAATATAATAGCACCCAATCGTATGCCTAACAAGCGATCAATGAGAAAACCACCGAAGAAGCAAAGTATGACATTAGGCCACGAATACCACGCATAGAGTGCAGAAAACTCAGACACACCGACATTCATGTCTGTCGTGATCTGCTTTTGTAGAGCTCCGGGACCGTCGTAACAGAAATAACTACCTATTATTCATTACAAACAACAACAAAAATACATTAGTTTAACAGCACCTGTATGTCAAACAAAATGCATACCAAAACCAAGAAAACACATAAAGATAAGCACAAAATATCGATGAAGACTGTATAGTGGATGACATAAAGGGGATGCCATACATCCAGACTCTTCAATAATAATGGTATCGCTTTCACCGCATGATTGATCTCGAGAACCGCTACTCTGACCTATCGGTGCAATCAATGGTCGCTCCAGACGTTCGTCTTCGTCATTCATTTTGTGATTAATTTCTTAGAAAAAATATATAATTTTTGACTTTTCATTACCACAAACATCTTTGACAGTAATTTTGATAAAACTTACAAATTTGTACTAAAGTTGAGTTTTACTTATATTTTTATGAATATTTAGACAATAATTAGCCACCAATTTGATGGTTATTATTGTAGACAATTGTTGTCAAACCAGTCATTTAGTTATCAATTAAGATATCATATGATATGATATGATATGCCATCAAATGTTTTGTCAATATATTAATCACAAATCATATGATGTTTGTTGTCATCACTGGTTGTCTGCATTTAAAACTACAGTAGAGGTCGTTGTGTTAGACATATCATCAATAAGTGTAAGCAAATGGTGTTAACAGTGAAGTAGGCGTACAAACAATACTAACAAATCGATTAATTTTTTATATTAATATAAATATACTGTTTATTCAATCAAATACAGTATATATAACTTACACTATAACTCGTTAATACGTTACGGATTATTATTGGCATTAATTTATAACTTTAATTTAGTCTTTAATGTTAAAAGAAATTTAAAATAAATAAATATATATATATTATAAAATTAAAAAATAAAATTAATTAAAATTAACTTTATATACAGTACTGTAGTCATGTTATGAATAACTAGATTCAACTACAGTATAATATTATTTACAGTATATCACATTTATTATTACATATTTATTTAATTAAATATTTTAATTTCATGATTCATAAATTGTTAATTAAATGCAGTTTTTATCTAATTATAAATATTAATAAATTTATTTAATAACTAATAATAATAAGATATTATTTATATAATTGAAATTAATAGATGAAAATAGTGGAGTGCTTTACTGTATATAATGATAACTCTAGTATTGATTGCAGTCATTATTGTTTAGTTTAAAGACAACTAAAGACTACAACAGTTATAGTCAATTGAATTGTGCCATAAATTTGACTGTTTTTGCTTTATTGTCACCAAACTTGATCCATACAATCGGCAGATATTATATGATAAGTAAAGGCAATGACTATTTTAACTCAAGGAATCAGTAACAAGAAGTTATTGAACAAACCATCGGACAGTAAGCCATTGGTTGGTGCGGTCGAGGCATCGGCTCCTAAGGTTTGACACCAAATATCATATATTTGTCATACATTTGATGATAATCTCTACCATTATTTACATATATTGTATGTCTTTATATGAAATATACATTCAATATGTTTTATATTAAGTCATATATAATTAATAAATATATTATAATATATCTTATAATAATCTTTTTTGCAAATATCAATTGATAAGATAATTGATTTTAATATTAAGATATTGAAATTATTGTCACCCGTAATAACTATTACCAATTGATCCATTTTGGTGACAATGGTTTGTATAGACACACTAATTACTCGTGTCATTAATACAAAGCTGATCACCGAAGAGATCAATTGCTGACGTCATTCAATTGTAATCTTATACTATGTCTTATGATATAAATTTTTTGACATTTTTATTATGATATTTATAATTAAAATGCATTTTCAATTGATTTTGACATTTAATTAGCAAATATATTGCATTTATATCTACCATTAATGAGATTAAAATTTAAAGACAATTATAGCAAATATAGTATCATTCAAATCTTGAATTAACTATTAATTGAAATGAAAGCAAATAAATAACTGCTTATCAATTATTATTAATATCCATAGTTAGCAATACATTTGTATTTTTGTCTCATTTTTTACTCTAATAGATATTTATTTAATTCAGTAATATATTGATTATTTGATTTATTAATTATCATTATTTATACTATTATAACATTTAAATTAGTGTATTCAATAAAATCTGAATAATTTGTATGATTGTTATACATATGTATATATTTATTATATAATCAGTATATAAATAGTTTTTATTTATGATATATTAATACAATATTTTGATTAATGAACATTTTTCAAATAAATTATTAAAACAAAGTACAATATCATATGATATTATTATCGGATATTGAATTTAATTGAAATTTTTATTTAAAACTATTTTATAATAATAAAAATATCAATTTTCAAAAGAAATATTTAATGAAGATTGAAATTATGATGAATTACTGAATGTTTGATCGTATTGTTAGGATATAGAGAGTGGTAGCACAGCATCGTTGGCCAGTATTAGGATTCGGGCCCAAAGGGTCAACAATTTAACAACTCTTTGCGTTACATTGACAGCACTTATTGTGTTGACCACTGGAATTGTTGGCGGAATCTATTTGTATCGACAATTTGCACAATACAGGGTTTGTTATATTGTTAGCATTGTTGGCATTTATACAACAAATTAATGCATATTTTAGTTGAGACATTTCCGTGGTTGGTGTACAATACCATATGTCGAACCAAACCAACGTTATCATGACTTACATGCCATGCAATCGGAACCAGCAATTGAAACACACGACTTAAGAGACAATAATGGACAACCTCTGGATATCGAGTCACTGATTAATGATTTATCAAAACAAATGGACGATACCTTTAGAAATAATTTGCCAGAAATGGATCACTCATTTGATGAAGAATTTGACATCGATGTTGAATTACAACAATACGAACGCATAGAAGTGCCCAACTTTTCACACGGAAGGAGGGGTCGATTTGTTCACGATTTTTCAACAGTTAGTCATTTATTCATTTATATTTGAGTCTATTTTTTTGAATAATAAATAAAATAATTTGTTTTTTATTAGAATAAGACTGGAATTGTTGACTTGGATGAGGAACGATGCTTTGTATTGCCATTGAATCGAAGTCAAGTTCTTCCGCCACAATCATTGTTTGATTTAGTGGTTAAGATGAAGAGTGGATACTATGATATCGACACACAAATTGTCAGAGATTTGTATAGAGTAGTGACGCCTCCGATAACTGATTTTAAGAACTTAGGCTATTATATCGCTAGAGAATGCGCTACATTACCAACATATCGATTGGAAAGGATAACATCACCCGGTATTTGATTTATTAAATTATTATTGATTTCTATTTCTATATATTTATCTAATTTTTAGTTTACAAGCGAAGTATTGATGAAAATGAAAACAAAAAAGTTATATTTTCTGAGTTCGCTGGTAAAGGTATTCATGAGTTTCAAATTGTCAATCTTCACGACGCAAAGGGCAACAAATAATGTACCATAAGATAGCACATCCCATTCCTCCAATATCTCAAATTTATATATAGTGTTTATATATAGACACCTCTCAATTACTTGTAAATTATATCTCATATCAGAGTTGTTGGTCTTCAAAATGTTTGTAACCAAAGAGTTTTATTTAAAGGTAAATAATTAACTGCTTAATAGTGAGTTTGGATTATTAATATAAAAATATCTATTGTATTAAATAACAAAACTATCTAAACTAATTTTAATATTTAGCAACTACTGTATGATTTATTAATGAATATTTAAAGGTTTGTTTAAATGTTTAGTTTACCATTCAATAGATATATTTACTAAAGTTTCTATTGCTAACAATTTTATAAGTTTTACCTAATAATAGTTTATAAAGTTTTTTTGGTAAATCAATTTATCTTTTTGGCAAAATTATGCTATTGTAAACTTAATTTTTGAATATATTTAATTTAATTATATAATTGCTTTAATAATTATATATTTTGCTTAATTTATAAATAATAAATCATTGAAAAATTTGTCACATTTTTTTTATGGATTTTAATGACTTATTTAGATGTATATATAATAATAATAAATATTAAAATAATTTTATCATTTAAATAATACAATAGTTTATATATTTTGTTTATAAACAAACGATAGATTTATATAATATACAGTAATATCCGATTAACCATAAGTTGGAATTTACTAAACATTTGGAAAGTCTAACTATTACTTAATTAATATCAACACTTGTATGCAAAATACTATTTAAATATTGTATAAAATTTCAATTTAAATTGAAGTATACTATATGTGCTATACATATAAATATCATTTAACCGTTAAATCAAACTTTGTTCTAACGGTTCTTTGAATAGTATTCGTGGCATATATTAGTTGGGCTGCGCTTTGAAATACCGGTTGTGTTCTGATTTGAGACACAAACAAATCATTACTTTTTTTACTAATTATATTAATTAATACTTACTGTCCGTCTCTGAAGAATTCTTTCAAAGTTTGGCTGAATTTTTTTGAATCCTTAATGAACTCTCGTTTGCGTTTCTCGAGAGCTGTTCTATCTGTTGAAGACGTTTGTTGAGAACTATTGGATATCTCATTGACACAATCCAAGAGTTTTTTTATAGCACTGGCTATCTCTCTGTTTAAAGTAATTATATTTAATTACCGGTAATAAGTTGTGAAATAAATCAATATATACTTAATCGTCTCGAGGAAAGTCTTGCGGTCATTGATCTCATCGGGTATTCGACTCAATATCTTCTTAAGTGAATATGTTTTTCGGTTCAACTCTTGGAAGGGTTCATCCTGTCGTTTACACTTTTGGTCTGAAATATAATATAATTATTGTTATTTGTCATCAAAGTTGCTATCAATTGATATTACCATCAAATTCAGGTATATGTGCCTGAAGTCTGAGTAACGATTCCGTCATATTTACAGTTAAATCTCTTCGTTTTAAAATACTGTTCACAATTTCAAGCAAAAGTCCCGGTTCTTGAGTCTCGGCCTTTAGGTATCAATATTACAACAAATTATTTGATTAATAAATTATAATAAAAAAACTATTTAATAATACTTTAATTATGGCATTCATTAATATCTGTGCGGCCATCGGGTCATGTCTTTCAACCTAAATATCAATACATTTCAATACTAATAAAGATATCATATGTCAAACCTTATGAAGAATTGGTCGCAAAAGTATAGGAAATATGAGTTGTGAACAAATGGGTGGTCTCTCTTCACTCATTGTCATTATTATCAGTGTTGGTCACCACTTGATTGGACACAACCGATGGCGAAGTTCACCTAATGATCACTTAATCATTACTTGAATGACAATCAAAATTGTTAATCAAATACTGGATTCAATTTAAGTAATGTATTAACGAGTCATTCAAAACATTCAAAATATTTAATACATTCAATACATTCAATACTACACTACATATGGACGTCATATGCACTCTAATAATGCAATCAACTTATCATAGCTTTAGTTGAGTTGAAAAGCGAGCGCTCATTATATGAATACCTATTATATAATCATAGATACCTGTCCTCCACTTATACATTAAACACTTATAATCAAATCAAATCAAATATTTCATATCATAAATTGTAATTTACAATAAATTATTGTAATTTTTATATAAGCTTTTCAATAATTGTATATACAGTAAAATATGTGATATATTGTAAATTGTATATAAAATTAATTTATGTTATCAATAATATTGTATTATATACTGTATGTAAATTTATGACTTTATTTTTAGATTTGAGATAATTAATTCAAATTATTTTTTTATAAATAAATTTGATTTTTGATTTCTTATACTAATAATTAATTTAATTTTATATAAATATTAAACTTACTTTTTAAATATTAATATTAATACTACTAACAAATAACATAACTTTTGAAAAAGTTTATTATTAATTCATCAAATTTTATCAATTTATATACAAATATAGAGTAGTATTCTGCAAATATTACCATAAATTTATAGTAAATTATAATTTACAGTATCTTAACTTTAATTTTACCTTAAATCATAAACTAATATAATAAAAAATATTTATCTAGTATTAATATCCTCAATATTTATATTTATTATTTTGACAATATATGTATCTATAACTAATTAGTAATTACTATTACCTGTAAGTAGTCAAATGTAATAAAATTTTTAATCACAGTTAACAAAATAGCCTGTATAAATTAATATTACTGTAAGTTAAATGAGTTAAACAATTAGATTTATTTATAAATGAATAAATAATAATTGTTTTGCTCTTTATATGATTTATTCATATTATGTTATAAATTATTGTTTTTTTGCAAATTATTGTAAATATAATACATTATGAATATACAGATAAAATGAATTCTTTTTTAAGTCCAATCAAATCAATAAAAAACTAATTGCTTGTCTTTTTTATCAATACTGTTATAAATTATAAATATATTTATCGGTAAATTTGTATAATTTATTTTATAGCTTATGGGCATAATTTCATTACCGATAGGACTAAACTAAATATTAATCAATTTTTTATTAGACAATATTGTTACCGTAATTACAAAAAGTATATTAACGATAACAGTACTGTAATAATAGTGAAAAAGATTACGTTTAAACAACAATTATAAAATGATTAATACAAGTGTAATGAAGTAATTTATCGATATTTTATTCAAATGATAATCAAATAAATCAAAACATTAAAGAAGTTATTATTGTTGAACAGTTGCGGTTAGGGCCACGGCTTCGGCTAATTGTCTGGCTTTGGTAGCACTTCTTAATTGAGCGGCGATTCTGTCCAAATCACGAACTCCTTGATTTGTTAGTTTTCTTCCGCCAGTATTTTCGTCCTTTTCAACCCATTTGACGCCTTCTAACGATTGCAAAGCCTTTCGGGCGACGTTAGTACTGCCGCGACAGTAATGCGATGGTCGCACACCTCTTCTGTATCGTCCGCCATATATTTTGGTCAGTGATCCCACACCTTAAGTATACAATTATAACAATATAGATATATAAGACATGTAAAAAAAAACAAGCAACTAAATTGTCAACTAACCGACGGGTGATCTCAGATATATGTGTCGGGCGACTGAAGCGCATCGGATGTAATACCAGTCTTCATCAAAAGGGGCCAACTCTTTAAACACACCTGTTTTGACCAAATCAACCCAATCGGGAACCTTCAGTTTGCCCGACCTGTCCATCAAATGACAAAATTATTAATTATATTCACTTTAGATATCATTTAAATAAATCATTTACTTCTTGAGGAATGCCGCCAATGATTTGACAAACTCTGACTGATCCACGTCTTTGACACCAACAGATCGCACGTGAGAGTTCATTGTCTATCTGTTTAATCAATTATTAAGACATTAGTTGTTTGTGTCAATCATTATCACCACAATTGGTACTTACGATTGATTTAATTGTCTAAATCAATGTCTAAATCAATGATTTAATACAATAACTAATGTATTGAACACTCATTCAAAAGGAAAAGGAAATTATTTAGTGTTTTCATACAAAATCTATACATAAATTACGTCAATTCATATAACAATTAATACATTAATATACAGTATATATGTATTATATTATGTTTTCAATAATACAATTGAAATTAATTTTATTTTATCAAAAATTTATATATTTTATTAATTATATACTTTTTACAAAGTTTGCTAAAAAATGTCTAAAATACGCAACTTTTTAAAATTATTGTATAAACCTATAACTATAAGTTAAAATCTATAACTATAAAACTGTTTAAAACTATAAAATATAATATAAAAATTAATAAATTGTAAATAAGATATATTTATAGTCAATATTAATTAAATAATAATTAAAGCCAAATACAGGTATATATTGTATATATTTTTAAAAAATCATTTTTAAGTAATTATCTTAAACTTTGTGTTTTTCCTTACACTCAAACATTGCTTAATACTGTACCGTATTATACAATACTCTATATTTAATAATTGTTTAAAATTTAAATATAAATAATTTTCTGATTGAATAATAAATATAAATTTATTTACTAATTAATCAATAGATTAGTATATTTGAGATAACATATAAAGAATATGAAATTAAAGTATATTTAACTATAATATTAATAAATTGATGAAAATGTTTGATAAGTTTTGGTAATATATGGTAACAATTATTACTGAAATACTCATCACTTGAATGTATGGCAGAAAAGTAGGCGTTTTTTAATCGATTTTGTCGTCGAATAGCAATCGAACACGACTTGCATTGCATTGAATATAACATTCAATTGAATGCAATGTATATTAATAGCAGTTATCATACAATATATGTATAAATACTGCCTTTAAATACATATATATTTTGTTTTCAATTCAATTATTCATACATTTATTGTTTAATTAATTAATAATTTAATTGTCTTTATATTAAATGATGAGTTCTTGAGGTCTATTGTCTCAGTTTAGCCATCAGTGACTGTTGACTATTGTTAACATTTATATCAATTATTCCAGTGATGGAAGTGATGGACAGTCAGTTGATTATGCAATCAATCATTTCATCCGTCAAACTCTTATTAGTGATCAGTTATGTCATCGATTGTAAGTAATTTGAAACTAATGTCCAGTAATTTGATTTAACGATATTATCTTTATATGTAAAGCATGTCTAACCATCAGTAATGAAGAAATTGAGAACCACTTAGAGATGGGCCGACAGATGCTATCTCGAGGTCAATACTCGGACGCATTGTCACACTATCATATGGCAGTTGGTATGTCTTGGATTAACTATTAATTAGATTTATATAACATTAATATTAAATCTTAAACCAGAGGCTGATCCGAATAACTACCTGACAATCTTCAAAAGAGCCACAGTTTATCTCGCTTTAGGTAAACATAAGGCAGCTCTCGATGACCTCAACGAAGTGATAGTTTTGAAACCAGATTTTTTGGCCGCACGTCTTCAGAGGGGATCAGTTCTTCTAAAACAGGGCCGACTCGATGAGTCACACATAGATTATGAATGGGTTCTTCGGTTAGAACCATATAATGAAGAAGCTGTTCATTCTTATTCAATGATTGAACCGCTCAAACATGATATACAAACAGCATATCTTCTGATTGAAGATCACGATTGGCCACAAGCTGTAGAACTATTGACTCGATTACTTCATGAACTTCCGTGGGATTGTAAGCTCCGTGAGATGCGATCAATGGCTTATGAAAAGTTGGGTGACATTGTTAATGCCATTTCCGATTTGAGAGCCACAACCAAAATGCGTTCCGATAATACTGATGGCTATCTAAAGATTAGTAAACTTCACTATGATTTAGGAGAAGCAGATGAATCACTTAATACTATTAGAGAATGTCTAAAGTTAGATCCCGACCACAAGCTATGTTTCAATCATTATAAGAAAGTAAAGAAATTGGCCGCACAAGTGAAGACCATGAATGAGTTTGCACTCGAAGGACAATATAATGACTGCTCTGACAAAGCAAAGTTGGCTCTCAAGACTGAGTCTGAAAATCCTAATATGATTCATATGATTAAGTCAAAGATGTGCCACTGTTTGACTAAAGTGCGACCATTTTTTTATTATATCAATATTTTTTAACATATGTTTTAATTTTACTTATTTTTTATAATCTCTCAATGAATAGGGCGGTGACGCCAATGAAGCCATTACTGTCTGTTCAGAGGCTTTAAAGTTATATCCCGAAGATGTTAATGTATTGTGTGATAGAGCTGATGCTTATCTCAATAATGAAGATTATGAAAGAGGTATCATTTGATTAAATATTTTGATATCTAATTTTAAATGCATTTATAATAACAGATGTTTTATTCAATTATAAATCTTAATAATGTAGTAAATTATTTATTGTTTAACCTAATGAAAATATTTGCTTATATTAGACATACTTTATTACATAATTTAATTAATTGCATTTTAATGATAAAATTTTTTAATTATATAGCTCTAAACGATTTTAAGAGAGCTCATCAAATAGACGAACACTCGTCTAGAGCTGAGGAAGGCATTAAAAGAACACAAAAGTTGGAAAAGCAAAGTAAAAAACGAGATTATTATAAGATATTAGGTGTACCACGAAATGCAAACAAACGGGAGATCACCAAAGCTTACCGTAGATTAGCGATGCAATGGCATCCGGATCAGTACCAAGGTGACGAGAAAAAGATGGCTGAAAAGAAGTTTATCGACATTGCCTCAGCTAAAGAGGTGCTAACGGATCCAGAAAAAAGACAAAAGTTTGATAACGGCGAGGACCCACTTGATGCTGAGGCTCAGGCCAACGCAGGATCTCATGGATTCAATCCTTTTGGTAATGGATTCAATCCATTTGGTGGTTCTAATGGTGGTTACAGTTTTAAATTTACTTATGGATAGAGTTTTAAACTAATCCATAGTTTTTGTTTGTTTGTTTGGACATACAATTACCGTAATTATAGCTTTAATTGTTATAATTATCTGTATGTTTCATATTCTAGTGCCTAAATGTAAATTGATTTATATGTATAATATAACTTATGTAAATATTTTAGGTTAATTACATTTATGGAATTATAATCTCATCAATACACATTAATATTGTTTATAAATTATAATATATTTATTTATAATTTAATAGTAAAATAAAACATTTCACAATATTATATCGTTTTATTATTATTTTTTATTATTAAGAAGTTTATTTTATTTTTAAAAATGCTTTCATTGATTGATAAAAGATGACATTTAATTGTCATTAATTGTTCATCAAAACGGATGTCTCTTTCCCTTAATTAACAAAACTCATCCGTTTTATTGAGTTTTAAATGATTTCGACAAAAGTTTTTTCAAGTAATACTAATAGTCAAGAATTGCATTTTAATGGCAAACAAATTGTCGATAAAAATGAATTCATTGATAATTATAGTCTTTATAATAGCAATTATTGTACGAATTGGTGAATCTTATAATGACGAGAATCAGATTGAATCGCACGGAATGTATTTCCCAATGTCTGTACACTCAGAAAACGATGCAATGGTTAGACATTTCATATTATATTTATTGTTATAATAGTTAAGTCAATGATATTTTTTATAGAAATATTTGAATCAATTTGGATATATGGAGAAAATGCCAATTAATATGACAATGAGTTCACCGCAAATGAAACCAATACTTACAGATTATCAAAGATTTATGGGAATCCAAGAAACGGGAGTTTTAGATGAAAATACAATGCGAATGATGAATGAGCCGCGTTGTGGTGTCAAAGATAATATCTTGAGTCAAACTTTACGCCCCTATAATATGAAACTGAAGAAACGTTTGCGAAGATATTCATTACAGGGAAGTATGTGGCAGACGAAGAATATTACGTGGAAAGTAACCCAATACTCAACACAAGATAATCTTCGGGAAAAAGATAAACATATCGATAAACTCATGAAATATGCATTACATGTATAGTAAATATTATTACACTATTACAGTAATATGATTTATATTGTTTAATATAAAATATTAAATATAGGAGTGGAGTAAACACAGTGGACTTAATTTTATTCATGAAAGAGGTGACAAAAAAGCTATGATTGAGATTGGCTTTAAAGTGATGGATCACAGGGACGGTAACCCTTTTGATGGCCCGGGAAGGACTTTGGCGCACGCATTCTTCCCACAGTTTGGTGGAAATACACATTTTGATGATCACGAACGTTGGAGTATTGATGGCAAGCGAGGGGTCGACCTCTTAAGTGTTGCGGTTCATGAGTTTGGACACGCCTTAGGTTTGGGTCACTCCGATAATAAGGATTCGCTTATGTATCCGACTTATGCCGGAAAACGATCAGAACTTAAGAAAGACGATATTAATGGGATTCAAATGCTTTACGGACCAAATGATCAAAAGGATACCTCATATCTTGATGTTAACGAAAGACGAATACCTAAAGTGTTGTCTTCAGCACCTGACTTATGTACAGACTTCAGAATAGATGCCGCAGATTGTAATGCATTGGATGAATGTTTTTTCTTCAGAGATGAGTATATATGGCGTATTAATGACGACACCGGTGTATATCCAGGTTATCCCAAACGAATATCTGATATATTTCCCGGTGTTATCGGCAAAGTTGATGCAGTAATCACTGATCAGAACAGTGGAAGAACTTATATCTTCAAAAAAAATAAAGTTTGGGTTTTTAAAGAACCAATGAATAAACCAATTAGAGCTAAGGATTCAATTAATAATTTGATTAGAGGTTTGGATACTAACTCATTAGATGCTGCAACTCGTTGGGGATTTAATGGCAAAATTTACTTATTTAAAGGTATTATTTTATAATAAAATATAATTTATTATAAATAATATGCACTTATTTAATGTTCAGACGATAAATATTGGAGATATGAACCCGAAAGAGTAAGTTATCCAATAAATAGACGATATCCTCAATCAACACAAGCGTGGAGAGGACTTCCCGACAAAATAGATGCCGCAATGTTTTGGCCCAAAACGGGAAAAACTTATTTTTTCAGTGGTTCTCAATATTATCGGTTTAATGATATAATAAGTTCTGTGAGTTTGTTGTTATCCATTATTATTGATATTGTTTGTCACTTATATTGTTTGATTATCTGATATCTAACTATCATTAAAAGGTCGACAGCGCTAACCCTCCCTTTCCAAGAGATGCCTCCAAATGGTGGCTTAAATGCCAAAAGAGTTCATTTAAGTCCGATTTAATGGACAACAAAGACAATTCTCAATTGAATGAATCTAATGATCCGAGTGGTCAACCATTCTTTGAAAAGATTTCTAAAGTTTTCAGTAAATTTCATACAATTTATAAAAATATTGTAAATTTATTTAAGAAAAATTAATACGTTTTGTAGTTTATAGTCGATAAATAATTTATTTAATTGATAATTGATAAAAAATAATAAACAGTTAATCTAAAACTTTATTTTAAATGACTGAATAAATTTTTATATACAAATTTAGAATTAAAAAAAAAGTTATAAATCGGTTTCAAAATAGACGAATTTTTTTTTAAATATTTTATTTCTAATGTAAATTAAAATTAAATAAAAATATTAATTAATTTCTTTTCAATTGTGTTTTTGTAACATATACTGTACATTGATTTAACATATATGTTATGTTTTTAACACTGGTATGTTAGCATGGTACTGGTATGTTTTTTTAATAACATATTATGAATATATACAGTGCTTTTTTAAAGAAAATGACATTGATAATTGAAAATGCCAAGGTGCTTTATGGGTTTTTAAAAATATTAAGGTTAATCGGAAGTTTAAAGCCCAGTGATAAAACAGTGTTTTTTGACAAAACAAACAAAACAAAACAAATTGGCGCAGTCGGTAGGATACAATGTTTGTTTGTTGTGCCTGAGTTTGTATGTTTGGACACAACTTAGAGGAATAGGAGAGCACCGGTTGTTATGCGTGGGTCGGTATGAGGCCTACAACCGATTATCAACCAATTCCTTATAGATTATCACCTGAAGGGTCGGTATGAGACCTATCGGATGATAAAAGGGTAGATCACTTGCAGTAGTGGTGGCCAAGCGTAAAGCTAGAGCTGATCCCAATCTGGATGTCTGTACTATCTCTTGATATCACGCGATACGGAACGGTAGGTTAGAGTTGATGGACAACCGGGTTGTATGTATGTCTTTAATGATGTGAACAACCGGTTGGACTCTTGAAGTGATAGTTTCTATGATGATAATAGCGATGGTAATGAATCGTATGATTAACACAGGTATAAGATAATTATAACAATTTATTGATTAGTTTAAGACAATTGAGGATACAATGGATTGTATGGTTAAAATGGTGCTATCAGTGGAGCACATGTATGATGTGAGTACAGTATGATATGTGAGAGTCAGGTATGACTGTTGTGTATGACGGCTGGCACTGTACTAAAGTATGTGTATACTGTAGTACAGTATTTATAGTGTTTGAGAGAGGACGGGTAGGTATAGGGAATGGTTAGCTATCATTGGATAGTTTGAATGTGGGAACCGTTGAACAGTTAGTTTGGTGCCAGAGGTCTGAGGTCAGCAACCGGTAAGTATAAGGAACTGTATAACCGATTGAAAAGCAATACTAAGAATTTAGCACAAAAATAGGATATAAAATAAATGTATACAAAATTATTGGGAATTTAAATACAAAAATACTTTATAACTAAATTAGCTTAAGGTAATGTAGTGGACACTACAGTTTAAAGCCCAGTGATAAAACAGTGTTTTTTTCAACGGAAAATGCTTGTTTTGGTCCTAAATAACATATTCCGATAAAAATAAAAGTGCGGAAACACCTAAAACCTACTCAAAACTGGCCTAACATACCTGACCTGACACCTGACATACATAGCATAACATTATTATAACATTAATCTAACTAATTGTTATTGTAAGCGCGAGAATATTACTATTGATAAAACTTAATAATAATACATTATTTTTAGAACTAAGCGCGAGATTAATATTTTTAATATTAATTATTCGATAGAATAATTTTTTTAAAACCCCCAGTATTATATAGAGTAGGTTAAGTTACTATTGAAAATAAGGTTAGGTTGCGGATCAAACACCAGGTTAGGTAACGGAGCGAACACTAATACATTAGGTTAGGTTATGTTAACATTTGTGTAATACCATTATAATTAGGTTAAGGTTGCGGATCAAACACCAGGTTAGGTAACGCGACAAACACTGATTCGGTAACCCCAGTACTGTATAGATTAGGTTAACATTGAAATTTAGATTAGGTTGAGAAGGAACACCATGTTAGCTATTTATTATATAATTTTATTATGAAAATGTTTTTATAATTATTTTATAATTGTTAATAATTATAATTTTTATTCTCGTGCTTTAATGCATGTTTAATAATTTCTATATATTTAAGTTTGTTTTTTACACTATGTTTATGTATGTGGGGTCAGTTATGTTATGTTAGATTTGAGTAGGTTTTAGGTGTTTCCGTACTTTTATTTTTATCACTTAATGTTTTTTAGGACCCAAAAAAGTATTTTCCGTTGAAAAAACACTGTTTTATCATTGGGCTTTATACTTCCGATCGGCCTTATATGTTAATGTTATTGAAATTATTAAATATTATATGAATAAATTGGTTGATATTTGAAATTATAAATAAGTAATAAATCTAAAAAAACTTTAAACTTTATTGAACTTACTTTTGAAGACATTGTTTGTGTAACGATTCGACAGTTATATTGGAAACGGTTTTTTAAATTTAAATGTTTTGTTATTATTATTATTACTATTATTATTGTAAAAACCATTTAAACATATAATCAATTGTTTACATAATTGTTACCAAAGATGACGACTTCTGTGACCACCGATTCGGGTAATAACCAGTTATTCATCAAATGGCTCACTGAATGGCGAAATTCAGCCAAAGAAATGGGATCTAAGATGGAGTTTGTCTTCAATAAAGTTAGTGATATTTCACTATTTGTTATCATTTGATCACTTTTATTGACAATCAATTTATTTCTTGACAGGCATTGCGGTCACTGAGAGAACATCCGAACCAATTGTCTACCGGAGAGGAGTGCAGACAACTCAAAGGATTTGGTGATAAGCTATGTAAAAGAATTGACGAAAGATTGTCTCAAATGAATGGCATTACCATTGATTGTCAAACATCCAGACGTCCCGGAAATGGTAATCAAAGAGATCAACAAATAACAGATATGTTACCGAAAAGGAAGAAGAGATCGCTTATGAATACACCGAACAAAGGATTGAGTCCTTTGCAAAAAGTGGCAAAAACTAAACGAAACATTAATTATATTCCGGCCGAAGGTTCGGGAGGTTATGCTATACTAATGGCATTAATTAAGTGGGAAATCGAGAATAGTGTGGATTGTTTGGGTAAATCTGATCTCCAGAATGCATCTCAAGAGTTCAGCTCAACGTCTATGACATCGGGAGCCAATGGCAGTCATTATAATGGCTGGCATTCAATCAAAACATTAGTCAATAAGAAGTTGATTGAACGAAACACTCAAAGATATGCTACTTATTATTTAACTGAATCGGGAAGAGATTTGGCCACAAAATTGTATCAAATATATAATGAAAAGAAAAATAAATGCATTCAATCAAATCAACAACCATTGAATGATTTATCTGATAGAAGTACTGGTGATTTGTCCAGTGATACAGAATCTATAATTCCCGAAACATTGGTTTCAAATGGGTTGGTCAGCACTTCCCAAACAAGTGTAACTACGGAGAGCACAAGCTCTTTGACTAATCGTATGTGCGATCGGTTCTCATTATTACCCAATACTTATGAAATAGTGTTGTGTATCGACACTCGAGAACAGGCCAGTGGTGTGAACCGAGATATGAGAAAAACTGCATTAATGTCTGTTTTACAACAAAACGGTGTAAAAGTTGAGATGAGAACACTAAGTGCCGGTGATTTTGTTTGGATTGCAAAACAAAAAGTCGATACGAATGGTAACATTACGTCAATTAATACAAGAAACCGAAAGGAATTGGTATTAGATTATGTGATCGAAAGGAAACGTATAGACGATTTGGCCGGAAGTATAAAAGACAGACGTTGGGACGAACAAAAATACAGACTAAGAAATTGTGGTATTCGTAAACCATTCTATATTATTGAATACTTTGGATCTCATGGCAAGAAAGCAGAGTTTGGAGGCATTAAATGTGATACTTTGGATCAGGCCATTGCCAATGCACAAGTCGATGGCTTCTCAATCAAACGTTGCGAATCGTTTGAAGATACTATCAGATACTTGACATTAATGACCAGATATTTGGAATCAAAGTATAGATATAAAACAATATATTCTTGTTTAAGGGAACAGATCATTAATAAAGAGGTTCCTTACAATCATTTTATGAGTTATAATGAATTTGGTCGAAATGCCAACAAAATCACTAATTTTACTGTAAAGGAGATGTTTTTAAAACATTTACTGCAAATAAAAGGCATTTCTGTAGCTAAAGCCAAGGCTATTGTAGAGCACTACCCGACCCTTCAGAGTCTTTTGGATGCCTTTTCTATTGGAATGACTGTTAAAGATAAAGAAAATTTGTTGTCATCACTGAAAAGTGGTTTAATGGACAGAAATTTAGGACCAACTATTAGCAGAAAAGTTTTTAATCATTATTATTGCTGCCAATGATTATAGTAATAATTTTTAGCTTAATTTATATTTGCATTACAGTGTTATATACACCTCTTTTATATATATTTTTACTGTTTTATATTTTTATTTAAAAATAAAATAATGATATGTTCAATAAAATTCTTATATACTATACATAATCTAAGTTAAATTTTATCAATTGTGTCAATGTTTATTTGGTTATATAATAAATTTTTTGAATTTTGAAAAACTAAACATTGAATTTAACTATTAAACCATTCAATAGATAGTTATATAGGACACTGACCTTGTATTTGTTGGCTGTACCCGACTTTCAGTAATTACTTATGGATTATATATTTAAATAAAATATTTATAAGTGTTTGAATGTCTCACATGAATAACAAATTTAAAGTACAGAAAACAGTGAAACTCATGAATGTATCGGAATATGTATTGTTCGGACAATAAATTATCGCAAATAAAATTCATATCACAGAAGCATTGCTAACATTATTGAAATCAAATAATCTATAATCCAATTAACTGTAAATATTATTGAGTCAATAAACAAATATTGTATATAACAAATATATAATATAAAAGTTTTACTTTTAATTTTTGAAAGTTTAATAACAAATATTTATTTAGTTCTAAATTACTTAATTTAAAAATTAGCAAAAATGTAAAATTATGTAAAAAACTATGTAATTTGATTTAGCAAATAGAATATTTTTACTTAAATTTTAATATCTAATACATATGTATTATGTTTTATAATATAAAATTATTATTTTTTAGACATTTATTTAATTCATTGTTAAAGATTTAAAGAGTTCAAAAACATACAATATTATCATATAATCAATAATGAGTATAATAAGCGATCAGTTTATAACCCCAGAATGTGATGTCTAATATATGTTTATTAATCAGAAATTTATACATCAAAAGTAAATATTAATGGGTTATAAAAACAATGACATTATAAATATAATAAGTGATGAAAAAACTGAAAGCAATGTACATAAAATAAAATCAATTGTGACCTTCATTATCAATCAAACATTTAATTTTTGCGTGAATTCATATTTTCAATATTATCATCTATTTTTTATTCAATATAAAAATTTATTTTTAGATAAAACCTGTTTAAACTTTAAATTAAAACTTTAAAAACTTTAATAAGACTTAATTTTATACTTTACAAACCTTACAATATTCAATATACTGTAGTTATTTAATAATTATTAATTTTAAATTGTCTGAGTATTCAAAAATTGTTTTAAAATAAAAATTTAATTAAAAAATACTATTTTATTATTTAATTGATGTTTTGATTGCAAAATAATGTAATAAAAGACAAGGGATATCCCAAAGACTATTTTGACGCTTTAATTCAGACATTACTCACAATTGAATGTCAGTTAAATGTGATCTCAATTTAACATTTTATGTAAAGTAAAAACTTATCAAAAAAATATTTGAAATAAAAAATTAGTTTTAATAATAATTTCTATAAGAAATTGTCGTTAAAACGGCATTATATTTTGAGGAAGAAATAACAAGAATTATATGACTAATAAAATAAATATATTAATAAACATAAGGTATTGAAATCGCAATTGAATACAAATGTTGTCATTATTTTGCGGAACACTTTAGACACTCACATATTCATTGATAACTATTTAAATATACATAAATTTATTTTAAAGTATTTTAGCTCTTTTATTAATATACCACACATTTTTAAACATGAATTTTCAGTTATTTTTATAGTCTTAAAGAATTTTTTGAAATTATAAATAAAGTACTTTTGCGACAAATAGTCTTTTCAGTTAAGTTATGATACAATGAACTGAAAGTATCAACAGTTAAGAAACTCTTTAGACTCCTGTGGAGACATTAAGAGATATTTGACCATAAAATCAGAATCAGTGGGCGTTTGTATTCAAATCTATACAATTAATTATATTTTTTTGCTAACACGTAATGAGTCATATGTTTTATTTTTTTTATCAACGGAAGAGTTGTGTTAGAAATTTATGTGAAATGTTTGGGACATTGATCTCAATCTTAAGATTTTAATTTAAGTAATCAAAACATTATATGACTCATGAATTTCTGTTGAAAATTTTTTATGAATGAATTCATAATATGATTTAAAATTGTAAAAATTTCATTTATTCATTTCAATTATTTATTTATATCAGTTTCTAAATAATTGAAGTTTATATAAATAACTTTAATAAATAGTTTATTAGTTGATAACTTTGTAACCAAATATTGTTATTAAACATATGTGTTTCAAATTAAAAAATAATTGATTTTAATAGTTATAAAATTGTTGACATTTAGAAAATAATGTTTAATAAAACAAACATTGATTTCGTGCCAAATAATAATTTGAATAAATTTTTGTAAATTAATTCAAAGCAATAATTACTACAATATATTCAAATTACAAATTATAACTACAGTATAATATAATATTGAAAATGTATTGTAAATCAGATAACAATTACATTTACAGTAACTTTCGTGCAAATAATAAATATATGAGGGATGGCGTAATTCAGGGTCACTCCTGATAATACCGTTTCCCTATTATTAATATAATACTTCAGTACTCATCGTATACATCACTTTAAACTGATAATGACTTAACTATTATTTGTAAAATAATAAAAACTTTCAAAACTTAAAATTGTTATAATAATTTTCACAACCACTATCTAGGCTCATATAAATTATTAATAATATAATTGTTTAATATATATTTTTCTATATATAAATGTTTTAAAATTATCAATTGTCTTATAATTAATAATAGTATTTTGGCTAATATTCAAATGCAAATAAATTCAATGATAAAAAGATATGTTATTGAAATGATAATTATTTAAAAATATTATACAAATAAATTGCAGACATATATCTATATGAAGACAATGTCCGATCACAATATGTTTTATTAAAAGTCTTGAGGCACAGGTGAGGCTCGTGTAATGGCTTTAAGCTATGCTTTAAGGGTGTCTTCAAAAGTAGTATTATTATTATATAAAATAATAATACAGAGGAAAGGGTCATTTGTCTGAGTTTGTAAATAACAAATTGAGAGAAAGAGAGAGAGAGAGAGAGAGAGAGAGAGAGAGCATGAAATGCATGATTACATTGATGTTGATTATCATAACTTCAGTAATGATGACACCCACACATCCCAGAGCTTCTCTACACTTATATTTTCAGTCACTTTTACTTTTAATACTGGAGTAGAGCTTAAAGTTTAGAGGACTCCAACAGTTACCCACTATCTGACAGTTCAGTGCACTTAATGAGCAATTTTTAAGTCTTATTCTCGAGAAAATACCACTAAAATTGTTGATCTCTTCACTCAAAAATTCAACTCTCTTTCAAGTTTGGGATCACAACTCCTATACCAATAATATAGCAATGGTTTACATATTGTTTTGCTTTAAAGAGATTATTCAACTTTTTTTCTTCAGTGTATCAACTTTTTACACATTTTTGTTGTTGTCAAACAATTCACACAATTGTTGATTTTTTTTATTAAACTTCCTCTCTTTCTTTCTCTCCCTCTCTCTCTCTCTCTCTCTTTCTCTTTCTCTTTCTCTTTCTCTTTCTCTTTCTCTTTCTCTTTCTCTTTCTCTTTCTCTTTCTCTTTCTCTTTCTCTTTCTCTCTTTCTCTCTCTCTCTCTTTCTTTCTTTCTTTCTTTCTCTCTCTCCCTTTTATTTGTAACAATCAAGTAATTATTGTCACTAAATTGTCAAAAATGTCAAAAGTGTGAATATCTATCTACTATTACTACTAACATACAGCACTATTATTATTATTATGTGTAATAATATCTTAATAATAAAGAGTATAAACATGTATTACAACATGTAATTATGTTAATCCATAAAAAGTAATTACAATACAATAAATACTGTATGAAATACTTTTGTATTATAAATTGTTATTTACAGTAATCTTGTTATAAAATTAATCAATTTTTGAGATGAATTAATTTGGTTATTATTTTACGTCACATAAAAGTTCATATTAATAATATTTTTAATAATTTATATTTATAACAATAATCACGATTTTCAGATTAAAATTTTTTAATAATTAATAAGTATAATTAAAATAAGAAAATAAAACTTATAAACTAACAATTAATTAAAACAAATTGATGTAAAATAATCCATAGGATGTCACAGACATATCAGTGCATACTTTAGGTCTGTTTTTAGACCAATTGATTCGTTTAAATGTTTTTATTATTTTATTAGACTTTAGTTATGAATCATAACTTATGAATCATATTATAAACAATTATACGATTATAATAATATTTATATTGTATTATAAATTATAATTTATTATATAACCAGAGCTTATAATATAAAGTTTGTGTCACGTGATTATTACATCACAATATATTTTAAAACATTTAGTAACAAATCATAATATATTAATATGTTATGATTTATTGATTAGACTTACATTGTTAGAGAAAAAAGAGGAAACAATGTGTCTATGAATTCAATCAATTTACTAGAAGTACATTAAACCGATTTTTAACATATAGTTCAACAAATATGTACTAAAACTTTATTAAGATTAAAAATATTAAATAAGTTTTAAAAGAATTTATAGTTATAAAAAATCATTTATTAATTGTTTTTGTTAAATCTATATGTTTTAGTCATTTTAAATATAATTTGTTATATAAAAAAGTAAATTTATATTAAATATTATTAAATAAACGATTCGGTCAATAATTATTAAAATTTATATTATTTTAATACATTTGTATTTAAATTTAGTTAATTAATACAAGTTTAAGTCTAAACTTTAAACTCTACAGTACTGTACTGTTATTTAATCAGATTAAAAATTAAAGTAATTAAAGCGCCATCTAATTAGTGACTTTGATATACATTTTAAAAAATAATTAAATATAATTCAGAATATTACAGGTTTTCAGTTATAATAAATAATAAAATATTAAATAAAATTATTGTATATAAATTCTAATACTGTATAATAAAGTATGTTTATTGAATATAATTTATTAATTAAAATGTTAAAAATATATAATGTAGTTTTTAATGTAACACATAATAATATATATTTTCAATTAAAATAGTTTTTTATTGAAAATGAAATATTAAATATTAAATAGAAGAATATGTGTTTATGAACAGTAGTATTAATTTTGAAAATAACAATTCAATTTAAATTATTAAATGTATATTTAATTTGTTGAATAAAATAATTAATAAATTAAAACAAAGTTTATCGATATGTCTGTACAATAGTATAGCTAATACTTATAATAACCAAACATTTAATGCATTAAAGGGCGGAGTCTGACGTCACAAGTAATCGTATATCTGATTGGTTGTCACAATATCCACGTGACTGTCTATAGTATGTTATAAAAGTAATAAAAGCTTTTAAACTTAATATAAAACAATCAAAATGTTGACAACAAGGCTGAGGCCTTCAACACTATTGAAGATTTTAGTTAAAGACAATCATATATTAGTTATATTTAATATTATATTAATTGTGTTGTGTTTAACATCAACAACAATATGCTTACCAATCATCTCAAGACAGACCCGAAACGTGCACTCAGATGTCGGTGCGATGGTATGTATTGATATTTATTTTATTTATATAATAATTTCATTTTCATTATTTTATAACTCGTTTTTATAATACTTTATAAAAATATAAAATATAAGTTTGAAATTAATTTTATAGAATAAAAAATTGTAAATAAAAATTAAAAATCTTTAAGTAAAATGTTGTAAAATTTAATTAATTAAAAATTTCGAATTAATCTTAAAGTTTACAAACTTTTCAAACTAATATTTTCCTTTAAATATTATACTGTATATTCGTATACAATATATATTTATACTGTATATTGTGCATAAATTTAGTATATACTGTATATTTAATAAAAACTTTAGATTAAATAAAAATTAGTGATTGTTTATAGTGAGGATGATTATAGAGTACTTTTAATTATTTTATCGATTTAGTATAAAATATGATTTTATTGTTATAAATTATAGATCAATGATAGATGAATAGAGAGAAAGTTTAATAAAAAATCAATAAATTTGTGAATTGTTTGACAACAAAAAATGTGTAAAAAGTTGAATAATCTCTTTAAATCAAAACAATATGTAAACCATTGCTATATTATTGGTATAGGAGTTGTGATCCCAAACTTGAAAGAGAGTTGAATTTTTGAGTGAAGAGATCAACAATTTTAGTGGTATTTTCTCGAGAATAAGACTTAAAAATTGCTCATTAAGTGCACTGAACTGTCAGATAGTGGGTAACTGTTGGAGTCCTCTAAACTTTAAGCTCTACTCCAGTATTAAAAGTAAAAGTGACTGAAAATATAAGTGTAGAGAAGCTCTGGGATGTGTGGGTGTCATCATTACTGAAGTTATGATAATCAACATCAATGTAATCATGCATTTCATGCTCTCTCTCTCTCTCTCTTTGCTCTCTCTCTCTCTCTCTCTCTCTTTTGCTCTCTCTTTCTCTCAATTTGTTATTTACAAACTCAGACAAATGACCCTTTCCTCTGTATTATTATTTTATATAATAATAATACTACTTTTGAAGACACCCTTAAAGCATAGCTTAAAGCCATTACATGAGCCTCACCTGTGCCTCAAGACTTTTAATAAAACATATTGTGATCGGACATTGTCTTCATATAGATATATGTCTGCAATTTATTTGTATAATATTTTTAAATAATTATCATTTCAATAACATATCTTTTTATCATTGAATTTATTTGCATTTGAATATTAGCCAAAATAATTCATATAAATTTATTTAAAATCGTATTTAGAAAAAACAATTAGTGAATTTAAAGAAAATTAATTTTAATTTATATAATATTCATGAATCCTAAAAATAAGATAATTTCAATGACAATTGTTATAACAACATTGTAATATTAAAATATTTTTTATTGTTTTAAATTATATATAATATACTGTTTTGTTATTTTATAGTTTGCTTTATAGACTACTATTATAATGTATTGTAATTATTTTGTATTGAATTGAATCAATAGTATAGTTATGTATAAAATTAATACAATAGGGAACGGTATTATTAGGAGTGACCCTGAATTATGCCATCCGTCATATTTGCACAAAACTCATCACTAATAAAATACATGTAATCGCTATCAGACTTATAGTACATTTATAATTCATAATACAAATGTACTAATAATAAACTATACATCTCTTAGAAATAATTTACAAATAATACAAATTCTCTCAAATGATTGTTTGGCACGAAATCAATGGCTTTTCAATAGACATCATATGCTAAATGTCAACACTTTTTCATTTACACTCTTTTAATATTTTTTGTTTATATATTTTTAATATTATATTTTAGTTATTTTTTAAAATTAATACTGTTTTTTAATTTCCATATAATTATGATCTAACATTGAATTAATTGCTTGGAAACCAATATAATTAAAAATAGGTATTTTTACATTAAATTTGATGACTACATTTGAGTGCAATAGTTATCGATTTTATTATATAACAAAAAATATTTGTTTTAAATAATTATTATGAATTAAATAAAAGAATTTTCACATGAAATTCATGAGTCATTTGTTTTGATTTAGTAATAAAAATCTTTTTAATGAAGATTGAGATCAATGTCCCAAACATTACATATATATTCCGATACAACTCTTCCGTTGATAACTGAGATATGTTTCAAACAAATGACAACAAGTGTTAACAATATTTATATAATTAATTGAATTCATTTCAATACAAACGCCCACTGATTCTGATTTTATGGTCAAATATCTCTTAATGTCTCCACAGGAGTCTAAAGAGTTTCTTAACTTTTATTAAACTTTCAGATCATTGTATCATAACTTAACTAAAATATATTTGACGCAAAATTATATATTCAATGAAATACATACATTTTTTTAAAATTGCTATAAAACTATAAAATAACATTATAACTAATAAATATATTATAGCAAAAATGCTTTAAAAATGTGTATATATTTATTAATAAATATACTCTTATATTCTGTTGTTATCAATGAATATGTTAGTGACTAAAGTGTTCCGCAAAATAATGACAACATTTGTATTCAATTGCTATTTCAATACCTTATGTTTATTAATATATTTATTTTATTAGTCATATAATTCTTGTTATTTCTTCCTCAAAATATAATGCCGTTTTAACGACAATTTCTTATAGAAATAAATATGTGAGAGAGAGAGAGTGAAATTATATATATTTAACATATATTACTACATGTTTGTACTCAATTTCATATAACTATTTAAGTTAATTTTTAAATTGAGATCAAATTATAAGATATTCTATTGTTGTAAATGTTTAATTGAAAACTTTAACATTAGACTTGGGATATCCCTTGTATTAAATTATTTGTAATCAATTTATTATAAAAAAAATAATTATTGCAATTAATATTTCATAATTACCAAAATTTTTAGAAAATTTATATAATTGAAATAAAAACTTATTAAATAACTTCATATAATTTTTAATCAGCTTTAAAACTGTCGAAACAGGTTTTAAATAAAAATAATTTTAAAATTGAAATAAAAAATAGATGATAATATTGAAAATATGAATTCACGCAAAAATTAAATGCATGATTGATAATGAAGGTCACAATTGATTTCATTTTATTTATATTGCATTCACTTTCACTCTCCTCTTATGTCTATAAAGTCATTGTTTGTTTAAAACTATTTACTTTTTGATGTATAAATATTTAAAACATATAACACATTATAATTTGAGGTTATAAACTCATCTCATACTACTGTATATTATAATATCATATAATATGTTTTTGAACTCTTATATAGACAATACTGAATAATATATATTATATACAATACAATATACAGTATATGATATAAATGTTATCAAACATAATGCATTAGTAAAACATTTAATATCCTAGTGATAGTATTACATAAAAATAACTATATAATTTTATATTGTAGATCAAAAATCTTAAAGCTTATAATCTATTTTATAATTATATTTTTATGGCGATTTTGAAGATATTAAATAAACAAAAATATATAAAAGACTTAAAACATATATTTTAAGGACACTTTTTTGTTCATTTATATATTATATAGAATTTTAAAATATGTTAATATACTGGTCCTTCAAAAATTAGAGGTCACATAAATTTTTTAATTACATAATAATTATTCAATAAATACTTTAATTTCAGTTATATTTGCAACGATTTGGTTATATGAATGAGTCGGTTGCGGCCAATTTGGTCTCAGAAAAGACTTATTCCGATGCAGTCTTGGAGTTCCAGAGGTTTGCTGGACTTAACCAAACAGGTGTGACATTAAAAAAACTATTAGTTTAAACATTTGTATCAAAAATTATGATTTTTATAGGCCTTCTGGACGATGAAACCATTCAAACAATGAATTCTCCGCGTTGTGGCAACAAAGACAAAGTCGGACACAGCGAAGATGCCAAACGAAGGAAACGATATGCATTACAAGGTCGGTGTGCGATCTAACTGTCCCTTTAAATGCTATTCAATAATTTAATGGTTAACAACTTAAACCTGTAAATTCAATGTTAAAATAAGTCATTTCCAAAAAACAAAAAAAAACATTGACACACTTGATTGCATACTAATGAGTTACAAACAGTGAGACAAACAGTAATTATATAAATCAAATCAGATATAATGTTTAAGTATCAGATGCTTTTTTGTACGTTAATAAGCAATTATAATGTTTGATTTAATAAATTTTCAGTAGAAATGGGAAAATTTCAAAATTAATAACCAATGAATTACTATGAAATCATTTATAAAAACTTACTAGACTATAAAAATATCAATTAGGTAATTGAATTTTATATACAATACTCTATAATATACTATAGTTTCATAAAAATATGATGTATTATTGATATATAGTGTATATACTATTGTTTTGGCATTTAATGATTTAGTTCTAATGAATAAAATAATAATTATCGATAAATAGTGACTTTATATCTCTATAATACATAACTCTGCAAATAACACAAAAAAGATATGATAGGCATCTAATAGATAAAAAACATTTACTGTATATTATTATTATTTCTATTAAATAAATAGGTTCTAAATGGAGACGAATAGACCTAACGTATAGGATATCACAATATCCGACAAAATTTTTGAGTAAAAAACAAGAAATCGATAAAGAGATGGCTCGAGCTTTCAAGATATGGTCAGAAGTAACACCGCTTACATTTGAAGCCAAAAAGGAGGGTCGGGTACACATTGATATCAGATTTGTAAGTGCAGAGCACGGGGATGGAGACCCGTTTGATGGTCCGGGCAATACTCTAGCCCACGCATACTTCCCTCAATATGGAGGCGACGCTCACTTTGACAATGAAGAGTATTGGACTATCTCTTCATATGCCGGTTTGTTCTTCATTTAATATCTATATATATTTTAATACCAATTGAGGTAATTAATAATTAATTAAAATATTCAAATATAGGTACAAATGTGTTTCAAGTGGCAGCTCATGAATTAGGACATTCATTAGGTTTGGGTCACAGTAGTGTCCGGGACTCACTAATGGCACCTTTCTATCAAAAATATAAACCTAAGTTCCGATTGCACCAGGATGATATACTGGCCATACAAGCACTATATGGTGTTCGCCATACTGCCAGTGATCCGGCAGATAAACCGGTCGATAAACCAAAGCCATTAGATCCAGACCCGAGTGCCGATGGCCCTGATCTATGTCAAGACAGCTCAGTCGATGCGGTCACTCGTATTAGTGATGGTACGACCTATGTGTTTAAAGGACAGCATTATTGGAAAATAGAGACAACTGGTATCGCAGATGGCTATCCCCGAAAAATATCGAGTGATTGGGACGGATTGCCCGGCAATTTGGACTCAGCTCTCACTTGGGCTGACGGCAAAACATTCTTCTTTAAGGTAATTATTAATGATTGCAACTCTCCTATCGTTATACTCTATAAAAAATAAAAACTATTGAGATTATCGAAACATAATATTAAAGCTAATCAATCATATGTCAAACGCAATCATTATTTTAAAATCAAATGATAGGGCGATAAGTATTGGAGGTTCAAGAATATGCATATGGATAAGGGATACCCTAAACCTATTAGCACTGGTTTTGCTGGCATTCCAGACAAAGTGGGCGCCGCTTTCGTATGGAGTGGTAATGGAAAGACTTATTTCTTTAAAGGTATTAAAAATCATTGGCCTTTGAATTATCTTGAAATGTGATAAATGTTTGATATATAAAATAATTTATTAGCAATTTTATTATAAATATATATGTATTTAATTGTATGTAAATTATTAGGTAACGAGTATTGGAGATTTGACAGCAAAAATGATCCGCCGGTTAGCAAACAATATCCAAAGCCAATCAAGAACTGGAACGGATTGCCCAACAATATCGACGCCGCTTTCAAGTGGGAGAACGGAATGTCATATTTCTTCAAAGGATCACAATATTTCCGCTTCAATGATGTCGACTTTGAGGTCAGTTACTTAACATTTGTCATCAATTAATATTATTATTAAAATTCATATATATTTTTTAATTATTAATAGGTGGACACTAAAGCAAAACCTCCATTCCCTCGACAAACTGGTAAGTCTAGTAATAAATTTTATATAATTGATAAATATTAATACATAATGTGATTGAACTATAATTTATAGCCCAGTGGTGGTTTGATTGTCAGGCCGCTAGTCGTAAACAAAAGAAGGGAAGTATCATAACAAGGAGTGGCAGTTTAGTTAAAGATGACAAACACACCGTCTATGTTGGCAATGGTGATAGCAATGACATGGAATATATGGCCGATGAGAGGACCAGCACATCAAAGTCAATGGACGCACATATAGTCAAAGTAGATAAAGATGACAAAGAGTGGCGAATGCACGGTCGTCCTGATCAGGACGAGGTGGCAATGGCCAGGGAGTCAGGAACAACATCTATCAGTTCACTCAGCTGTAAGACTAACCCAATACTAATGCTATTTCTATTTATTTCAATTTTCAAATATGTATTATTTTATGGGTCAGCTACCGGTGATATACCATGAATACCATGAATTGGTTCATTTATTATATTACAAAATACATATAAACTGTGTTTTAATTTGTTGTCAAACTTATAACTAACTGATGGATGGCTTATTAGACGAATGCTTATTGGATTTAATGAATTTATTTTTTTAAATTATATAAAATTATAACAACAATTCAATAGCAATAATTGTGCAATTATTGCAAATATGTATTATCATAATTGCAACAAAACATAGTTTAAGTTTACTTTTAATATAATTATTTTCATATTTTTTATATATGAATTTTTTTTAATAAGTATCTCATTATATCATAAATCATTTAAAAAATAGTTACTTAATTTAATTTATACATTAAATAATCATTGATATCATAAATTTTCAAACAATTATTTAATGAATTTGTTCAAATAAAAAACAAATCAAATAATTGAAAACTTCTCTTCAAAGAAGAGCAAATAATTGGTATATTGATTGTCATCATTATATATAATTATTACATAATATGACCCAAAACTAATTTGTTAACACAATTAACCCTTTCATGTCTTATCAAATATTTTACACTACAATCTCGTGCCAACCCTAACAACAGCAAAAACAACAACATTCCTACCAAACCTGTCGTGATATTAATTAATTTATATATAATTTATTTGTAGTCAAATAAACCATTAATATAATGTAGTTGTGATATAAAACTATCATTTTAATTATATAATAAATCAATTTTTTTTACTAAAAACACTTTTACTTGTTTAAAAAATTCAAGTGATTTGCCTTCAAATTATGCAAATTATATAACAGCTTATCATAATATCTATATTTGTAATTATCATTATTATAGACTTAAGGCAAACCTTTATAAATGTCATAATTATGGCTAAGAGGCGAAAGTCTCATCAAAATCTGGATCACTATTATTGTCAATAACTTATTCATTGTATTTAAACTTTTGTTTAACATTTTCTCTAATAAGTAAACCTTTAATTAATTTTTTCCAGTTATCGTAAACCCGTTTCTCTTTCTTTTTGATTTCACGTTTTCTTGAAATGTCTTGTTCCTCATCCCAGGCGTCAATTAAAATATCTTTAAACTCTTGGCAAACAACATAACCGTCCATTTTTGGATGAACCCCTTGGCAGCCAAGGTTATTGTCGAAGCCAACTATAGCCTGTGCGCAATCTATCTTTAACTTATTGGCAATACGTAAAAGTCCGGGTAATTGCAAATACACACAACCTTTAGGCAACATTGAGGGCTGAAAGAGATCAACATTACCAAAGCTATTGCGAGGGACTAAACCATCTTTAGCTTCGGGTGGTGTATAGGGATCCGTTTGCCACTCACCAAACACCTCCAGTGGTAAATCTTTGCGAAATACTTTTGCATATTTATCCCATTTAGGTCTAGAGGTTACTATTTTATAGGGAGTTTCATTGGTTCTAACAGTTCTAGCATTTCTAGGCCATGAATCTCTTGATCGCAACAAATGAACACATTCTCGGGCGTAGACGGCTTCGTCTTTTATAAAACCAAGAGGAGGTGCGTCTGAGGGGTAAATGCCTTGAAATTTTAATAAATCCCTTTTAAGTACATATAACGGATGGTTCTTGAAATCGCTAACTTTTGTCGGCAAAGGTGTTGTTGAAGTCATTTCTTTAAACTCTAAATCCTCAGATTTTTCGGCACAACTTTTTGTTTTTCGCTCAAAGAATAGCAATGTCTGTGACCACCAATTATCATCAATTCTACGTCTTTTATAATTAGCAGACATCCAGTCTGATGAATATCGTTGAGTCACTTCTCGAAGATATCCATCAGAATCAATTGCAATGACATAAGTTAATTGAGACAACGATTTAGAGGATATATCGGTTGGTTTGTCCACAAAATTATTAAACAAATCTAAACAAATCCATTTGCGTTCACTTTCCACATAAGCCTCACACCAGAGATCTAATGATAAATTTGTAACCATTTCGTTATCATTGCAATCATTGTCTTCAACTTTACGTTTCTTTGATTTTGTCTTCGTTTTTGTTTTTTCTTTTAACTCATCCAAAGACTGACAATTAGATGATTTCTTTAATTTCATCTGATTTTCACTAAGAATCAAGTCGTCTGGTTTAATGTCAACTGGATTTAAAGCATAACAAAGTCTTAAATTGTAATTTTGACACAAACTTCTCAATAAAGCAATAAAAATCATATTTAATTGACTGCTATTTTGAGCCACTCTTTGTTCAAGACATTGACATAAAATATCTTTAATATTATCATTTATATCACATTTCTTATATTTGACACTAAAATTCTTTGAAAACCAATCAATAAATTGATTCAAGAATTTACTGTTAAGTTTTTGAGAACAGGATTTGAATTGATTGACAACAATAGACAAAGATATCGCTTGAATCAACTCATCGTTAATAACATTATTTAAATACACAATTCTTGCAATAAGACAAACTAAAGAGGTTTTGTGTTTCATTGCTTGTAATCTACGTTTAAAACCATTAATTCTTTGCCGAATCAAAGTGTTTATATCAATGGATTTCTTATTTTTCTTGACCTCTACTCCATTGATAGTTATCTCAACGCCTTCTGAAGGTATTTCAGGATTATAGTCGTCGAGACAGATGTCGTCTTTTACTTCCTCCCAATCGTCTGCATTGTCATCTGAATCGCTATTGTCTTCTTGACTATTAATCGCTGTTTTCACAACTCGTTTACTATTTTTCTTTACATTTCGTTTACGTTTTGTCTCGCGTTTGCTCTTCTTTGGCGTAAACTCTTGTTCGTCGTATTCGTCGTCGACGTCATCGATGATATCACTGATGGCATCCATGTCTTCGACATCAGACTCATCATCAAAATACACGCTTTTGGCGGTCGATTTGGTCAACGATTTGGACGAAGTTCTTGAAGAGCGTCGTAAACCAGTGTTTGTTTGATTACTGCTTGTTATTGAAGATTCTTTGCTCTTTGTCTTACTTCTTGTGTATGACTTCTTTGGTGCCATTGTTTAGCAATTTATTCAACAATTTATTCAACACTTGATTTCATTGTTAAAAAATACATTTCTTGGAAATAACTTTTAAAAATAATAAAATAAATTTGTTTTTATTAATAACGTCAAGAAATTTGAGATAATTTTTAGTGAATGTCTTTAGACTTCGAGTTTTCAACAATTATCTCAATTGATAACTATTTTTATGACTAAATATATGAAAAAGATGTCCAAAATTAAGGAAATATGAATCAAATTGAATGACAATTATGTGAATTAAACAAACATTTGTCAAAAAATAATGTCATAATTGATGTCTGGTTTGAGTCAGTGATCGACAAAATATTGAATAAAAACATCCGTCACTTGAGTCTCAAAGACATCACTTTATCTGATCACTGATTGACTGACAGTCGACTTTATATCGTTAATCAAGTGATGGATAAATTGAATCAATTGAATGGTGTTATCAAAGATACGACGTGTGATGTTTTGAAATCATTAACGAGTTTGTGGCAAAAGACACCTCCAGTGGATCCAATGGTAACCAAATTGGTGACCACTGCTCGAGTCGTTAAACTGTCTGAGATTGCGACCCGAAGGGAGGTCTTAGAGTTGTTGCAGACATCTCACTGGACACGCATTGCTGCTATATTTGGTGCGACGGCCGTTGCAATGGGTGCTTATGGAGCACACGGTATGACCTGATGTCTAGTGATAACAGATGAGCTGATAATTGGTTTAATTATGATTTATTTGGTTAATATTCACAGGACTTGACCCGAAACCCGATGTACCGATAGAATACAAACATGTCTTCGAAACGGCCAATAAATACCATTTCTTTCATTCGTTAGCTTTATTGGCGGTTCCTCTGACCCGACGACCACTTGTCGTAAGTTTTTAATTGTTTATTAACTTAAATATATTTTTAAATATATTTTTAGAACTAATATATATATATATATATATATTTAAGTAAATATAATGCAAATTATATATTATTGCAAATTATGGTATATGTAAATAATGATATTTAAAACAATATTTAATTATTTCGTTAATCATTTTTATAATTAATAATTTAATTATCATTTAATTATGTTAACTTATATATGGTTCAAATTATCATCAATTAGTAATTACAACAAAACACAATTATTAATATTATATATGATTACCGATACATATAATAACTGATTTTTTTCATTTTATTTTTAATCATTTAGTTAACAAATAACAATAATAGGGATTTATTACAATCATTGTCTACAAAAAATATTATGATTAAAGTATTAGGAAAACTAAATATTTTATTCATCTATTTGTTTAAAATTAGTTAACCGATTGTAGTGTTGATTTGATTGTTATGTAAAAAATTATTGATTTTAAGCTTACAAACGTTAAATTCCTATATATCATAAATTTATATTACCATAAGATCTATATTTTTCACATTTTAATAATATATTTTATAATTAGCATAATACTAAAATATAAAATAATTGATACTTTTTTATATTTACATAATACATATTAATTTAATATTATTAAATAATTAACAGTAACATTTATTATATGTCATATAGTATATGGTATAATACTGTATATACAGTGTTTAAAATAATGTGACTATAAATGTCATGTCAATTATGTTAAATATATCTATATATATATACTGTATATATACTGGTATATATATATTTATATATTGATAAATTTATATACAGTACAATATGTAGTACAATGTTTTGGTACTTAGAGATATATTAAATATTAATAATTAAAAGCATTATTTGTCAATGTGTAATGTGACAAATGATAATCACATTATTTTTGATGTTATAATATATGTCCAAAATATTTGGTTAAACAAATTGATATTTATATTAATGATCTATGAATTGGCAAATTATGATGAATAGGTGGGAACACTGATGACAGCGGGAATGTGTGTGTTTTGTGGCACATGTTATGTCTATTCATTGACTCATAATAAGGATATAATCAAATACACACCGTATGGAGGCTTAACCCTAATCCTTGCCTGGCTTTCAATGCTTCTCTAATACAACTGATCAACAAAAGTATCCATCAATTTATTGAACACCAAAAACTATTTTTTAATTTTATTTCCAAACATCTAATACTTTATTATCCTAATTAGTTTCGGCAATAGATTATTATTTTTACATTTGTAACTCTTTGTAATACAAAGCATAGAATATTTGCAATTATTTGTTAATTTTGTTTAAGTTTATAATTATAAAAAATATATAATCTATAATTGAATTAATAATTTTATAAATAAATGCAATTGTGATCTGAAAACAAATGTTTTGTCATTTATAGTGAGCACTCGTTATTGCTTTGATTATCATTTTTAACATTTTGTTTTGATTTTGAGCTATTGTTTTGAATATTAAAGGTTGTATTGAATTTCCAAGAGAGCGACTTATTGTAATGATAGCCACAATTATGACAATTACTCTGAGATTGACTCTTATGGTTATTGCTGTCATTAACTTCATGTATTGACTCATTAAAAGATGTGCTGATATCACATAATCTTGATGTTTGGCGTGCGGGCGATACGGGAGATGCGGAACACCTTTTATGGGTCGTATCCCGAGTTTGAGAAGCTGTACGACTAAAGCGCCGACTTTTCGGAACAGAATCGTTGGCACAGATTTGGCACAAAATAATTCGTTTGAAAGCCCGACGGAAATTGCGGTTAAATATTGTATATATAATCTAATTTCAAAATATTATGTAATTTTTAAAAAATAATTTCGAAATTGTAATAAAAATTTTTTTACCGGATTTATAATGCTTGAGATATAACCTGAAAATATATAAATAAATTAATGAAAACATATAATATATGGACAAAAGATAAGACTGACCGAGCCATAGGAAAGTTGTGGTCACTTCATCGGGAATGTTAGGGTTAGGCATAACTCCAAACATGAAATTGAGACTAAAGAAAGGGGCCCAACATATGACAAACGCGAAAAATACGAGACCCAACACTTTCGTAGCTTTTTGTTCATTTCGCACCTGAAGACTAGATCCCAATGTTCTTAACATTAATGGTTGAGTTTTACGATTCGTGTGTTTTTTCTTGTGATTAGTTAATTCAGACTTATTTGAATCAGAATCCCAACGTTTTACAGATAAGTTATTATGTGAGACATTAATTGGTCTGTTATGACAAATAGATAATTAATAATCAATTTGATTGTAAGTTAGCATTTGATATAACCTAAGGTGAGAGTCCGTACAACTCATTTCATACTGTGATACTGAACATTGATTGACCATTAATTGTAAATTACCAGAAGTGGCGCTATTTGCTGATGAGGTTGAGCTCAAGCTAACCGTGCGATTACCTAAATAATACTCTTTGCCTAAAGTAATTCAAATATATTCAAATATATCATACTTTAATTAACTATCATAACGTTGGACTAAAAAAATAAATGACAATTTAATGCAACAAATGTGATATCTATGACAATACATGCAGTATTTGTATAACATTATGTAAATTTGTATATTTGTGCATAACTTTATATAAAAACTACCTATTTATGTATTGTATAGTACAGTACTTGATTATAATACATAAATATCATATTTTGCATCGAATATATAGGTGTGTGTGTATGTGTGTGTGTGTGTGTGTGTATGTATGTATGTATGTGTGTGTGTGTGTGTGTGTGTGTGTGTGTGTGTGTGTGTGTGTGTGTGTGTGTGTGTGAGTGAGTGTAATGATCCGTTATTCTGTATATGATGTTTGAGTAATGCTTTCTCTTCCTTTCAATGTTTTTTGTTTATCACGTTTTGTATGTTTTTTATATTGAACAGACAAAATGATATTATATATTATATTTAGTTATATATATATAAATGTTTTATTTTGAACGAAAGTGGGAAATGAATAGGTTTTTCGACATGAGTTCCCTTTTTTCTATCAAATACAAGTCAGCAGTTTTAAGTGATTGATAACTTTAAACGTTGAAAAATTCTGATTTTTTAATACATATAAACAAAAAATGTCTATTTATTAGTTTTATAAAAATAATATTAGGATTAAATATAATATGTTTTACAAAATATATTTTGACAAAATTTAAAAATTATTAGTTAATATACTTAAAATATAATTTACTAATTAAAAAATTATATGTAAATATTGATAAATAATCATTGATAATTGAAGTTTAAAATAATTTATTTTTTTACTATTACTTTATTTACTCGTTTTATATTTTCTTGAGGCAAACAAACACAAACTTAATAAAAATTTCATTAAATTCTTAGCAAACGTGTGGGTGATTCTACAACTTATTTTTATTTCACTCATTTTTTTGTCTATTTCTAATAAACGACTAAATTAGAGAATTTAATTTATCAAATAAAAGTGTTGTTTTTATTAGAGTAAAGAATATTAGATAATATATTTAGAATATATTTAGTATATATTTAGTATATATTTAGTATATATTTAGTATATATTTAGTATATATTTAGTATATATTTAGTATATATTTAGTATATATTTAGTATATATTAGATTCATTAGAGTTTGTCTACAAACCTGATGATGAAGAAGTTGTAGTCTTTTTGAATCTATTATGTGATTCAATGAATTCATTATCAGATGTATGAGTTGTTGGGAAGTTATGACACGAGTCCTCATAAAATTTGGCTTTTCTTCTCAATAGTCTTACTGTTAGCACATAAGAGGATAGCATAACAATCATCGGACAGAAGAAGGCACTCAATGAACCTATAATTTGGATTACATTACAGTAATTGTTAATCGATGTCATTATATTATATTTATGTTAACCGAGTTTTAATTGTCAACACTCAGTAATGCTAGGATTTGCATCATTTGATTAATTATATGCTGACTATAATAATAATAAAACTATTATGACTATTCAAAATACATAAAAAAATAATAATTAAAGATATAATAATATTAGCCAATTATTGGGTACAATGTTTGTGCAAATTAAGCACTTTCTTCAATATTACTGACCCAATATCTGAAAGGGACGACTGGATATGGCACAGACTAACGGTTCCGGTTGTATATTAGTTTTATCGAATACAGCTGTAATTAAAATAATATATATATATATTATATATAATGTATTATCGTATACTATATTATATTTAAGCCTTAAACTTATTAGTTATTTATGTATAATAAATTATTATATTATATAAATATTAAACATGTATTAACTACACAGTACAGTATATCAAATTAGTGAACTATAATGTTATATATCTATTGTACAACAGTTATATTCATTATAATGATATAATGTAAGTACATTTGACACAAGTACTGATAAATATGACCTCTATATATATATTTTTGTATTTAATTGTTAGTTTTATTTTCTAATTTAAATAATTAATTTAATCAAAATATCTTTTGATAAATAATAATAAATACAATTATATTTACATACTTATGTTTTTATCTATTCGTTCATTCATTTTAATTATAATTAATAAATATATTATATTTATTTTTAAAACCTGCTTTTATTTTAAGTGATTTTTGCTGTAAATTACAATAAATTTATTATTTTGTAAAACTCTTTATATTTAAGAAATTTTTCAACTAAAATATAATAAATTCAAACTAAAAAATCTGCAATAAATTATTAATGCATTGTACATATAAAGTATGTATAAAATAAACCAGAATATGCTCAACTATTAAATGAATATATAGTATAAAATAAAAAATATTTTTCAACAAAAGCAAAATTATGTTCACTTATAATGTTTCTCTAATAATGAAGCTATTTATCAATCAAATGGACTCACATTTATAAATATTGTGTTTGAGATCTATTTCTCCTTCTTTTTGCATTTTTAATACTCTTTTAAATCTAATTTTATACATAAAGTAATATAAGTATATTATAAGGAATATTCTTTATATACATTATATTGAAAAATCGATTTTATATTAAACCTATTATTTATTCTTCAGTATATTATTGTATGTATTCTCAAAATATTGATGACAAAATAATCTGATGAAAATATTATATTATTTTAATTGTAAAAACTTAGAATATTTTAGATTTAATTTAGGTATCAATAAATATGAAAATTTTAAAACATTTATCATATTTTATTACATATTTTGAAGTCACTGCTAATTATTAATTATTAATACTTTTTAATATAATTGTTTATAGCATATAATTGTTGTTACAATGTATAAAAAGGTACTCAGAATTTAAACTTATTCCCTTTAAAAGCATATAATCTATCAATCTATCTGTATATTCAAAAATATATACATTTTAAATACAGTTATAATTTTATTAATCCTTTTGCATCTATGAACGCCTTATATAAATAATGCCTAATATCTCAAATTCTATAATATAATAGTTAATTAATTATATTTTTTATTAGCGATTAATTTAGTAATTAGTAGAAAATTCTGAAACACTTATTTAAATAATTTTTATTTATCAATAATATATTTTTACTTTTATAGAATTTAAATATCTGCTGAAATAATGTGTTACTTTACTACCTAAAGACACCATACAATACATTTAAATTGGGATTAAAAATGTTTTAATTTATACCTCAAGTATTAATAGCCATTTAAAACATACAGATATATCCGTATTTTGTTACAAATTTGATTATATTTTATATAAAAAATAACACAATTATAGTATAATTAAAGAGAAGTATTGATTGTAATTTTGAGAGTCATTGGTTTGTATGAATAGCTATAAGAATGAGTGAAAACATGAAATCAATTGAATTATACAACAAAATTGCATTCAAACATATGTTTTGTGCAAATGTCGTCAATTTCGTCACTAATACTATACTAATACTGTATATTATATATAGATTTTGGTGGCAGACAAAGGACAGATCAAATGGGAAATTACTATACAGTACTGTATAAATAAAGTGTGGTTTTAGATGAAAATGATCACTGATTACTTCATATGCACTAAAATCATCAAAATTTACTCAAACATTGATTGAGTAAATATTTGTAATAAAGAGATTGTGAAACTATTTTTATTTTCTTAATAAATACAAAGTTTGTCTTCAATTTCAAACAAATATTTACTTTTGTTACCGAAATTATTAACAATTTTAACTCAATGTCATTGAATTAGTTTTTATCTAATTTTATATTTGTTTAAATTAATAATTTGTAATTATGTTAATAATGTATTAATATTTCATGACTTATCTTTAATGCTTTAAAAATAATATTGTTTAATATATGTATAGAATAGTTATTTATTTAATTGAATTAATTGAATTAATGTTATTGAATTAAATATGATATAATTATTATAATATAATACAATACTATAAACATAATTAAAAAAATTAAATCTCAAATTATAAGTAATAATAAATATATCATAATTTATTTTTAATAATAATATATTAACTTATTTTATCAAAAACCTAGACACTTATTTTATGGTATTTTTAAAACTTCTAAATTTTTATATTTACAATATTTATCAATCATTTAATCAATTCAAAGAGAAATCCTAAAACACATATTAAATGATTTTTTATTTGTAAATATATTAATAGAATTTAAATAATTTTTGAGATATTGGCTATACATATAATATTATACTATATAATGTAGATTACTGTATAATAATATTATACAAATGGGATACCTATATAAATAATTATAATTATTTAATAATAATCAGTTTTATAAAATTTTATTCACCATTTTATTATAACATAGTTTAATATAATTAAATAAATTAATTTTTTACTTTAATTAATAATTAAAATACTAATAATAATATTTAAATATTACTTATAAAAACAATGTTAAAGATAACAAATATCGAGAAAACAAAATTAACCATGGGGATCCCATAACTAGAAATTTCTTTTAGAAACTTTCTAGAAATTTCTCTATTATTTTATAAATTTCTCTTTTTTGCCAACACTAGATATTGCACATCCATGACCTCAAACATATAGATATAAATCATACAGTTATATATAAATAAAATTCATAGTTACAGAAAACTTGATTTTGGTCTCAACTAATTAATATATTTATATATATTAAACCTCATATTATACCTCAACAACAATAATATTAATACAACAAAATGTTAAGAAATTTAACGATATTTAATTATTAGGTCACTCATCACAATAACTAATGAATAAATCATTAAATAAATAAAACTTTAATATACTGTATTACAATAATATATAATATATGTATAATATAATAGTATACTATAAGTACAATAACTAATTATAATACAAACCCATTATAGTTAGGGGGGAAGTGATGACTGCCGACAAAAGCCATGCAAACGATATCTTTAAGAGAACAGCTCTTCTGGAAACCAGAAGTGGCGCTTGTCTTGCGTGCAATGGGTTCTTAATTCCCACATAACTGATCATACAATAGATAAACAACACGTAGTCAATGGCATGTAGTGATTGAAATAACAATTTATCAAATGATAAATATGAAGACAATTGTCAATATATAGACATACCGTCCGACAGATATGAAACACATGTGAAGAATACTCGACGAACAGCAAAGAACATCACACGTCACCCATAGGTTACAGATTGACGACCCAAACGGCCAAATGCCTAATACATCAGTCATTAAATCAATTATTTATCATTTATTATCATTTAATAAACATTTAATTAATGTAAACACGTTTTTAGAGGTAATCAAATTATAACTAATAAATTAATTACCAAATAATAATAATAATAAATAATACATAATTATTTACTAAATCTTATTTATATACTGTTTAGTTGTACAGTTAAAACAGTTAAATTAAATAAACTTATTGTACAGAATATAAATTTATATATTTATACAAATTTATTTATTTTATTTGATATGAATTAGTCACGCTATTACGTATACTATACCAAAATACTAATTATTTTAACGATAAATTTTATTAATTATAAATTATAATATTTTAACACACACGTCATAAAAGTTATCGATTAATGCATTAATAATAAAATTTAGATTTTAATCATACAATCCAATGAACACATTATATAAATATTTTCATTTAATTGATAATATAAAATTATATTCACAACTTTCATTAAATGTCTATAAAGTGCTTTAAAAACATTATTATTGATTAATTTTATATATTTGTTATATAATTGCCAATAAATCAATTTATTCATAATGTATTGAATAGACATTAATAAGATATGATATAATAATATATATATACTTATTCTATAAGGTATTTATAATAATATAAAAACTAGTTAATATAGTAATAAAACTTACATAAATTATTTAAAATTTGTTTTTTAAATAATAGCTATTAAATTTGAATATTATTAAAATAATTTATTTACTTATTTTACAATATAAAGCAATATTAATACTACAACTTACTCAACATATTTGGCATTAAATGAATCTATTCTATACTTTAAATAGTAAAATATTTGACACATTATTATCATTAATAATTTATAGCTACAAACTATCACATATTAAACATGAGAAAACAATAATCATAATTATAAACATTATATAAACACTATATTGAAGTTATAAATATTATCGATAAATCTTATTAATATTTTATAATTAATTTTATTATCATTAACTTAAATATTGTAATATTATAACTACTGATGTAATCTATATTATAATAATTTAATGATGAGTAATAATTTTAGATATATAAAAATTTAAATAAAATTATTAACTAAAATATAATAAAAATTATTTTTTTGAGCATTATAACTATAATACATAACAAATATTAATATATAATGTATATAATAATTTATTATAACTGAATGCAATATATTTATAAATATATATCATTTATAAATTATTTTATAGTGTACAGTACACAGCATACAGTACAGTATATAACATTTTAGTATTTTGACTTAAAATCTTTAAAACAAAATATTATATTTTAAAGAAACTAATTACAATTAAATATAACAATGAAACATAATATATAATAGTTAATCCGTATAATAATATGTTACATATGGCCCATAAGTTATGGATTTGTTTATATGTGATATTAATTCATTTTTGATAGATTCACACAAAGATTGTTATAACAGTTAGCAAAATAATGAGTAAAATAACAGTAAATAAAAGTAAAAGAAAAAACATGAGAAACGAAAGCATTGAAAGTATAGCCGCAAACAGTGATCGATTAGTGCCTAAACATAGGCATCAAAGGTGTCTAATCTAATCTCTCTCTCTCTCTCTCTCTCTCTCTCTCTCTCTCTACTCATTAAACAACTTCTATTGATAGAATATATATAAAGACTAAAATAAAGATTATTACAAAAATTTTGGCAGAAAAGCAATAAAAAAATGAGATAATAATTGCTTTACATTTTTCATATAAATTAATTTTATTCTTAGGGTTGATTCACATATTACGTTCACACTTGAGGAAGGGGTGTCTGCCAAACGAACTTTACGAACGAGGGGATGGAGAGGTAGAGACCTTAAGAACGTTCGCATTTAAATAATTTAAGAGATTAATTTTGATAAAAAAAAGTTTGAATTGTGACTTTTGAATAGAAATAATTTTATTTCCAATTTTTGGAATTTTAAAAAGTGAAAATAATTTTATAAAATATTCATTAAAATCATTATTTAATTATTTAAATTAATTGATGTCAAACTTAACTTCAAACACCATTTCTAAAATTATAGTCTATTCCATGTTTATAATACATGAATTAAACGATTGGTTTAATTTTAAATCTTATTTATAAATATAGTAATATTTTATTTATTTCTTGGGGACAATCGAACGTAATTTTTTAAATGATACATGCGAGCAATTGCTAACATATTGGAGGGTCTAGATTTCTTAAAAAATGCGAACGTAATATGTGGATCATACCTTATCTCAAAATCTTAACGCCTGAAGACATATAAATCTATTTATTTAATTTAATGTTTTCAAATAATTTACTTTTTTAAATAAAGAACAATATCTTAATTAGCAAAATATTATATTAATTCATTTATTGTTTAATAATCTAAATAAATATCTTAACTTTCAAATAATATAATTTAATTAAATAGTTAATTCACATCTAAAAACGTTTTTATTTGTCTAATAAATTTATTTTGTTTTCTTTTATAAGTTTGTTTTTAAGTAAATATTGTATATTTTAGTTATTATAATATACAATAAAATTGAAATGTAAATTAGCAATTAATATAAAACTAACTATTTTTTATTAAAAATTATTTAAACATAATGTTTTATAAAATATTTTTAAACATTTAAAAACTTAATAAATAAGTTACTAACTTATATAGATATACTGTACATCAATATATAATTATCTAATAAAAAATAATAATTACCATAAAATTCATTTAAGATACCAAATGGCATGACTACCACTGAGACGAGTAGGTCTGCCACCGCCAGACTAATCATATATTAAATATGTTTGTATATATAGAAAACAATTGTATGTTTTAGGTTGAAATACCTGAGCAGGAAATAATTGGTGGCATTTTGTAGTCTCCTTTCAAAACCAATTGCAAGACAGACCAGAATATTGCCAAAACCACCGGTGAATACAAGCAAACCCAGCAAAAGAAAGGCCCACTTATATGACGGCATCAATGGTTCGTTAATCTCTTTTTCGGTTATATTGATTGTGAATAACTGATCAAAAACTGTTGACTCTATTGAGTTGATTGTCATATCAATAGTTGTTGTCGTATCTGACATTTGGATCACTTGAATGTCTCGCGTGGACTCCCATTGTGTTAACCATTGCAAACACTCCTCATTTATGTCACTTATGTTATCATTTGAACAAATTATGTTCAAATTAATATCATTTCTATCTTTTTGCAACTCATATAAACTTTTATTAAATAAACTATTTTTCATATTATTTGATAATATAGAAGACGACGACCAGTTGGCTAATGACATATCCAAAGCCATCTTTAATAATATAATATTTATGTTTGATTTCAATTTAATTTTAACTATTATTTAATTATTTATAATCATATAATGCATATATTATATTATATTTTTATTTTTGTCTTGTTTTTAGTTTAAATAACATTTTTCCCTTTGATTTCATTTTTGTTGTTGCATTAGTTTTTATATTTCTTGGGATATATAATCTGTAAAAATAAATACAAGTAAATCACTTAAAATACGTTTAATGAGAAAACCAGCACTAATTGTATACAATTTGAGCTAACTCTCAGATTAGTCTGTATTTTGAACTAAATCTCAAACCCTAATGAAATAGTTTTTGATTTTTATCACTTTTTCTGTTTTGTTGATATCAACTGTTCAAATGGTTTTTATTTTGTGAGACCAATAAAAGTCATTAAATGTTTTTTACTTTGTGTTTATCTTTTTCAATCAATTTAGAAGGTAATTGATTTCTATTGATTTGTTTTATACTAATAATTATCTAATAAAACACTATTTGATGTGTTAGTACATATGTACGGTAATAAATATACAATAAACACGTTTAAATATTACAAATAAAAATAAATAATTAAGTTTTATACAAGTTATATAAGCCAAAGAAATTTTTTAAAAACTAATTAACAATTTTTAAGCATTAAAATTAAATTTATATTAAATAATAATTCATTAAATTAATTCATTGCATACTAAATAAGCTTTGATTAACTGAAATATTTATATCACTATAAGATTCCATTCATCATTTAACCAATAAATTTAACTATAATTTATAAATAATATACTATTTAGTAATAGTTATTTTGTTAAATAAACAAAATATTTTTAATGTTGAATTTTAGAATAATTATTGTCCATTTTTGTAATTTTAATAATAATAATAATTTAACACATTAAAAACATTAATAAAATTATGAAAAAATGATAAATTATTAGAACAACTGTAGATATCTATAGAATCTATATAATCACAACTATAGATATTATAAATTACATATATTGTTACTATATTTTAAAAATACAATATACTAGACTCTCATATACTAAAAATGCAATATTTTTAAAGCTAATAAATAATAGAACAAGTACAATTTTATAATAAATATTTAAAAATATATTATTATAAAATGATTATGTTATCAATAATATTAATCAATTAGTTATTTAAATAAAAATATGCTAAATAGTCTATTGATTCTCATGTATTTTTGATATATTTTGTAAAAATTAATTATATCAAATAATAATACAAAAAAATATATTAATATAATTAAATTTTAGGGAACAGTTTCAGTATATGTTAAGGCATTTATTATTTTAGTTTCAAAAGATTGCAGTTTATATAGTTGTAGACAATATAAGTAATTAGACCTCACATCACATCCCGTTCCTTCAGATTCTATTAGAACATCAAAAATAACATCTCATTAGAAACGTATAACATTTGGACAAAATGGCGGTCAAAGTAAAAAAAATTAATTTTAATTTATTTTGACTATAGAATCATATAAAGCATTAAATATTTAAATGCAATGATATGTCAAACCGTGAAAATCCCGAACCGTAATGATTTGGTTTTTGTCCAATTCATAAATTTTTTTCTTTACGCAATTAAAGTTTGTTTCTGGCAATGCTTTCTATCATTATCACTGGTTTTATTTTGTTTTATATTTAATTTACTTGACAAACATATTATTAGTAATATTGATTTTTAGTAATTTTAGTAAATTTTATTAAATCTTTAAATTTAGAAATTATAAAAATATAAATTTTTATGTCATATAAATTACTTTGTTATGAAATTAACTTATTTTTAAAAATATTAAAATCAGTTTTTATATTTAAAATATATCAATATTATAGTACTATAAGTTAAATATAACATTATTACCATAAATACAATAATAAGCAAAATGATTGTATTGTGGATTTAAAATGGAAAATAACTTATTATAGACTTCCAGTTAAATAGTTTTTTGCACATAAATGTGATAAGTTATTCAATTGAATTACATTTTTATCGACTTATTTAGTTAAAGATTTTTGTGTAAACCGTAGAGATGTTGTCATCAGTTATTTTGTGGCACAAACTTATCAAATATTCTTAACCTCAATACTATTGCCTCCAAACTATGTTTAGATTCCCCTAAATACTAGATTTCAATTCATTTTTGTCGACTTCAACACAAATAAATATTAACGACTAAGCAAACCCTTTCCACAGTTTCTTAAATACAAATTTTATATAAATGGCTTAACAGTAAATAAAAATTAATTTAATAATATTTACACAATTTTATTATAGTTTAAGCTGGGACAAAAATATAAACAATTAAATTATATATTTTTATTGTAGTTATAATAATCTTTGACAAAAATAATCCATTTTTTATATACTAAAAATGATTTATTAATTCAATAATATTTAATTCATATTATTACAATAAATATACCAGAACTTAAATTTTTTGAAAAATATTTCATTGAAATATTCAAAAATAAATTTCAAATTCATAAATTTAGTCATATTATTTATCAATACCACTAAAAATAAAGTTTAATATATTTGTTTTTAAACATTATAATAAAATGGATTGATTAGAGTTCAATAGGTGGTAGCGCAAAGAAATAGATTCCATAGGAATTTCCAGAGTACAGGGAATATAGGGAACATAGGGAACATAAAACAAGGGAGGGATCATTACAAACCATAGCAGTTATACAATACCTGTATATATCATGCAATGCATTGGAATACAGTTTAGTTTATTTTCCATATAACACAATAACATTAAATAGAGTATTACTAATTTTAGCTAAATCTAAATCTAATGGTATAAAAAATTAATGTGTATTTCTATTATAATTAGGGTTAGGTTGTGAGGCAAACACTAATATAATTATAGTTAATGTATAATGTACTGTATATTTGATTCATCTATACTAATGTAGCGCATTTCCATCTAGTGATGTATACCTTATAATAATGATACTCAAAAAATAGTATAATTTCTTATTAAATTTTAAAAATTACAATTGAATCACAAATTATACATAATTTTTAGTTTATAATAAATTTAAATACAATAATAAAGAATATAAAAACGTTTTACAATTGAATTTAAATATATTGAAAATACATTGAAATAAAACTGAGCGATGCTTTTGGAACGATAACTTAAATTTATAAATTTCTATGTTCTTAAAATATATTGCCATAAACTTAATACAATATTTTGAATCACACTATTTTATAATAGATTTTTTTATAAATATACATAATATAGTATACATATACAATATGTTTGATATTTTTAAATAACAATACTTTAATATTTTATTATGATTTCTAAACTGCATATAAATATTTTTACCAACGTTTATTTATATAATTTAAAACTTTAAATTAAATTATTTATCAAATATTTTTTATACTTAACTTTTAAACTTAAAAAATATATAATAAAAAAGTTAGTTAAGTTTTTTTTAAATAAAAATTAAATGAAATTGTATTTGAATATAAAGTTAAAAAATATGTAAAACAATTTAATTCTAGCATTTAGGAATTTGTAGTTAACATATTTTAAAATATATATTATAAAAAATTCAAAATATTTACAACGAAAAATGCAATAGAATTTTAAATTACAGTGTTTTGTATTTATGTTTAATACCGTATATTCCATATGTTGTTATTGTTTTAAATAAACAAATTGATTAATACACTACATTCAAAATAAAACATTAGTTCAAATATTCATTTTGGAGTATAATTATCTATTCCAATGCTTTTCATTTTAAATTACAAATCAATTTTTATAAATTGATAACATATCAAAATTTAAACAATAAAATATCTTTTATTTTTTTTTGCAACAATACTTTTTTATACATGACATGTATTTTAGATAATGATATTTAATATTCATTTATCATTTATATTAAATACATGAATGAAAATATATTTTAATAATTAAAAAATCTTTGGTGAAATTATTGCATTAAATATATGTTTAATCTTTATTTTAATATTTAAATCATAATAATTATTTATATATATTATTTACAAAAAAATTATAAAAATTTATTCAATACATAATACAATATATAAATTTATGTTATGAGCAAATTCTTTAAGAATAAAGTCAATTATAATATTAAAATTGTTATTGTGTTAGTTATTTGAGTGTTATTGTGTATATATATAAGTGATGCCACTAATGGACAGGTGAATGGGCTCCTCAATGATACACTATTGACTATCAAACTATTTAATCAATAGATATACTCAATATATATACTGTATATAATGTCAGTCTTTTTACAATATATTATTGTCTACTCTATTCTTATTTATTATTTGTATGGTTTGAATGAAAATAAAAAGCAAAAAAAATACAAGAAGTGATTGAATCGGATCTAAAAAAGAAGAAGAAGAACACAAAAAAAATAAAAACATTTTATTAGTTCTAAAATATTGATTATCAGTCATATGTTATATAATATAATATAATATAATAACATATCATCGCATTTATACAATCCTATTGGTTACTGACTAGAGATAGAAAAATTAAAAATTTCTTTAAAATATAGAGAACTTTTAAAATTAATTAATTATTATATATTACAAAATGTAATTTCAAGGAAATTATGACTAAGAAAATTATTATATATTAGTAATTTTTACAAAAGTTTATTTTTCAATTTCTTTTATTCCTATTTTATAATATTACAACTACTGGTTATATAATACTATATATTTTTATTGTTAAAGTAATGTATTTGATTTTATATTATTTATTTATAAGAATCAAATACTTTTTAAAATAATGTTTTTAGTTTATAAAAAAGTAAATTTTCATTTATTATTGATTTTATATAATATAATATTTTAA